CTCCCTGAGGAATGGAGTCAGGGATCGGAGATGCCTTTTCCTTCGCTATCAGGAAATCCTCCATAGAACCATGAAAACCTGATGTGCTGATTGTAAGATTCACTTGAGCAAACTCCCTTTCTTCCTGGGGGTTCAAATCTCGTCTCTTTCCACCAGAATTTAATCTGTAGGGACTCTGGGTGGGAGAGATAGGAACCGTATCAGGGCAGGGGATATCCAAGGCAGCGCTCCCTGCCATGGCTGGTTGCAGTGAACTACTGACCGGAAGTCTGAAACTTTACACTGGGGAGAAGGGCAGCAGCTGGGAACGCCTCCCTGGTTTAACGGAGGCTGGGGTTGGCCCCCTTGCTGGCTTCCCGAGATTGAGTTATTTGTAGCATCAAATCTGACACTGTAGTTCCTAGACCAGTGGTTCCCTCTCTTACTGAGGACAAAGCCCGGGTGGTGCTTTCCAAGAAGCAGGCCTGGGAGTTCCTGCAATTCCTTTGAAAGATTTCCTGCAATTAAAACATTTATTCCTACGATTGAAACATTTGCTCAGATCTTGCCTCTGTACTGCATATGTGTCTGATGTTTAATTGAACCGACATTTCGGCACACCTTCAGATGCCCCTTTTATGACCTCCTTCTCCTTAATGGGGCACAGAATGACCTGGTAATCCTCATAAGCATTTTCAAAGGCCAAATACTCCTGAGTTTCCTTACCCTTAACCTACCTTTCAATGGCTTCCATCAACCTCCCTGTGAAGTCTGCATACAGTTCTGAGGCACCCTGAATAATCTTTGTATAGCTTCCCTTAAATTCAGCATCCGTATCAATCTTCTCCCAGGCCCACAGGGCGACCTCACAGACATGAGCAAAAACAGCTCGGGGGAGGAGAGTCAGAAGCAAGAGAGCTCGGGCTCCAGAGATCCAGAGTCAGAGCGAGAGGGGCTCAAGCTTGAGAGAAAGAACAGCCATCCTGATCCAGGCACACATAGGGCTCAAGAGCACCGAACGCAGTCGGTGAGAAAGAGCTACCCAGGGAGCCCGTGAACACACAACCTTCGGCGAGATAAGATTTTACAGGGGAGTACTGCTAGTATTCTTTTTTTTTCTTTTTGTGTCACACCCAGTGATGCTCAGGGGTTACTCCTGGCTCTGCACTCAGGAATTACTCCTGGCGGTGCTCGGGGACCATATGGGATGCTGGGAATCGAACCCAGCATGCATGCAGGGCAAACGCCGTACCCGCTGTGCAGCCCAGAGTCCGGCTAGTATTCTAAATCACAACACCACAGAATCCTGTTCTCCCACTCGCTTTCTAAAGTGGGTGTCCACCAGACGCTGTCTTTACCTTTATGTGCATGTGTGGTTCAGCCTGGTGCTTCAGGCCCACCCAAGAAGACAAATGTGTATTACAAAAACAAATACAGAGCCCTTGGTTCTCTCTCTCTCTCTCTCTCTCTCTCTCTCTCTCTCGCCGCCTGTGTTCGGTGGTCTCACGCAGCTTCCCCCACACAGGACAGCCGATGGCAATGGGCAGACAATGGAGGAAATGAGGGCCAGGCTGGTTGGTCTCAACTGCAGTTTATTCCAGTCTCATCTCCATTCTCTTCTGAATCTCCTTCCCCTTAACTCTTTTTCTCCTCTCCTCACCACCTCTTACAGCCTTAATTTATATCCTGAATTGTGAGGGGTTGGGGTAGCAATTACACATTGGTATAGTGGTACAATCAGCAGTTGTAAAGTCCATCCCTGGGGGAAGCTTCTCCTAGGACAGATTCTCACCCAGCAAGATGACCCCCCTAAGGGCCAAATACCATCCATGGGCGTGTCTCTCCTTAGTTGAACAACCATATAAACATTCACCTTAATTCTGCTCCTTAATGAAATTAATCATTTTTTATGGACACAGTAAGAGACTAAGTTTATAGGATGGCTCTCCTGGGGCCATCTTGCTATGGACCTCAGACTACAGTGCTCAGGCCAGATTAGTCTTTCCTGACCCTATTACTTTTTGGATCATGACAGAATTTGTCCATGACCATGCTCTTAACTTATAGTTAAGTATTATGGCGCTTTGGCCTGGCCCATTTCAATGCCAGGGTAGCTCACAGCTTGCCCTGGATCCATCTAGTTTCTCGTCAGGACCCTGCTTTTGGGATGCTAGGAACTAAGGGCAACTGAGGCTTAAGTCGAGAAACCAGATGCCTCAGAGTGAATATTATTTGGAGCCAATTAACTCCCAAGTTACAAAAACACAACATTAACTGTCTTCCTGTGTCTATACAAAAAGGACATTGCTCTAAAGTAAACTACACAAAGGACGTAAGAAGAGAAGAGCAATATTTCACTTACAAATACAAATCCAGTGTCCTTAGAAGGATGTGACCTTACAATCTGATTAGGGGATATAGGTGATTGATGGGTTGGGGTAGCAGAGCACAAAGAGGTTACAGATAAACACAGAGGAATAGGAGTGCCTCAGGAGCACTGTGTTACCAATGAGTATTACCTACACTCCCTGCGGCCAGGGACAAAGGACAAACAAGTGTAAAACTTAAAATGTTTAGAGCTATATCCCAGCACCGGGCCTGCCCCATGAGAATCGGACTCCCTGCTGATCTCGGGGCTCCAGGGTCCCACACCACATGAGTTCACAGCTGCACCCCAAGATGACGTTTGCCTCTCAGACCTGTGCTGTGGGTTCTCGGGGGCTTCCCTGGGGCCTTTGCAAATGATTCCCACCCCTATCATCCCACCAACCCACTGTCAACCTCCAACCCCACCTCCCCACCCTCATGCCCATCTCTCCAGGTCACTGCCAGCAGGCTCGTTCGGGGAGTGACACGTCCCCTTACACCCTCTGCCCCAAGGCCCTCCCTGGGGTGCCCGGTCAAGTATTGGCTGGAAGGAGGAGTGAGGATTCTGAGTCAGCACCTTCTGTGGCTCTGCGCCTGCGTGTGTCCTGCTCCCGGGTTCCTCATCATTTTGGAGGGTGTTTGGTTTGGGGCCACGCCAGCAGCACTCAGAGCTGACGCCCAGCTCACAGCTCAGGGGTCCGTGTGTGGTGAGCGGGGACTGTGGCAGGAAGAGCAGATGCCTTCCCATCTGCTGGCATCCGCCTGACTGAGTCTGGTTGGCAAGGGCACCGCGGAGGGAGCTCAGGGGAAAACTCTTGCCTGCAGTGTGCCAGGCCCTGGGTTTGATCCCCCATGCCACCTGCTATCACCCCTTCCAAACAGAATTAGGGCCCAGGAGAGAGACAGCAGCGGGGAAGCTTTCAGTTCAGCACACAACTGACCTGGGTTCGATCCCCAGCACCCACGGAGGGTCCCCTGAGCCCGATCAGGAGTGATCCCTGAGCACAGAGCCAAGAGTCAGCCATGAGCACGACCAGTGTGGCCCCCAGAAGAACAATACTAATTAGCTTTGGCTTGGAGAGATGGCCCAAGAGCCAAGCACTCACCCTTCATCCCAGTGAGCTTGGTTCGAGTCCCGGGCACCACACATCGCCCCCCAAGAGTGTTCTCGGGGTAAGTCCTGAACAGGGAGGCAGGACTGGCCCTGCTCTTTGGCTCCCGCAGAGACCTTCCCTCTGGGAGGGGCGGTCGCCCGGAGCACTGGGCCTGGAATGCTGGCAGAGGGAGCCCCTTGGGGGTCACAGTTCCCAGGGTCAGTTGCAGCGCAGAAAGGCTGAGCTTCTCCCCAAGGCCACACAACAGAACCGGGGGCAGGGAACAGGGTGCTGCATAGTGATGGGCAGGAGGAAGCCAAAGAAACAGTGTGGGAGGGGGGGTGGGCGTGTCTTTGATAAACAGGAAGCTTCACTCTTCCTGGTTCCGGACAGGGCTGCGCGGGGGCCAGGGGCCTTCCTGAACCCACAGGCGCCCTGACTCTGCAGGGGAGCTCCAAGACACCCCATGCTAGCAGGACAGCCCACGGAGGCTGGCGGTGAGTACCCCAGGTCACTGTCACGGCCCAGGGCCAGATGCTGAGGCACTGTCCACATGCCTGATGTTGGGGTGGCTCAGAGCTGAGATTCGGGGATCTGTAGGGCACCCTGTTGAGGTCAAGACCAAAGGAAGGGGGGAATCTTTAGATGGGGATGGCACTGGGGCTGGAGCTCGGAAGGGTGAACAAGAGTTTGCGAGAGGGGCCGGCGTGATGGCACGGCGGGGAGGGCGTTTGCCTTGCATGCAGACAACCTGGGTTCAGTCCCGGGCGCCCCACATGGTCCCCCAGCCCCGGCAAAGTGATCCCTGAGCCAGGATCAGCCCTGAGCATCGTTGGGTGTGGCCCCAAAGCCAACCAGAACACTTTGCCAGAGGAACACCCTGGATTTTCTTTTCTCCCACTCACTCAAGCGCTCCTACCTGCTGTGTGTCTGCCGCGTGCAGGAGATGTTGGGGACCCGGAAATGGGGAGGCTGGGTGAGCCTCAGGCACCCTCCGAGGCCAGGTGGGGCCAGGCTCAGGGTGGCCGGCGGGCGGGGACATGGCCCTGAGAATGGGCCATTAGACACCGTCTGAAGGGGGAGCGGAAGCTTCCAAGAAAGGTCCCCTGGGGGTGGTGCCCACTGAGCTCTGAGGGGTCTGTGGGGACCCTGAATCTGGCAGTGACTCAGGTAGCCACCGGGGGCTGGAGGAGGAGGCAGTAAGGGCTGCCTGCTCCCTCTGGCACCACCTCGGACCCCATTGTGCCTTTTGCTTTTTGGGTTTGGGGCCATATCCGGCAGTGCTCATGGCTGGTTCTGAACTCTGTGCTCAGGAATCACTTGCAGAGAGGTCCTAGGGGCCCCATGTGGTGCAGAGACCCGAACCCTGGTCAGCTGTGTACAGGCAAACGCTGTAATACCATCATAGCTCTCTGGACCCAGGAACGTTATTGCTGGGGTTAGGTGGGGTGCTCAGGCCTCACTCCTAGGGGGGTTCCGGGTGTGGCCGTCTGTTTCTCGGGACCCTCAGTGCCAGCTGTTCTTTGCAGGAGTGTCCGGGGCTGTCCGAAGGCCAGCAAGATGCGCTGTCCGAGGCTTCAGCGGACCGAGGTGATCCTGGCAGTGGCCCTGGTGACTGTCACCCTCCTGCTACTCTGCAGCCTGCACCAAGCGCCCTTGACCTGTGTGACGGGAGGGGAGTTGCAGCGCAGGGACGTGGACCTGCGGCTGCCCGAGGCAGGGCCGCCCCCGGCCTTGGGGTCCTCGCCCCCGCCCTGCCTCGCCAACCTGTCCATGGCAGCGCTGCCCAACTTCACGACGCTGCCTGCCCAGGTGCGGGACTTCCTGCTACACCGCCACTGTCGGGCCTTCCGCCTGCTGCAGGCGCCCGCGCCCACCAAGTGCCAGCCGGCGCCCTTCCTGCTCCTGGCCATCAAGTCGTCGCCCGCCAACTACGAGCGGCGCGAGGTGCTGCGGCGCACGTGGGGGCGCGAGCGCATGGTGCGGGGGGTGCCCCTGCGCCGCGTCTTCCTGCTGGGCACTGAGCGCGACCCGCACGAGGCCCGCAAGGTGGACCAGCTGCTGGCCCTGGAGGCCCGCGCCCACGGCGACATCTTGCAGTGGGACTTCCACGACACCTTCTTCAACCTGACGCTCAAGCAGGTAGGGGCCGGGGATGGCGTGGGCGGGCGGGCGCTTCACCCTCCTGTGCCCTGATGGGGTCCTGTTCCCTGGTGGGGATAGAAACGATGCTGGTGCCCCTCGCCCGTTCCTGGGGACCGATGGGGGTCGTGTGTCCCCCGCACTGCCTTCCCCAGGGCTCCTCTCACGGAGCACATGAGCCACACCCTGCCATGTCAGGAGGGACCCAGGGGTGCTGGCCGGCCCCCGCCCCCATGCCCCTCCCCAGACCTGGCAGGCCAGCCGTGCCCGTGGCCGCGGGTCGTTGAGGACGGCGTCCCCTCACGCCCCGCGCCCCCGCAGGTCCTCTTCCTGGAGTGGCAGAACACACAGTGCCCCCTGGCCAGCTTCCAGTTCAACGGGGACGACGACGTCTTCGCTCACACGGACAACATGGTGGCGTTCCTGCAGGGCCATGACCCCGACCGCCACCTCTTCGCGGGGCACCTCATCCAGAACGTGGGGCCCATCCGGGTGCCCTGGAGCAAGTACTACGTGCCGCGGGAGGTGACGGCGGAAGAGCGGTACCCGCCCTACTGCGGCGGCGGTGGCTTCCTGCTGTCGCGCTTCACGGCCGCCGCGCTGCTCCGCGCCGCAAGCGCCCTGCAGCTCTTCCCCATCGACGACGTCTTCATGGGCATGTGCCTGCAGCACGAGGGGCTGCTGCCTACCTCGCACTCGGGCATCCGCACGGCCGGCGTGCACTCGCCCACCCGCAGACGCTCCTCCTTTGACCCCTGCTTCTACCGTCACCTGCTGCTGGTGCACCGCTTCCTGCCCTACGAGATGCTTCTCATGTGGGAGGCGCTAAACCAGCCGCTCCCGGACTGTGGCAGGAAGGTGCGCATTGACTGAGGGGCCACCGCCGCACCCTCCGACCCCAGAAGCGGAGGTCCTGTCCTGCGCGGACCGGGCACCAGTGTTGGGGAGAGTTGGAGGAGGCGTGGGGCCAGCCAGCAAACTCCTACTCATCCTTCAAAACCCACCTCGTGCTGTGCCCACAGTAATCTTGGCTGGAGGGGCCCTGGTGCTTGCTCCGACACCCCTGCTCCAGGCAGGAGCACTTTCCTGGGGAGGTTTTTCTGTTTATTTTCTTGTTGGTTATTTGGGGGGGAGGGTTGGGGACCACACCCAGGGGTGCTCAGGGCTTAATTCTGACTCCTGGCTCTGTGCTCAGGGGTCACCCCTGGTGTGGCTTAGAGGACCCTGAGCAGTGTGGTCTGTGCTGTCTCTCCAGCCCCAGAGAGCAGGTTTGTTTTTCTTGGGGCACTGGCATGCACCCCGGAGCCTCACGCCAGGTGGGCCAGTGCTCAGGGGCCAGCTGCTGCCACACTGGACCCCCTAAATTCAGGGTCCCACACTGCCCCCTTCTCACCAGTGACTTTGTGGTGCTTTGTCTGACAGATTCTTGGGACCCAGCCCCACACCCCCGCCCCAACCATCGACCTTTCACGAGCTACTGGGCCACCAGCTGCTGATGCCAAATTTTTTTGTGTGTTTTTGAGGACCCCACCTGGCCACGCTCAGGGCTGCTTAGCTGCTCTGAACTTGAGGATCACTCCCAGTGGTACTCAGGGCAAAACCCACAGTCCTTGAACCCGGGTCTCCCCATGTAATGCTGGGCACATCGAACCATCCCCATGCTGGCTGGGTCCCCTACCCCCCAACACCTGCCAGCAACCAGCCCCATCCTGGGCGTGTGGCACTCCAGGTCCTTGGGGCATCATGCAGTCCCGGGATCAAGCCTGGGGCCTCAGGTGCTGCCCAGTGCTGGACAGTGGGACTCACCCCAGGAATGCCAGAATGATGCCCCTCCCCCATTCTGCCCAGAGAAGGGGGGTTCAGGTTCTAGAGCACCTCTAGAACTCTCAGCGCCCAAGACCTGCCCTCATTTGTGCAATTTTCAGATTGGAGAGTTCTGTGTCGGCTGGTGCCCCCCATCTTGCCGCCTGCTGGCAGGTGTGTATGTGGAACTTAAACTTGGGGTGCAGACGAGGCCTCCACGTCTGGAAATACAACTGTGAATTCCTAAAGGGTTTAATTTTTAAGTGCCTGGTGCATTCCACGCTAGAAAGTCTCATTTCCAGGAATCCCCCGAGAGGACGTGTCTTGGGGGTGTGGGGGCAGGGGCTGGTCCCGCCCTGTGTGCCCCAGCTTAGGCACTGCCCTCCAGGAAACTGGGCCCTGTTTGGGTGTCTCCAGTGGGGCTGGTAAGCCTGTGTGAGAGGCAGGGCTTCCAGCAAGGGAGAGCTGAGGGGTGCAGTGTCTTGCCCACGGAGCCTTGAGGGTGACCCATTTTTGTGAGTGTGTGGGGGAGGGGCTGGCCTCATGCCCCACCGGTGGTCATGATGTCGGGGGGGGGGGCTGGGAATGGCACTGGGGCATGTGTCCACCCAGAGCCCCTCGGCTGCACAGTGGGCTGCCCACAGTTAGCCTGTGCCCACTGCAGTCACAAGGACCCACGATGGGGGGCAGGTGCACATTGGCTCTGATTGGCTGCGTCTTCTGGTGGGCCCTATCACTCAATCCCAAGTCAGAGAGAAGGGAGGATACTGTGGAGAATGGCCACCATGGGCCACCAAGTGTCCATTTTATGTGGACGCTTGTGGGCATCCATTGGAGAAAAGAGGACTGCACCCTACACCCCTGCTGGCCTGACCTTGGCCTGACCTTGGCCAGCAGCCCCTTCTGCCCCCTGCCACTGCCTTGAATTATTCCCCCTGTGAGTGCTGCCCCAGGCTAGACGCTCCCACTGCCCCCAGGGGCCAGTGAGACGGCAGAGGGTCCCCCTCGCCCCCAAGCGCTGCCTGGTGTGACCCCCAAACCCAGTTCTCCCACCAAGAAAAGAAAGCTCTGAATTCTGCACAGGTTTATGAACTCTGAAGGGAGGGGGTTGGGGGGGTCAGCGCGGACACAGGGCCAGCAGGCCGCGGCGGGCACACCCGTGAAGGCAGCAGTGCTGGGCGGGGTTGAGGGCAGCGGCCCGGCCTCGGCGGCCCCGAGGCACCAACATGTCCCCATCGGCCACCAGCTCCTGGAGGTGTCGCCGCTCCAGCCACTGCAGCAGCTCCCCTGGGCACAAAGCAAGATTCAGAACGGGGCTCCCGGAAGCAGCCCCAGAGCTGAGAACACTGACCACTTCCCCCCCACAAACGGACCACTGGACCACGTGATGGAGAAGGGGTGTTTTTCATCCCAGCTTGCCGCTGGAACCCCAAGATGCGTCCACGCGTGCCTGCTCCCACGGAGACACCCCACTGCCGGCTGGTCACGACCCCCCCCCAATGCTGGGTCCGCCCCGGGGCCCTCAGCCTGGAGGCACCTGCCGGGCTGCAGCGCGGCCCCACCCCATGCGGGGACCCGGGGGAGGCTCCAGGACCGTCATTTTATTCTTCTCTTTCGGATTTTTGGGCCACACCCAGCAGAGCTCAGGGGCGCTCCCGGTAGGCTCCGGGGACCCTGTGCGGTGCCAGGGACGGGCCGACCCTGCCCGCGCTCCCCACGCCCCGCCTGGCAGCGGGTCCGAGCAGCCGAGAAGCTGAGGCCACGCGGCCCCGCGGGCTCCCCGCGACCCGCGCGTCCTGGTGCCGCCCTGCCCGCCCGCCTGCCCGCCCTCGCCGACTCACGGTCGCCGCCCGCCGCCGCGGACCGCGCCTCCTCGGGGGACCAGCGCGGACCCCCACACGCGCGCACCAACGCCCGCACCAGGCGGTGCCCGCAGAGCCTCTCGGGCGCGTCCGGGCCGGGCGCGGGGCCCAGGGCCAGAGCGACGCCCAGCAGCGCCAGCGCCCAGGGCAGCGCGCGGGGGTCCATGGCAGCGAGGATGCCTCCGCCCGCGCCCCCTTTATAGCGCGGGGCCGCCCAGCTGCAGGCCTTGGAGGGGCGCACCGCGTTCCCAGGCCCGGCCTGAGGTCGAGGGCGCGCTCAGGGCCAGGGTCCCCGCCTCCCGCAGCCCAGGGCCTTGGCGCCGATGGCACCGCTGAGGCCAGAGGTGAAATGGACACGGATAAACCAAGCAACCCGAGTGTAGACGGGCCCGTTCGAGGGCCCCCCTGCCCGGCACCTGGCCACCCCGTAGGCTTCCCTGGGCACCGTCGGGGGTGGCCCCAAGCAAAGCAACAACGAAGGTGCTGGTGGAAGAATGGCCAGCCGAAGGCCATGGACGCTGACCATGGGCCGGGGAAGGGGACGGACTGGGCAGGGCACTGGACAGTGGAAGAGGAGGTGGGCACTTGGTGGAGGGGGTGGCATGGGATGCTTCACTCCTGACGCCGTACGGTTGACAGCATTGTAAGTCTGGTGTCTAAAATTAAAAAAAAAAAATAGGGGCTGGAGCAATAGCACAGCAGGTAGGGCATTTGCCTTGCCTGCAGCGGACCCAGGTTCAATTCCCAGCATCCCATATGGTCCCCCAAGCACCGCCAGGAGTAATTGCAGAGTGCATGAGTGCATGAGCCAGGAGTAACCACTGAGCATCGCCGGGTGTGACCCAAAAAGCAAAAAAACAAAGAAAAGAAAAGGGGCCAGAGGACAGGACAGGGGTGAGGGCCCATAGAGTCCCCCAAGGCTTTCAAGAGTGATCCCTGATCACAGAGCTAGGAGTTAGTCCTGAGCACCAACAGGGGTGGCCCCAAAATGAACAAAAGACAAATTTAAAGGCTGGTTTGGGGGCTGGAGCGATAGCACAGCGGTAGGGCGTTTGCCTTGCACTCAGCCAATATGGCCGACCCCAGTTCAATTCCTCCGACCCTCTCGAGAGTGGGTCAAGCCCTGCCCCGGCCGCACCCGTGAGGTATTCAATATGCCAAACACAGTAACAACAAGTCTCACGGTGGAGACGTTGGGCCCGCTAGAGCAAATCAATGAACAACGGCAGGACCGTTGGGGGTCCCAGTCCTCGTTGTACAGAACCCCCCACCTTCCAGCCCTGACCTCTGAGCCCTGCACACCCCCCAACTGCGCAGAGGGCCCCTCACCCCGCCCCACTGCGCATAGCCGCATAGCCGGGCCCCAGCCTTGCCCTCTGAACTCTGCGCATCACACCCCTACTGCGCACACCCCCCTCCCCCCACATGCTGAGCCTCAGCCTTGCCCTCTGAGGCCTGCGCACCCCCACGCCCACTGCGCAGATCCCACCCACCCACCCACCCCCGCCCCCGCCCCCGCTGCTCAGAGCTGGGCCCTAGCCTTGCCCTCTGAACCCACCAAGAATTTCTAATCAGCAGGCCCCGGCAAGGAGCCAAGGGCAGCAGCTGTTCCCCAGAGGTGCTCCAAGGCCCCCCGCTCCCCGCCCCCACCCGCCTCGAGGTGCCCAGGGTGCCCCCAGAGGGGCCTCTGCCCCGGCTGCACTCACATTCCTGAGTCATTTCCCCAGACAGTCACAGCCCATTTTCTCCACCAGAGTCTTTATTCGCACAAACACATCCAAAGCCCCCCAGGGCCCAGCCCAACCCTGGAGCCCCCAGACTGGAGGAGAGGGAAGGGTACCCCCTCCTCCCGGGGCCAGTGCTGCGGAAGCTGCAGGGTGCGGGGAGCCAGGTGAGAGCAGGTGTCTGGGGGAGCTGGAGAAGCAGTGGGAAGGACAGACCCCCTGAGGCCCCCTGTGCCCTGGAAGCCTCTGTGTTGAGCAGAGGGGTTTTGTTGTGGCCGCCAGGTGGACCAGCCACTAGCCCAGAGCCCTGGCAAACGAGCATGGATCTAAGCTCCAAATTCTCCACATGCCGCTCCCGGCCACGCGGCCTCGGCTCACAGCACTTGCCCTTGGGTTGGTTAATTTAGGGGGAGGGGGCCCACAGCCGCGCTCAGAACTGACTCCTGGCTCTGTGCTCAGGATTCACTCCTGGTGGTGTTCCGGGGACTCTACGGGGTGCGAGGGATGGAACCCGGGTTGGCTGCATGCACGGTGAGCACCCTCCCCCCACTCCTCTGCTGTTGCTCCTTTGGGACAGAAGGGGACCCGAGCCTGGGGACATGGGGTCCCCTGCTCTGAGAGGACAGTCTAGACGGACACTGGGTGCCCAACACCCAGTCTTCTATCCAAGTCCAGACACCGGGGAGTGACTACTGCTCTACCGGGCAGGGGTGCCCCCAAGAAAAAGCTGCTTCATTTGTCCTGCAGGGCTTCCCTTGGAGCAGGGGTCCAGAGGGGGCAGCTGCCTGCCCGAGGTCACACAGCACCCCCAGACCAGAGTCCCTGGGCCTGTGTATGGGAGATGGGGAAGGGAAGGGCGGGGTGTCTCCTGGGAGGGTCCATGCAGAAGGGACTAGCCCAGGGCTCCGCTTCGCAGCGCCTCCAGCTGGGGGCCCAAGGCACTGAAGGATGGCCGGTCCTGCGGGCTGTCCGCCCAGCACCTCTTCATGACCTCGTGAACCTGGGGAGGAGCACAGTCTCCATCAGTGTCAGCACCCCTGCTGCAGGCCTCCTGGAGGCCCAATGCCACTGCTGACCCTCCCAGTCGCCCTGCACTCAGTGCTTGGACACCAGGGAGGTGGCATCAGGCCTGTCCTGGGGCTTCCCCAGCACATGGCCTTGGGGACTGCTCTCTCCTTGATGAACACGGCCACACCCTGGGCCCCTTTCCTGCGGGGAGTTACAGACCCCCACACCAGGAGATGCTGCCTCTGCCCATTTTGGGAAAACTGAGGCTCTGAAGGGTTGTTGACTGGCCCTGGGCTTCAGAGCCTGCCCAGTGCAAGTGGGCAAACTGGGAAACTGAGGCAGGCCCTCCAGGTCACCTCTACTGGGCAAGCAGGAGGTGCAGGCAGTCGCTGGCCTTCAGCCAGGAGCTCCAGGAGCCGGCAGAGGGCAGGGACGTCTCGCTCACACCCAGTCATCCGCAGGAACTCCTGGAGAAGGGGACACCGTGAGGAGCAGGGAAGATGGAGGGGGGTCTGGGGGATAGGTGATAGGCGGAAGGCTTCCACTGCAGTCCCCTACCTGGGGTCACAGACGCCCCACCCGGTGAGCAAACACAGGAGGTGGGCGGGAGGTGGGTGAGGCCAGGCCTGGCGGGGTGGGGGGACAGGGAGCTTGGGCTGGGGGAGGCGACTCACGGCCGAGGGGCTGCAGCTCTTGTCACCATAGGTAAAGAGCTCGTACAGGACCACCCCGAAACTCCACACGTCGGACTGGCGCGAGAAAACGTTGTCTGACAGGGACTCAGGGGCGTACCTGGGCGACAGGGAGCACTCGCGTGGGGCAGAGGACGGGGAGGTGGAGGGCTCGATGGGGGTTGAGGGGTCAGGCCCCCCCCCCGCCCGTGTTTCCCTGAACCAGGTGATGGCACAGGACTGTGCCCCAAGGAGCTGGGGTCAGGGCAGAGCTGTGGCTGCGGGGTATTCCCAGGGATGGGGTGGGACGGGGCAGACGGTGGGCGTGGTCTGGGCGGGCTAAGGTGTTGTGTGGGGGCGGGGCTAAGGAGAGGCCAGCCGTGTGGAGGGCGGGGCTAAGGCGGAGCCAAAGGGAGAAGCCGGGAAGCACGGGCAGGGCGGGGTTAAGGCACGGCCACTGCTCCCAGGAAGCCAGGAAGGCGCGGGGGGCGGGGCTAGGTTGTGAACGGGATGCATGCGGCGGATCCCACCAGAAGATGGGGCTCTGGCCGGGCTCCTGGACCACGTAGTAGTCCTTGTCAAGGGGCAGCAGTTTAGCGAGGCCGAAGTCTGCGATCTTGACATGCGTCTCACTCTCCACCAGGATGTTCCTGGCAGCCAGGTCACGGTGTACGCAGCGACGGGCGCCCAGGTACTCCATGCCCTGCAAGCGGGTTGGCGGGGAGGGGGGCTCCGTGGGAAGCCTGGGCCCCAGCCCGAACCGTGCCCGCAACCCCACCCCAAACCATTGTGCGCTCCGCTGCTGACCATTGTTGGCCCTAACTCGCTCCATGTTTCTGCCCTGCGCTGGGCCCAGACTTCAGCCGTCAGCCTGCCCCATGAGTCCACCCAGACCCGGGTGTGAGGCCCAGCCAGCTTAGGCCCCCAGGGCTCCCCTTGAAGGCTCACGTCGCACCTTGCAGATCTGCGAGGCGTAGAGCAGAAGACGGCTGGCGTCCAGGCGTGAGCGGTGGCGCTGGAGAAAGTCCCGCAGGCAGCCACTGGGCATGTACTCCATAACCAGCCGCAGGCTCTGACGGCCTGGGAGTTGTGGGGAGGGGGGGGGGTCAGCATCTGACCGGACGCTGGTTCCTCCCCCTCTGCAGTGTCCCTCCAGGCCGTGTGTGGTAAAGTGGGAACAGTTGCAATTCCACCCATCACTAATACATCACCTGAGCCCTGAATCACGCCAAGCCCTCTTCCTCCCACCTGTCAAGGAACCCCATTCATAGGGCATCTCCCAGGTTTGTGTTTCTGTAATTGTGAAAACAGCCACCCCACCTGGGTGAGGTGGGGCTGGGAATTTGGAATCTGCATTGCAAGGAGGGGTGTGAGTTGGGTCTGGAAGCCTATTGGACAAACCCACTTCCTCCAAGGTCAGCAGTACACAGCTTCCTTTAAGCCCATTTTGTAAGGGGCTTGAGCGAGGGGGTGATAGGACAGCGAGGGAGGCGCTGGACTTCTACACAACTGACCTGAGTTGGATCCCCAGTATCCCATGGGTCCCCCAGCCCCTCCAGGAGTCTTGGCGCAGAGCCAGGAATCAGCCTTAAGCATCGCCGGGAGTGGCCCCACCCAAAAAAATGAAAAAAATGAAACCCGTTTTGCAGGCAGGGAAGTGAATACCCAGGGAAGCTGAGACACCTGTCCAGATCAGCCCGGTGGGGCTGGCACCTGTGGCTCAGGTGAGCCCGGGGAAGCAGCGCCCCCTGGTGGTGAGCGCCCGGGGCTAACCTGGGCCGTAGCTGACACCGCGGTACTTGACGATGAAGTCGCTGTGCAGGGCTTTGAGGATCTGGATCTCCCGCTGGAAATCACGCTGCTGCTCGGGCTCGCTGTGCTGCAGCAGCTGCTTCACCGCCACCAGCGCGCCTGTGTTGTCGCCCAGCGGGTCGTAACGGCACAGCTCCACGCTGCCAAAGTTGCCCTGGCAGGGGCCCCACGACAGTAGAGTGTGGATATGCTGGCCGTGCACGCGGCCTGCCTGGGTTCCAGCGGACCCCGATCCCTGCCAGGGGTGGTGATCCCAGAGCGCAGCTCCCCTGGATGAGGGTGCCTCACCTTGCCCAGCTGAGAGATGTACTTGAGGTGCCTCTCCTGGAAGATGGTGGGGTCCTGGCAGAGCTGGGCGCCGCTCCACAGTGCGTCCCGAGGTGTCAGGGCACCGGGGCTGGGGTCCGAGAGGAGCTCATAATCTGGGGGGCAGGAGGGGGAAAGTGGATAGGAGCTGACTGTGGCCGCCACTTGCACTCTCACTCTCTCTGTGCGTGGTGAGAGGCAATTTGGGAGAATGAGTAGAAGACTCTGGGCAAAGGCACACCCCCTGTGCAGGGCACAACCAGAGCAATGGCCCATGGTGGTGAGACAGTAAGTATGTCCAGACTCCGCTGGACTAGCTGGAAGAGGACAGTCCTCTCCGCAGGCACCTGTCGGCCTGCTCGTCACAGCAGCCAACTGTGGTGTGCATTGCAGGTGAGGGCGCACTAGCTGGAGCCCTCGAAGGTCTGGTGGCATCACACGCGGGCACCTGAGGTGATGAGGCTGTTGAGGTCCCGGATGATGGCGCGGAACGAGGGCCTGAGGTGGGGCTCGTAGGTCATGCACTGCTGGACGAGCTCGGCCAGCTCCGTCCACTTGGGGGTGGGCAGCTGCTGCCGTCGTTGGTAAAACTGGAGTTTCTGAGGGTGCGAGGGGGACACATCAGCCACAGGTACCCTCTAGGGGACCCCGCGGGCCCCTCCTCCCCGCCCCTGTCTGACCTGGGCAGGATCCAGGGTGCTGACAGGCATCGTGATTCCGCTCAGCACCTCCCAGACAGTGGCCCCGAATCCCCATTTGTCTGCTTCCAAGCCAAGCGTTCGGGCCTCCTGGAGACACTCGGGGGCCACCCAGGGGATCCTGTCTGTGAGCACTGGGGGAAGGAGGGGATCAGAGAGCCACCTCCGGGTCCCACGAGACACCCCTCTGCCCTCACCCTTCATTCTTACTCTCTAGGCTCAGCACAGCAGGGCTGACACCAGGGTCACTCAATTTGATGAATGGGGGGCTCCCATCAGACCCCTCTCGAGCCAGCAGCACCTTCCGGGCTGAGACATTGCCATGGGGGAGGCCTTTATCCTCCTAGGTGGGCAGGACACAGCCAGAGGTCAGAAGAGTTTGATGAATGAATGCTCTCACTGGTGAACTCCTATACATCCCTCAAAGCCCATGGGCACTGCTCAAGCCATACATTAGCATCATGCCTAGACTCTTCCACCACTGTGCTGACCTGAGTTTCTTCCAGCACCAGCCCGCTCACCATGACTGGCTCCTTCGGGATTGTTTGTAGGTCCTCAGCCTGGCCTTCAAGGCCATTTGAGATTCAGCTTTTGCTCACTTTTCCCATTGGCTTCTTTCTCCACAACCCCACCTTGTTCTCCTGTCACACAAACTGCCTGGCGCATCCCCGGGCACGTGGCACTTCACCCACCAAGCCGACGCACTCTCTTCCCTCCACTGACTAGCCGTCCTTCCCCTCTGCTCTTGATAAACTCCTACCCAGCCTTCAAGGCCCCAGCATCCATGTTCCCACGCACTTCCTCCAATCCCTGACATCCATGGGGGCCCAGCTGTTCCCTGCTGCCCTGGTCTCCAGTGTTCCTCTTGCCCTTCCTTCTGTCCACACCACAGAGCCCTCTCACAGTGGCCCCTCTGCCCAGTGGACAGAGATGGAGGCGCGGAAGGGCACTCACCAGATAGTTAAGGGCATAGGCCAGCTGCTTGATCACCTGGAGCTTCCAGCTGGCCGGCACCAGGGGACCACACTTCTGCAGATAGGTGTCCAGTGCCCCCGGACGTACGAATTCCTGCACCATGATACCTGGATATCATGGGGGCAGCAAGGGGCAGACTCAGACCCTGGCAGCGCCCTCAGCTCCACCCTTGGGGGCATCTGGCTTCTACCTGGAACCTCCCTTTTCCTTTTCTTCTCCTAATTTCTCCTCCCGGAGTCCAGAATCACTGCCTGATGCCCCACCCCCTGCCCCAGGGATGTGCCAGGCAACTTGTGTGACAGGAGAACAAGGTGGGGTTGTGGAGAGAGACGCAAAGAGGAAAAGTGAGCAAAAGCTGGATGAGCAGCTTCTTGCCCTTCACTGCACCACCCCATCATCCAGCTGTGATTGGCACCTGATCCTGCCGCATATCTAACAACAGGATCGAGCCTAAAGCACGTGGGGCCCCTGCCAGGGTAGGCTCTAGCTTGGTACTATTGGTGCCGCCACAAAGGGCTCCGGTGGGCGGGCGTGGTTTGGTGGGGGCGGATTAACGGGAGGTATGATCTCTGTGGGCAGCCCCCGCGGGTGGGACCGATGGGAGGCGTGGTCTGTGTAGGCGGGGTGGTGGGGCGGGACCAATGGGAGGCGTGGCATGTGGGGGCGGGGCTGGATTTAGCAGGTGGGCGTGGTCTGGGTGGGCGGGACGGGGAGCCCTGGTTTTGGTGGGAGGAACTGTGGGCGGGGCAGCTCACTGTCTCCAGCCATGCACACGCCGTGAAGAAGCACCAGATGCTGGTAGGACACTTGGCTCATGAGGCTCGCAGCTTCCAGGAACGACTGCCGGAGGGAAGTTGGAGGCAGGAGTGAGGGGAGGGGAGGTAGGGGAGGTGCAGATCCTCCCAGTGAGGGTAAGACCAATGCTGCCCAAGCATCTACCTCTGGAGCTCAGTGATACTGAGGGCTGGGAGCCAGCTCGTCTGCTGGGATCCAGCCCTGCCTGAAGCTGGAGCCATCCCGTGATGACCTCTCTGCCCAGCCTTGGAGCCCACCCGTGATCAGAGTCCATGGCAGGAGGCAGAACCTTCTACACCTGACCTGGTGGCCCTCATACAGCAGACGATTCGGGGTTTGAGGAGATTTTAAGCCTCCCCCAGGGGACCAGCTGAGGGTCCACATCCTCCTGCCCCCAGCCCTCGAGCCTTTGTGAGCCCCTGTGTCGAGGGCTCCCTCACACCTGAACCTCATGTCTGAACCCCCCCACCCAGTTCCCGCTCTGGAGTGGCTGTCACCACAGGCTCAGCTCCTCTGATCTCTTGGCCTGTCCCCGCACTGCCCTCTGGGCCACCCGGCTTCTCACCTCCATGCAGCTCTTGTGCTTGGCATCCATCACTTTCAGCAGCACCTCAGTATCCCGGGCCTCCCCATCCACCACCTCGTGCCGATGACCCCGGTAAATCTTGGTGAAGGACCCGTGACCCAGGTTCTCATGCTGGAGGGTGAAGGAGCAGCAAGAGAGCCCAGTAAGGGGCCCCCTGCCAGGACCCTGGCCCCAGGGCGAGACTGGAGGCACAGAGAGCGGGGTCTTATGCATGGGAGTCTGCGTTCACCCCGAGAAGGCCCCTCCTCGTTTCCCTGGGTACCTTACCCACTCCAGGCTCTGGGCGGGGATCTTGTGGAAGGTCATCTGACTCAGCTGGCACTGGACTTGGGGGTAGACGGGGGGCGATGCAGACAGACTGCAGTCGCTTCGCACCACGATCAGGTTCGTCCTTTCTAAGGAAAAAGGGGGTCAGGGATCAAAGGTCAGAAGTAAAAGGTCCTTCAAGATGGGCTTCCAGAGCTGAGAGCTGAGGAAGAAGGGACCAGGACACAGGACGAGGAGACTCAGGGAGTGCCGGCAGGTTGGGGGAGGTATGTAGCCATAGGAAAGCCCCATCTCCTGATGTGGGCACAGACCCAACCCGCCGGTGGAATTTGCTGGGTGTGAAATTGGTCCCAGAAAGAAGCAAAATCCAAAAAAAAAACAAAGCAAAATCCAGCAGGAAAGGCCGGGTAGTCAGGAGACAGCACCCGCCTGAGTTCACCCTGGCACCACCCTGAAGCTCTGCTGTGTGGAGGCCGCAGGGCCACCATAACCCTGGTAGGAACCGCAACCCAAATGCCATGAGCACTGCAGCCAGGTGTGTGAGCGCCACCATGGCCACCGCAAAGAGAAGGAGGAGCGAGACAGAGGGACAAAGACAACAGGTGTGAGGTGTGACTGCCTGCGGCCATCTCCAGCCTGCGCTGGGAAATCACTTCTTCCCTAAACCATCCTGACCTGCAGTTCCTGCCGCTTGCCACGCGGGCACAGTGACAGGCCCGAGAAGCCAGGCTCACCTTTGGATCTGGGGGCGCAGCAGGAGGTAAGGCTCAACGCCACACCATCCGCGTGCAGACCACCCTCCTTGCAGGCTGCCAGAAGCATGCGGAGACTGCTGTGGGGGCGGCCCAGGCCAGCCAGGGAGAAGCTGCCTTTGGGGTCGCACCGGATGAGGCACCCCTTGTAATCAGGGCCCAAGGGGGTCTGCAAAGAGAGGTGTGCCCTGAGATGGAGCAGACAGCAGCCTCCCCTCTCAGTCCCTCTGAGCCTTTACATAAGCTGTTCCCCACACTGGAAATGCCTTTCCCTCCTCTTCTGCATTTCTCAGCTCAAATGCCACCTCCTCCAGAAAGCCCGCCATCCCCGTTTGGCCCTTTGTGGCTGCTGGACCAACCTGAACACAGATTGTGAGGAGGAAACTGTTAAAATCCTGAGGGCTTCGGCGCAGAACATAGGAGCCAGGGAGGGAGCCCTCAGCCTTGAGTTTGTTGATGGCAAAGTCCAGGCTGTGGGGGAAAGTGGGGGCCTATGGTAGGGGTTGAACAAGATCCAGCCAGCTGGTGTCCATCCCCCAGAGAGCGCCAGGGGTCAGAGAGGGAACTGACCCCCCATCTCACTAAGCCTGGGGCACACTTACGTGATAGGCCCATGGCACTGCTCTGCTATGTCGTCCAGCAGCCGTGGCGGTGCCACCTCCTTGCAGAAGTAGTGGCGAGAGTCGGTGGTCAGCCGGAAGTAACCATCCACCAGTGAGAGGAAGGACAAGGCCTCGGGCAGCCCCGGGAACTCAGCCTCCTGTGGGAATCCCCTGGTAAGCGCCCCTCGACCAAGGCCTGCTCCCCGCACCCCTCGGGGTGTGGGCACGCACCAGGATCTGGCTGTCCGTCCTTGTGATGGTGACCAGGCGCTGCTCCCCAGCCTGGCCCGCGCGAGAGGCCTGCTTAACACTAATGTCCACGATTTCTGGAAAGTCACAGAAGGGCTGGAGCGCCTGGCAGAAGGGCAAGGGTCAGGCTGGGTCCCAAGTGCCCAGGAGCCCCCCTGGGACCCCCGAGCCCCTGAGTCCTGTTCTTAGCTCCTCCCTTCACAGCCCCTGTCCCTCCCCTTTATCACCTCCAGGCCCCGCCCCATTGGCCCCCACGCCCCACTCCCATTCGTGAGGCTGCCCCCAGCCCCTCCCTCTCACGGCTATCTCAGCAAGGAGTCCTGAGGCTCCCTAGACTTCAAGGAGCCTTACCCCCACCCAACAACTTCTCTGTCCGATCCTGACCCCTTGCTGAGCCCCACCTCTCATTTGCCTGCCCCTTAGAGCTGCCACACTGCCCCGCCCCCCCATCGGCCCCTCCCCTACAGTCCCACCTGTATTTTCTTTCTTGCCTCATTTACCCACTCACCACTGGCCGTGCCCCCCACAGCTCTGCCCAGTCTGCCCCCTTCGCTCGTCTCGGACCCCGCCCCTTTCATCTTCACGCCCATTTGTCTTTTTCTGGCCTTGTCCTGCCCTGCCAGAGTCCCACCCACCCGCCTGCTCTCCCTCCCGGTACCCTGCCCTTATCCTGTGGTGTTTGGTTCCACCCTTCAGATTCCCACCCACTGCCTTTCAGAGACACACCCACTCCCCTGCCCCGCCCTCTGCCCTCAATAGCCCCCCACCCACTCACTGACTGCCCACCACGCCCACCTATGGGCATCACCATCACTACCACACCTACTCAGCTTCACCACCAAGGCCCCGCCCACTCCATGACAGCACATGCTGGGCCATCACTATAAGATTTCATCGCCAGATCCCGCCCACTCCGTGACCCCGCCCACCACGGTACCACCCATTCGCAGACTTCACCACCAGACCCCGCCCACCCCGTGACTCCGCTCACCACGGTACCGCCCACTCACAGACTTCATCACCAGGCCCCGCCCACTCGGTGACCCTGCCCACCTCGCGCCCCAACTCAGCTGTGGGTCTGTGCCCCTGTTGCTCCCCTCACCCCGCCTCCTCCACTGGCCAGTGCCCACACCCTGTGCGCACCTCCTGCCCTCCAGGGCTCCAGGCAATGCCGCTGGCCCCAGCCACCTGGAGCAGCCCCACTGCAGTCTGGCCCCCAGTGGCCCCGGGGAGGCCCACGCAGAAGGTCTCTGCAACTCGGGTCAGGTCCAGCCGCTCCAGGTCCATGATGTACTTGGCCATGAGCGAGTGTCTGTCAGCCCTGCAGGCCACGACGCGGCGCAGGGCCTGGCGCACGGTCCTGCGGATGCGCTTGCGCGTCACGAAGCTCAGGCTCTGAATCAGCTCCCGCAGCCCAGGGGGCAGGCAGGTCTTGTAGCTGCGGGGGCGGCAGTCTCAGTGCAGGGTTGGGGGGGACAGGGGCGTGGGGGTGGACGTGCCAGGGCTAGGGGCATCTGAGCTCTCTAGGGAAGAGGCTGGACACCATCTCCTGGGAGCCCTCACCTGACCGTCTTCAGCAGGTCCCGGGGCTGCTGGGCCCGCTGGCGCGCCATCTGGGCGAGGTCCAGCACCGCCAAGCTGAGGCACTCGCCCTGCTCCTTGAGGCTGATGCCCACGGGGAGTCGGCCACTCACCAGGTCTGCGCGGTGCTGGGGACTCAGACTGACCTTGAGCACAGCTGCCCTGGTGTCCTCCGCCCCCTCCTGTCCCCTGAGTCCTGCCCCCACCCGCCCGGGCAGCCCCTACAGCCCCACACCTGGGCAAAGATGTGCTCCAGCACCGCCAGGTCCAGCACGCCGCTGGCCAGCTCCTTCCGCAGCCCGAAGCGGTGGCACTTATCCAGGCCATACCAGTTGGGGAAGTAAAATCTGGAAGGGGAGCCTGGACTAGGGCGGGGCCACTGGGAGGTGACTTCAGAGAGCCCCGTGTGACCCGGGGCACTGCCCACCCTCTCTGTTCCCTGCTTCCTCCACGCGGAGCCCACAGATCACATCACGGCATTGAATGGGGCGCACCCTCGGCTCACCGCAGCCTGTAGAGCAGGACTTGGGTGCCGGCATCATCCACCGAGAAGATGTGGCTGGGAGGGAACCACAAGGACAGATCCTCCGTGGCCAGAGCGAAGAGGGGGTGGTACACGGGCAAGATGCCTGCGGAGACACCAAGTCTTCCCTGGGTCTACCCCACCCCACCAGGCAGGCTCACGCCCTCTCCCATATGCTCACATGCTCGCTCAGGAAGTGAGTCGGCCCTGTGCCTGTCTGGAGCTCAGTTCTTTCCCACAAGCACCTTCTGCTTCCAGAGAGAGCCAGCACTGGCCCCATGCATCATGACACCACCTTTTCTCACCTTTCCCCCAGGCACCCACCACTTTACCAAACTCCTGCTCATCCCTCAAAACCCCAGCTCCCATGACAGCTCTACTGGGCCCAACCCCAGTCTGTCCACCCCAAGTCTGTCCACCATTCCAGGCCCAACCCAAGTCTGTCCACCACTCCTCCTACTGGCCCAGCTCCCAGAGGACCCCTCACCGCTAGCCTCGGCTGCAATCACACACAGCTCCTCTGCCGAGTGTTCCCCAAAGGAGAAGGACAGACGCCTGGGAGGCCCAGGTCCCCGCGAGGGCAGCAGCACTTGCAGGGCACCAGCCTCAGAGGAAGACAGGCTGCAGGAGCGCTGTGGGAGCAGGGGGATCTCCTCGCTGGGCGGGGCCATGCCTAGCGCTGGGGAGGGGGACAGAGGGAAGAAGGTAGGTGGGGAGGAAGTTGGGGTGGAGCACCCACCTTCCCACCCTGAGTTTGTGAGTCCCCAAGCTGGCATTTGGGTGCCCGAGGCCAAGCCCTCGGGTTGTCTGCACCCCCAGGAAGAGCAATCCAGCCCAGATGTGCAGGCATGCACGCACACACATGAGCACATGCACATAGGTACACACATGTATGCACATGCACACAAACACATGTACATGCGTACATGTGCACATGCATGCAACATGCACACACGCATGCATTTATACATGCACACACGTGCACACATACACACGTACACATTACATGCCTGTGCACACACGTGCAGAGAAACAAGCTCCTGTGAACTGGTGAAAACTAGGAGTGGACTGATATCTCTGCGATGACCTTGCGGCAGTGCCAGAAGGCGGCGAAGACGCCAGGATGGGGGCCCAGCCTCACCCAATCCCCATGCCCGTCCCGGGGGGACCTGGTTGTGAAACAGGATGACCCCCACACACACTCACGGGGTGTGTGTGAGTACGTACCAGCCAGCGCTGGAAAAGGTAGAGACGCAGAGAGCCTGGGCCAGTGGTGGCCTCCCACAGACTGACCAGCCCAGACTGCCCCTTGCGGCACTTTCTATTCGCAGCCCCAGGCCGTGCCTGTGATTTCAGCCTCTTCTGCGGGGTGCTCAGGGCTGACTCCCGTCAGGCAGGCTCGAACCCTGCGCAGTGCTGGGACCCTAACCAGATCAGCCACGCGCCAGGAGGGTGCCTTCCCACAGCTCTGCCAGCCCCCAGTTTCAACCCTAAGAGCCGGTCTGCTTCTGTCTGCGGCCCCCAAACAGTGCCGGGAGGGGCCGTCAGGGCAACTCCTGGTGGCACTGGGCCCCCACCTGGGCCCTGAGCCTGAGCTCCAGCCCTCAGCAGCGGCCCCCCGGCCCCAGAAACATGCTTTATTTTTAAAATAGCGAAAGTGAAAATAGGCCTTCAGGGCCTTAAGAAAAAGTTCCTGTTTGACCCCAAAAGTCCAAGTCCAGGCACAGCTGGCCCTGGAGGGGTCTGGAGGGCCAGCAGGACTGGGGGCAGGGACTCCTGTGGGGAACAGGGCTGGAGCTCGGCACTGGCCTCCAGCAGGACCTCTGTCCCCTGCCCCGGGCAGCGTCCCCCCCCCCCCCCAGCTCTCTCGGTCCCCTTCACTCTGCTCTGCGGCCTGGCCATCGCTGTCCTGACCCTCCCCCGCTCACGGCCCCCCAGCCCTTACCTGCTCCTGCCGATCGAGTCCGGGCTGAGCTGCCTTCCGGTGAGCCCCACTTCCTGCCTGTCACTTACAGAAAGTCACTGCAGAGGACAGGGCGGGGACATGGCCCCAAACACTGGAGGATGCTGGCCCCACTGAGGGAGAAGCAGGGGCCCCAGCAGGGGGCGCCCCTCCTGGGAGCGGGTGGGAGGGGAGGTGTGGGGTGGACCCTGGCTGGGGCTCTGCTTCTGCTCCCCCCGCCTGCCACAGTGCCCAGAAGTCAGGAGCGCGGCAATGACAGCCCCAAGGGGCGCCCCCAGGGGGACCAAGGCCCATGGCTTGGGGAAGGGGTTTGGGGGAACCTGGGAAAGCAGAGATTCGGGAAGGTTCTGTGTGGGGCCTCCCACCACAGTGCCAGGACCCTGCAGCGATGGGCCCGACTAGGCACTCAAGAGTCCAGGACCAGCCTGACGGGACTTAGAGCTCAGCCCCCAATCCTCTCCCTGACCCTCTGTGATGCCTTCCACAGCGGAGCCCATCATGGGTTCGGCATGGCCTGGCTTGGCTGCAGATGGTCTGATTCTGCTCAGCTTTGACCTGATCGCCGCTGATACCCAGGAATCAGCTCCTGTGTGGGGTCCGGGTGCGCGGCAGGGGACAGAGCAGACTCCTCTCTGTTAGAGTCGCTGTTCTTGTGGGCAGTCCCCATGTGGTCACCCCAATCACTCTGGCATTTGTGGCCAGGCCGTTGGGAAGCAGTCCAAGAGGGCTTCTTGGAGGAAGCAGGTTTGCTAGTGAAATCCCAGGACCCACAGAAGGTGTAGCCAGGCTAAGGCTGAGAGGCTGGACAGGGAGCAGGGGCTGGTCCCCTCTGGAGACAGCCGTGTGGCCGGTGGCGGCAGAGGCACGGGGGTGTGGCCGTGGCATCCGGTGGGAGCCCCCTCAGCTTGTGGCAGGAAGTGCCGTGCAGGGACCAAACTGTCCTCCTTTTGTCTCGTTTCCTGGGCAGGCGCTCTTGGGGGAAGGTGCACACGTCTCTGCAACTGCCTTCCTCAGCAGCCCTGAGTGTCTGAGCTGCTCATGGGTGATGGGAGAGATGGGGGGAGGGCACCAAGGGAGGCAGGGCACAGCAAAAGTGACCTGGGGGCTGGGGCGATAGGACAGTGGAGAGGTCGCCGGTCCTGCACAAGGCTGACCCCGTAGGAACCCCTGAGTACCATCAGAAGTGACCCCTGAGCAGTGTCAGGCGCGCACCCTCACCCCCAGGCCTGCACCCCTGAGTTCACAAATTATGTGGGTGCTGTGACGACCCGTGTGTGTTCAGAGGCTGAGAGCCGCCTCCCGTCCTCCCCTGACCTCCCCAGCAGAGAGACAGACGGGGAGCACAGCCTGATGGTCAAAATGGCCCGTTTAGTGCAGAGCTGCTAGCACCCTCATAGAGCATCTGATGGGGTCAGAGGTGTAGGACTGCACGTCCGTGTGATTTACAGAGGCGGAACATTCCGGCAGAGAATGTTCTCGGGGAGATCAACTCAAGGAGACGCTCTATATCTCAGGGATATCTATATTGCTTTCCCTTTCCTTCTAGTCATATATTATCAAACAAGTCACTTGTATCACTTGTCATCTGTTGCTCATCGATTTGCTCGAGCAGACACCAGTAACGTCTCCGTTCACCCCTGTAGCGTGCTAGTGTAGCCCAATGGTGTCTCCTCGCTCCAGGAACACGAAGAGCATCAAACCATTCATTCAGGGTCTAGATGAAGAAGTCCGACCATCTTGTAGGTGGGCGGTCAGGCGCTCTTTTTTTTTCTTTCTTTTTTTTTCTTTTTGGGTCACACCTGGAGATGCACAGGGGTTACTCCTGGCTCTGCACTCAGGAATCACCCCTGGTGGTACTCAGGGGACCATATGGGATGCTGGGAATCGAACCCGGGTTGGCCGCGTGCAAGGCAAACGCCCTACCCGCTGTGCTATTGCTCTAGCCCCTTCTTTCTTTCTTTCTTTCTTTCTTTCTTTCTTTCTTTTATAATTTTATTTATTGAATCACCGTGAGAGCAGTTACAAACAAAGCTTTCGGGTTTAGTCTCACTCATACAATGAAATACCCCATACCTTCACCAGTGCTCATTCTCCACCACCAAAAACCCCAGTATACCCCCATCCCACACCCTCCGCCTACCTGTGGGGCAGATGATTTCCACATTACTCTCTCTACTTTGATTACATTCAATATTTTAACACTAGACCAACCATTATTATTTGGGATTTTACCCCAACACTCAGATCTGCTGAAAAGGCAACAGTAGACAATTTGTTTTCTATTGCTGATTATGAATAACATATGATGTCACGTGGCTGCAGTAGAGGCTGCGCGATTTTGAAATTCCGAAATTTTAACAATTAAATCTGGAGGGGTTTCTGCCAAAACCTGCTGGGTTCCGAGATTTGTTCCTGAGTCTCTTGGATCATGACCGTTAAGCAGCTTGATCAGGAGCCAGAAAGGCCGTTCATGGTAGGCAACCCGGGGTCTCGTTGGGACAGGGAGGAAAGGGCCGACTCTAGCCTCATCCCGTGAGGGCCCGCGAGTCTCGTCACTGCGGGGCAAAACCTGACTGTCCAGTGGCCTCTGGAGGATGGCGGCCACCGGGTTGCCAGGGGGAAACAGGTCAAGGCACAAAACCTATTCCCACCTGGGATGGCCCAGCACTGGTAACCTACTGCAGGGACTGAACGCATTTCTGCCAAAAGTCACTGAGTTCCACAATTTGTTTCTGAGTCTCTGGGATCATGGCAGTTAAGCAGCTTGATCAGGAGCCAGAGAGGCCATTCGTGGGTGGCAACTCGGGATCTCGTTGGAACGGGGAGGAGAGGGTCGGCTCCACCCCATCCTGTGAGGCCCCACGTGTCTTGTCACTGTGGGCCCAAACCTGACTGTTCAGTGGCCTCTGGAGCCTGGCGGCCACCGGGCAGCCAGGGGGAGCAGGCCAAGGCACATCTATTCCCACCTGGGGTGGCCCAGCGCCTGTAACTTACTACAGGGACTGGACGCATTTCTGCCAAAAGCTGTTGGGTCTCTGGGATCATGGCCGTTAAGCAGTTCACTCAGGAACCAGAGAGGCCATGCCTCCGATTATATAGCTGAGCCGGAGGAGGTTTGTGGGTGTGTCTCCCACATACCTAACTTTTGGCTGTTTACTTTCTTAGTAAACTTTGTCCCAAGGTTTTGGGGTCTGACCAAAGGCACAGCAGCAATTTTGGTGTATCTGGAAGTCTGAAGGCGCCATCAGGCTACTGATGCACTCGCCTCACAGGTACGGATTGACCTGCTGGTGGCACCATACCCCCTAGGCATTCTTTTGACGTCCTGTGGAATCCAATCGGTAACGGTTCTAGTCCAGTGGTTATCTCCAAATTGCATTACGTGTCCGGACCATCTGATTTTCGACGCCTTGGCAAATGAGACAATATCTCTGATCCATGATCATTGATGGATATCTGAACTCAAACAATTAATCAAACAATCAATCAATGGCTCCTGCCTTGCGTTTGGCAGACAGGTCTCAATTCCCAGCCAAGAGTCAGCCCTGAGGGACCGGAGTGATAGTACAGCAGGTAGTGCATTTGCCTTGCACAAGGCCAACCTGGGTTCAATGCCCAGCATCCTATATAGTCCCTTGAGCATCGCCAGGAGTGATTCCTGAGTGCAGAGCCAGGAGTAACCCCTGTGCATGGCCGGGTTTGACCCAAAAAGAAAAAAAAAAAAGTCAGCCCTGAGCACAAGGCAGATGTGTCTCCAAAATCCAACTATGCTACATCCATCACTGAGGGGAATTCCTGGGGATGGAAGTGGATGGGAACCCTTAGTCGTATTCATGTGAGAACTCACTGTCGCTGGATGCCAGTTCTTCCCCCGGGGCAAGGGCACTGTGAGCCAATCCCCAGTGCCCCGGTTCTGTGTGGGAGTCACTCCCAGTGGTGCCAGGGCGCAGCAGCCTCTCACCGTGAGGACCAGCGGAGTCCTTGCTTGTAGGTTTTTTGGTTGGTTGGTTGGTTGGTTTGGGGTCACTCCTGGCTGTGCTCAGGAAGTACTCCTGATGAGGTGGGAGACCCTATGGGATGTCGGGCTGGAGGCTGGTCGGCCACGTGCGAGGCAGCGCCCCACCCTCTGTCCTATCACTACGGCCTTCAGCTTTAACTTCTAAAGGGAGGAAGACCCGGTTACTAATCCGGGTCGTGCGGCGAGGAGGGGGGGGGGGATTCAGGCCGCCTGCACAGAAATGAGATGGGAGCCTGGTACCGTGAGCAAGGAAACGCGGCCTGTGCTGCTGCCACCTGCTGGCCACACGCGGCAGCGCCCGAACACAGCCTCCCTCTCAGACCTCCAGGGGAGGAGCTGGGGGTCCTGGATCACGACCCCCTCCCCAACCATCATGCTCCTCACAGGACCGGTGTTTGTCAGGTAGGCGAGTACCATTGTTTCATTTTTCTGTTTTGTTTTGTTTGGGGGCCACACCCAGTGCTGCTTAGGGATCTATCCTGGTGGGTGTCAGGGGACCATATGGGGTGCCAGGGATTGAATCCAGGTTGGTCACGTGCAAGGCAAGCCCCTTACCCCCTGCACTATCGCCCAGGCCTCTTATTGTTTCATTTATTAAATTTGGTTTGGGGGCCACTCCGTGGTGCTCAGAAGACCATGGATTGCGAGGATTGAGCCCAAGGATCCCCCTTGCAAAGTGTTCCAGGCCGTTCTTCTGCTGGTTTCTGAGCGACACCCAGCGGTGCTCAGGGGTTATGTCAGGCTCTATGCTCAGCAGTCACACTTGGCCCTATTCAGGGTCCAGGTAGATGATCCAGGGACCTGAACCAGAACAGACTGCATGGAAGGCGAGCAAGCATCCTACCTGCTACACAATCTCCCCACCCCCTCGGAACCTCTTTACTGCAAAAAGAACCACAGGGTTAACCCTGGAACCACCGGGGTTTAGCTGCGAGTGCCCACTGGGCTGTAGGACTGCTGGAGAAGGTTCTCCCCAGGGCAGAGCCAGGAGGTGTAACACAGATGCATTTTCCCGCATCGTGATTGGAACTCACACCTTCTCTTCCCTAACTGCATGAATGCTTGGGTCAGGCACCAAACGTGAACCACCCAATTTTTCCGAAAAGCTTCTGTTCATCTATAGGCGGGTGGGAGCAATTCAAGGTGTGTGTGGGCGCTGACCTGCTCCTGAGGGTGGGTGCCTTTGCCGTGACCACCGAGCAGCCGTCATTCTAACACACCACACTCTCGTTTCTTCCCCTTTGTATCTCAAAGGATTTAAAATTGTAGAAAAGTGGAAATTGGGGGCGGGAGCAATAGCACAGCGGGTAGGGCATTTGCCTTGCACGTAGCCGACCCAGGTTCGATTCCCAGCATCCCATATGGTTCCCTGAGCACCACCAGGGGTAATTCTTGAGTGCAGAGCCAGGAGTAACCCCTGTGCATCGCCAGGTGTGACCCAAAAAAGCAAAAAAGAAAAAAAAAGTGGAAATTGTGCCAGTGCGTTTGGCCGGGTCTGTAGCACACAGGTCTGACTCCGGGTGTGCTGCATTTGGCCCCCCCGCAGTGCAGATAAGCCATGAAGAGTTAACACTAACTGCAAAGACTTGCTTTCTTTTGGCCACGCCCACCTCAGATCGATGGGTCGAGACCTCTCCCGCAGAAAAGATGGTAAGAATGGGGGAAAACCTGGCTCTCCGTCCATAAAACAAGTAGTTCCATAAGACCGACAGACGCCGCACTCAACCACACAGGACCGCTTACTAAGCCTACAACTCCCGGCGTGCAGCGCGCGTACACACCGCCTCGCGACCGCAGCGAAATTCGAGCGGCGTCCGCGATGCCTTCTGGGAGTTGTAGTCCCAAAATTGGCGAGAACTCTCAGCCAATGAAAACTTAGAGACCCTTGAGTGAGAGGCCTATACGCCAATGAATACGCTCTGTGGATGGGGCGGGATTTCCTGTAGCGAAGTCCTGGAGAGCGACTGCGCGACAACGAGCACTTCCTTTTGCGAGTGGCGGCGAGAGCGGAGCGGTCGCCATGAAGGCCTCGGGCACGGTCAGGCGAGCGCAGCGGGCAGCGGGGCCGGGACTGGGGTTCGGGGCCCGGCGGGCGGGCGCGGGGCACCGGGAGCTTCCAGGGACCGGAGAGCGAGGCGCGTTCCGGACGGCGGGTGGGGGCGTGCGTGCCGCCCGGGACTGTGCGGCCAACATGGCGGCCGCCGCGTGGGGCGCGCGGGGAAGCGGGGCCGGGGTGCAGCTGCGGGGCACGGGGCCTGGCTGGGGTCCGTCCGGGGACTTGGCGCTCGCTACGCCTCACGCCTGCTCCCTCCCACCGTAGCTGCGAGAGTACAAGGTGGTGGGACGCTGTCTGCCCACCCCCAAGTGCCACACGCCGCCCCTGTACCGCATGCGCATCTTCGCCCCCAATCACGTGGTGGCCAAGTCTCGCTTCTGGTACTTCGTGTCACAGTTGAAGAAGATGAAGAAATCCTCGGGCGAGATCGTCTACTGTGGCCAGGTAGGGTGGGGTGACCGCGCCCTGCGTGGGGGGTGCGCCCTGGCCCAGCAGCCCCTCACCCCGCTCTCCCGCAGGTGTTCGAGAAGTCGCCCCTGCGGGTGAAGAACTTTGGCATCTGGCTGCGATACGATTCCCGCAGTGGCACCCACAACATGTACCGGGAGTACCGCGACCTCACCACGGCCGGCGCCGTCACCCAGTGCTGTGCGTGGGACACCAGGGCAAGGGGGAGGAACACCCAACGGGGACCAGGTCCCCTGAGCACCCAAACCCAAGAGCTGCTGCTTCTCGTTGCCGCAGCTTAAACAGCGGTGCCGACAGCAATTGCATCTCGTCGCCTTTGGGGGGCTGGGCGGTGTCCCTCAGAGTGAATTTGGAGGTTCTACAGGACTGGTGTGTGTGAGGGGGGGTGAGCAGCGCGGGGGGTTGGAGGGGATCATCAGCCCGACTGTCTCCGCAGACCGTGACATGGGCGCCCGCCACCGTGCCCGCGCCCACTCCATCCAGATTATGAAGGTGGAGGAAATCCCGGCTAGCAAGTGCCGTCGGCCAGCGGTCAAGCAGTTCCATGTGAGTGTCCTGTCGGGTAGGGAGGGCATGGGGGGGGGGTGGGGCGTGGGCTCCACAACACGCCTGACCCTCTCCTCCCTGCAGGACTCCAAGATCAAGTTCCCGCTGCCCCACCGGGTCCTGAGGCGCCAGCACAAGCCCCGCTTCACCACCAAGAGGCCCAACACCTTCTTCTGAGCTGTGGGAGCTCCAATAAACTCCTCGGCATCCAGGGCGTATTTGGTTCTTGGGGGGGGGGGGCTCAAAAGGGTGCGGCCAGGAGGAGTCTGCCTTGGGATTGGTGGGTGCTTCACCCGGTCTGCTGTCCCGTTGGCATGGGAACAGCAAAGTGGAGCCCTTCCTGTGGCACAGCTTCCACGCCAATGTTTGGGGTTTGCTGACTGTTCTCCTGCTTGCCCTGCTCAGCCCACACTTGTTTGTTGGGGTGCATCTGCTCATCCCCCACTAAAGGAAGCACTGGAGTAGCAGGGCACTATGAGGAAGAATCTCCAGTTCCCCCAAACTCCAGAGTCCAAGTTCCCTGGAAGTTGGGGTCAGTGTTGGCGTACACCCCCCAACCCAATTCTGGAGCATCCATCCCTGCAATCTGGGGAATAGGGGGTCTGTCTTGGTGAGGCTTGTTCTGGAGTGAAATTAGCATTGCCTCCCAATGCCCCTCTGCACAGGGAGCCCTAGATCCTGCTGCGTGGCCCTCCTTGGGGTGGGGTGGTGAGGTCCGGGCATGCAGGAGGATCTTCACTCCTGAATGAGTAGTGTCAGCTGAACTGAGTCAACTGACTGATCAACAGGACAGCAGCCAACCCCTGTCGGGATATCCCCTAAATTCCCCCATCCCTACCAGGAATTAAGTACTGTTTGGTGTACTCCAGAATATGCAAAACATTGGTCTCATGGATAGGCCAGTGCCCATGGGGAGGGGCCTGCACGCTGCATGGCACTACTGTCCTGTGTCTGGACGGGACAGGTGTTTGGCATACAGCAGGGGCCAGGCTGTACCCCATCTGGGGTTCCAGTTATCAACACTAGAAACCCATACCTGCAATTACCAGTTTCCTGGGGAAGCCTATGACCCTCCATGCTTGGGTTCTAATTGGGATGAGCCCCTGAGCTCAGGGGATTCCTGACCGGGGGCACCTGCCCCACCCCCATAGCACACAGGCTGTTGGAACGCTCTGTAGCCCACTCTCCCACCCCCAGTTACACGTGTGTAAGCAGGCCCCGGGAGTGCCAGCCCTCGAGGCAGCACTCTTTGCAGCCTTCTGAGTTGGGTTGCATGGTCTGCCAGACTTCGGAAAAATGCTCGGGATGAGCCCCACGGGGCTGGTCAGAGGCTTGCAGCCTCTGCAGCCAATTTCCCAGCAGGAGGGGAGGGGACCAGCCACCCGCGAGGCCATAGCCCGCCCAGTTCAGAACGCAAAGGGTGCGGGTCCTGCCCACCCCGGGGCGGGGCTGCAGCTTTGCGACCCGGGAGGGCGCCCCATAAATGCGCAGTCGTCCGCAGGGTCCCCAGCAGCCGGCACTGGTGAGGGACTGACCACGGGCCGTGACGGGAGGACACCAAACTCACTGCGTCCCGCAGGACCAATGGCCACCGTCGAGGCAGGGCCTCCGGCCACCTTTGGAGCGTGGGACTACGGGGTCTTCGCGCTCATGCTGTTGGTGTCCACGGGCATCGGGCTGGGCGTCGGGCTGGCGCGCGGTGGACAGCGGAGCGCCGACGACTTCTTCACGGGCGGCCGCCAATTAACGGCCGTGCCCGTGGGCCTGTCGCTGGCCGCCAGCTTCATGTCGGCCGTGCAAGTGCTGGGCGTGCCCGCAGAGGCCGCACGCTTCGGACTCAAGTTCTTGTGGATGTGCCTGGGCCAGCTGCTCAGCTCGGTGCTCTCTGCCACCCTCTTCTTGCCCGTCTTCTATCGCCTGCGGCTAACCAGCACCTACGAGGTGGGACTGCGGGGTTCTGGGAAGTGGCCGGGGCAGTGGGGAGAGGGGCAGGAAGGAGGAAGAGGCAACGCCCTGGAGGTGCGCTCGGCAGGGCCAAACTGGACCCTGAGTGCCCTTCCCTCACCTGCGCGCAGACCCCGGAGCTCTGCGGGGAGCCGGGGTACACAGGTCGCGGGGTCCCCGACGGGCGCCCGCTGCTTCTCAGCGGGGATCCTGCCTCCAGGACAAATGACAGAGTGACCTGTGAACAGTAGTAAAGCGGCCAGACCGCTGGCCATGGACGCTGCGGGGCCCGAGGGGTGCACAGCCGACGATGGCCTCTTGCACACGCCGTGTCCCCGCGACCGAGACGGTCCCGGGTAGGCAGAAGCCTAAGTATTGGCGAAGGACTCGGGTGGGAGCAGTCCAGATGACACCGGTCGGGCTCTTCTTTGCAGTACCTGGAGCTGCGCTTCAGCCGCGCGGTGCGGCTCTGCGGGACCGTGCAGTACCTGGTGGCCACGGTGAGTGGCTACGCCCATCGGCTCTGTCCCCGCCCCAAGCCGCATTTGCCCCGCCCTTCACGAGCCTGCCCCATTCCGAATAGTTCCGCCCACACGCATGGCTTCACCTGTCCCTAAGCCTCACACTTGTGATTGGCCCGGTTCCATCAGGCCCCGCCCACAGTCCACAGGGCCCCGCCCCCGCAGAAGTGCTCTTGCTCTGGGCCCGCCCCTCACCCCCGCTCCCCGCCCTCTGCCTTCAGGTGCTCTACACGGGCATCGTGATCTACGCGCCCGCCCTCATCCTGAACCAGGGTGAGACTGGGAGCCCGGGAGGGGGCTCCGGGGGTTGCATATATGGAAGCACCTGGGGGGGCAGAGCTGACCCCCAGGACCCTGGGGCATCGTTTGCCCCCCACCCCTGTACAACTGGTGAAGGGTGTCTTTGCAGTGACCGGCCTGGACATCTGGGCATCCCTCCTGTCCACAGGAGCCATCTGCACCTTTTATACGACTGTGGTGAGTGACTCCCTCCAAGCAGTCCCCGTGGGAGATTCCAGATCCCTGGTGGGGGACCCCTGAGGCTAGTCCTTCTGAGGAGGCCTGTGCCGCAACCCCTTCTCCATCTCTTCACCCCTGTAATGAAAGGTGATTTTGAAAGGCTTCTTGCTGGGAGCCTGGGAAACTGTAGCTTCAGGTCTGACTGGATCCAGGAGTTATACTTTGGAGTCAGCCCCAGGTTTCTCCCACTTCTGGTTTCTAGAACCATAGAAAGGGAACCAGGGAGCACAGCGGGTATGGCATTTACCTTGCACGCGGCCAACCCGGGTTCGATTCCCAGCATCCCATATGGTTCCCCGAGCACCGCCAGGAGTAATTTCTGAGTGCATGAGCCAGGAATAACCTCTGTGCATCGCTGGGTGTAACCCAAAAAGCAAAAAAAGAAAGAAAAAGAAAGAAAGAAAGAAAGAAAGAAAGAAAGAAAGAAAGAAAGAAAGAACCAGCTGACCAGTCTTCCATAGTAGCACTGCTTGGGCAGCCCCTGCTTAGGATGAATTATGAATGCGATGCTCTGACAGGCTGTTCTTGTGATGAGGGGGTGAGGGGAGAAGGGTCAAAGTGGGGCTGGGTGGAAAGAACAGCCGAACAGCGAGCAAAGTTCCTGTGACAGGTCTCCCTGAGCAGCAGTGTGGCCAGGAGCTGGGCCAGCCACCACCAGGGGAGGTGCAGTTGCTCAGTTTCCTTTGGGGGGCTCCCAAGTAGTTCTCAGCAGGTCTGCTCCCACCCGTGACACTTAGCAGAGCCCTGGAGCTTGGAAGGAGGTTCAGGTGTGGGCCATGGGAGTCACTCCAAGTCACACTGGGACTCAGGGATCAAACCCAGGCCTAGAACACACCAGGCCTTCAAGCAGACTGCCCCAGGGTCTGGAGCAATAGCACAGCGGGTAGGGCATTTGCCTTGCACGCGTCCAACCCAGGTTCGATTCTCAGCATCCCATATGGTCCCCTGAGCACCGCCAGGGGTGATTCCTGAATGCAGAGCCAGGAGTAACCCCTGTGCATCACCGGGTGTGACCCAAAAAGCAAAAAAAAACAAAAACAAAAAAACAAGCAGACTGCCCCACTGCTGGGAGGGATGGCTATAAACCCCATTTTCAGGTGGAGGTACGTGGGGCTGCCAGGGAACTCTGTCCCGGATGCTGCCCGACACCTCTCTCCACACACCTGCAGGGAGGCATGAAGGCGGTGGTCTGGACCGACGTCTTCCAGGTGGTGGTGATGCTGGCTGGCTTCTGGGCCATCCTAATCCGGGGGACCATGCTCGGGGGAGGTCCTGCACAAGTGTTGGAGCTTGTCCAGAACCACTCACGGATCAACCTGCTGGAGTGAGGAAGTGGGGGGCGGGGGCACTGCCAGGGAATCTGTGTGGGAGATGCACCTGGGCCTCCATGTCTGACCTCATAGGGCCTGCAGCTTCTTTACCTGTTCATCTGTCATTGGACGTGGGCTGTCTCCCGATCTTGGCTCTTGTAAATAGTGCTGCAATGAACACAGCATTTCTGTGTTCTCAGGGTAGATGCCAAGGAGTGGAATTTCTGGATCATATGCTAATTGGTGGATTTGTAGCCTGGCAACTCCTATTCACCCTTCAAAACCCACTCCAAATATCCCCCAAAAAGTCTTGATGAGGAGTTTCCAGAATAGCATACAGAGCTGACTTGCTCTGCTCCCACCCAGCTTTGACCTGGACCCCCGGAGCCGCTACACCTTCTGGACCTTTCTGGTGGGGGGTACGCTGGTGTGGCTGTCCATGTACGGGGTGAACCAGGCACAAGTGCAGCGCTACGTGGCCTGTCGCTCGGAGTCGCAGGCCAAACTGTGAGTGTGGGGGAGGGGTGTGTCTGGGATGGGCCTGAGCCGTGCAGGGTGGGTCTGAGGTGACCCCCCCCCCAGGGCTCTGCTCATCAACCAGCTGGGCCTGTTCGTGATAGTGTTCAGCGCGGCCAGCTGCGGGATGGTCATGTTCGCCTTCTATGCCAGCTGTGACCCTCTCCGCACCGGGCGCATCTCTGCCCCCGACCAGGTGAGGTCCAGCCCACCTCTGAGGGGCCTCGTGGTACAGGCTGGGGCTCGCGAGTGTGGAGGGTGGGGGTGAGGAAGCGGGGCCAGGCCCCTCATGATCGTTGCTGCTGTGGCCAAAACCAGGTCCACACAGGCCAGGCCAGGCTGACGGACCTTTAGGGAGGCAGTGAGGGGTCCCTCAGTTGTGCTGCTCTTGTGCTGGCCCCAGGAAAGCATGGTGGTGGGATGGTGCTCTAGGGGTACGCCCTCTTTATTTACACACATATATGCACACATACATACACAAACCCACACACACATGCTCACATACACACATGCTCTCACAAATATACTCACACCCAGGCATACACAGGCATGTATGCATGCACACAACCATGCTCATGCACACATATACTCGCTTACATATACACTTGTACACTCACACTCATGCTCACACACACATACACACACATGCACTCACACATCCTGCCTGGGTCATCCGCCAGCCTGCAGCTCCCACCTGGGACCCCCTTCTTCTGCCATCCCCTTCCTGGGCCGCACCCTGGATAGCCCAGTGAGTGACCCTGACCTCCGTCCTCGCCCATGCGGGAGAGGCAGACCGGGGCCCCTGTCTTGGTAGGATCTCTGTACATTGCACTGTCAGGAGCACCCTGAGTGCACTGTGGTGCCCTGGGCACTGGCATGAGAAGCAGCAGGGGCTTCCCGAGACTAACACTCCCCCTACTCTCCCAGTACATGCCCATGCTGGTGCTGGACATCTTCCGGGATTTGCCCGGGGTCCCTGGGCTCTTCCTGGCCTGCGCCTACAGCGGCACCCTCAGGTGAGCCCAACCATGCCCCGCCCAGAGCTTCCTGGTCACTGGTCCCTCCACAGGAGACCCTGGGGGTTCCTCGGAGACTGACCAGGGGAGGGAGCCTAAGGCCTCCCAGGGCCCTCAGCGCTGTCCTCCCAGCCTCCCGCTGGGTTTTTCACACCCCGTTATTCTGCCTTGGATGAGGTCACCACGTGGGGCTGAGGGGTCCTGGCAGGTCCCCATGGGAGAAGGGGTGGAGATGGGGTCGCCCAGCGCCTGCTTGCCCCCAGCACGGCGTCCACCAGCATCAATGCGATGGCGGCTGTCACCCTGGAAGATCTGCTCAAGCCACGCCTACGCGGCCTGGGGCCCCGCCGGCTGGTTCTGGTGTCCAAGGCGCTTTGTGAGTGCGGGTCTGGGGGCGTGGGGGGACCCACGTGGGGCCCGGCAGCTGGTGCTGGTGTCCAAGGTGCCGTGTGAGCCCGGGTCTGGGGGCGCGGGGGCTCCCCAGCTGATGGTATCCCGCACCCCGCAGCGTTCATCTATGGTTCCGCCTGCCTCACTGTGGCTGCCCTGTCCTCGCTGCTGGGGGGCGGTGTCCTCCAGGTGAGTGCGAAGCGGGAGTCCCCAGAGCCAGGGTCTGCCCACAGCTGAGGTCCCCCAGCCCCAGAGCAGCGCTGACTGGCAGGTGGCAGTAGAGTCAGCGCCCCATCAGCATTGTGGCCCGGCAAAAGAGCCCCTCCCCCTGTAGGGAAACTAAGGAACAGAGTTGGATAAGGGCGCAGGGAGAGGGGGGTGAGGTGGGAAAACAACTCAAAAACCTGCCGCAGCACAGGTAAGATTTGATGCTGGCATCCTGGGAGAGCCCCCCACTACAAATAAAAAGGCCTTTTTAGGGCTTGCTTTCCCAGTGGGTAAACTGAAGCTGCTCACCCCCCCTCCCCAGGGCTCCTTCACGGTCATGGGCGTCATCAGCGGCCCCCTGCTCGGGGCCTTCATCCTGGGCATCTTCCTTCCCTCCTGTAACTCGCGGGTGAGATCCACTGGGGTCGGGTCCGGATGGCGGAAGGGTGGGGGGGTGCCCTTTTGCACAGGAACAGGGATATTTGGTGGGGGCATTGTGGGCGGAGGTGTTTGGGGCGTGTCCTATGCGTGGCGGGTGGGGCATGCACAAGGGTGGGACTTTGTTTGGGGTGTGGTCTGTGTAGGGGTGGGGTCTTGTGGGCGGGGCTCCATTGGGCTGGGCACATACTGGGCCGGACTTGTTTCTGGGCGTGGTCTGTGCGGGGCCGGGAACTTGTAGGCGGGGCTCCATGGGGCAGGGCACTGCTGGGGCAGGGCATTGTGGGTGGGGTCTTTGGGGGCGGGGCTCCCTAGAGCAGGGCACATACTGGGGCGGGGCTTGTTCGGGGGTGTGTTGGGGCTTTGAGGGGCGGGGCGTTGTGGGCGGGACTTCATAGGACACGGCATATGCTGGGGCTAGCGTGTTCAGGGGCTGGACGCTGCTGACACTGCTACCGGGTCCCAGGGCGTGCTCTCTGGTCTGGCAGCGGGCTTGGCACTATCACTGTGGGTGGCCGTGGGCGCCACCCTGTACCCGCCCAGCCCACAGTCCATGGGGGAGCTGTCGACTTCGGCTGCCGGCTGCGCCCAGCTCCTGGCCAACGCCTCCCTCCTGAACCAGCAGGGCACCGCTAACGCCTCCAGTGAGGGCCACAGGTGAGCCCAGTGGACACGTGCGAGGGCACGAAGGTAGGAGGTCCTTTGGGCACCTTCCAGCGTCCTTGGTGTCCTCCCCAAGTTCTGTGGTACTTTGTGGCCATATCTGTCTAGATGCAGTCTCCTGTCTGCAGCTGCACACTGTCCCCACATCGTGCCAGTGCTTCCTCATGTCACCATTCTGTCCTTTGGGAAGCCTGCGGGTCTCCTGTGTTTTCTTTGAAGACTCAGGAGCCTGGAAGGCTCACCCCCAGTCCTCTGCCCTCCCTATAAACCAGGCCATATCTCCCCTTGGGTATTTGCTCCTTGTCTTCATATCTGCTGCCAGCGAGGTTCGACCTTTGCTGAGGGGCTCACTATTCCCTCCCATCCTGATCCTGAGGGCCGTCTCTGTCCCGGTGACCATGTCCCTCCTACCCCCAGCATGTTTATTTATTTTTTGGCTTTTTGGGTCACACCCAGTGATGCTCAGGGGTTACTCCTGGCTCTGCACTCAGAAATTACTTCTGGCAGTGCTCAGGGAACCAAATGGGGTGCTGGGGATCGAACCTAGGTTGACTGAATGCAAGGCAAATGCCCTCCCCGCTATACTATTACTCTGCCCCCCAACCCCCACCCCGTGTGAGTATGGATGAGATTTTTCTCTCTCTCCTGCCCTTGAGTGCGCTACCACTGACAAAGCTCAGGGAACCGCTCAGGATTTTCCTCTCAGGTTTCATTTAATTTGGTCCAGGACAGGATGGTGACGGGGAACCAGGAGGGGGATGCAGGGACACAGAAGCCGCCCTGAGCAGTGTTTTAATGACACTCCCTGGGGCGTGGCAGGGTGTGCTGGGGTGGAGGTCTGGAGTGAGGGTTCATTAACTGCTGAGCGCACCTCGCTATTGCACAGGGGGCCTGGGAGCTGGGAGAGGAGCGGCAGGTAGGAGATATGTGCATTGGGGGTAGCTTGGGGATAACCTCCTAACTCTCTCCCTGCTTCCTCAGCGGGGACACTGGCCTGCCAGCCTTGGCCAACAGTTTGTATGCCATCTCCTACCTCTATTATGGAGCCCTGGGCACGGTGGTCACGGTGCTGTGTGGTGCCCTTGTCAGTTGCCTGATGGGTAAGAAGAAGCTACTGGCAAGCTGGGAGGGTGCAGGAAGGGGGGCCCCGTGGGGTCACCCAGAATCTTGCAGAGCTGGCCCTGATGGCTCCCTGTCCCTTGCCGGAAGGGGTGGGTGGGACCAGGAACAGGGAACCGGCATGGAGCTGTTCCTGGTGCTGAAACGGCCACCACCGCAGCCGCTGGTCTCCTCAAAGGCCCCCCTCCCCCCACCCCCGTCTCCCCGCACCCCCAGGTCCCACAAAGCGTGCTTCCGTGGGTCCCGGGCTGCTGTGGTGGGACCTGGGCAGGCAGATGACGCCTGTGGCAGGACAGGAAGAAGCCGTCGTGCTGGATGATGGCGCTTTGGTGAAGGTACGAACCCAGGCCGGGTGAGGGCTGGGATGTGGATGGTGAGTGGGCGTCTGGGAAAGCGACCCTCAGCAGGGCTATCCAGCGGTGTCCTGTCTCCCCAAGCCCTCATTTCATTGTTTCCGATTTTGCAACTCCAGTCTGTGGCCAGGCATCAAGTCTTTGGTGCAAACTTAAGAGGGCTTCATCCCCGAGGGTTGGAGGACGTGCATGGGTGGGGATGCCCCTTTCCTCAGCCCGCAAAGGGTCCAGCGGTGGGGGCGTGCAGGAAAGGGAGTGCGGGCTAAAACTAGGATTCCACTGGTATTTCCTGCCTCCCCGCCAGGGCGTGGAGACACTGACCCCGAGAGCCAAGAATTCCCCGGAGCTCCTGCCCGCTGAGGACCGTCCACTCTTCCAGGGGGCAGAGGGGTCCAGTGCCAGGGCTCCAGGCCCGGACCTGCGCGAGACGAACCTCTGAGGGTGGGCGGAACTCAGGATGGCCAATCCCAGGCCAGCAGTCGAGGGCTCAGGTTCTGATTGGCTGGAACGCACTTCTATGCAGATGAGCCGGGCGTAGGGGGGTCCAGCCCCCTCTGACTTTTCCCTTATCTATGATGCAGAAAAGGCCCCATCCAGGGACAGGGAAACTGAGGCCCGGAGAGGGGCAGCCATTTGGTCAAGGTACTTACGAAGCAGACTCCCCCAGGAGTCCTGAGTTAGAGGTCACTGGGAGCAGGAATGAAAATTAAGGATTCAGTTTCCCGGGCCAGCACAGCAGGGCACTGTTGGGGAGAGCCAGGGTGGATGCAGAGGGCCAGTCACTGGCACGGCCCAGCTCATCCCAGAGGCGCTTTCTCTGCAGTCATGACCGGCTCCGCACACCTGCCGATGGACAAGGCTTTTGCGGGGCTCCTGCACCGTAACCTGGGTGCCCCCTCCTGAACCGGCGGCCCACCCCGACCTCTTCCTTCACACTTCTCCTGGCGCACCCCGAACCCCCAAATAAAGAAGCCAGAGCCACTTGCTGGTCCAGTCAGTGTGGTGGGTTGTGGCGGCGAGCGAGACTGGTCTCCCCTCTGCAGAATTGCTGCGTGTACTTTGGAGCTAGAGAACGTTCTGCAGGGAGGTCAGGCCCAGGGGTGGACATCTCTTAGAGAAACATCCTTGAATTCCAGCAAGGATGTGGGCGCCAGGGGCTGTTGCCCGGGAAGTCTGACTAGGGGGTGGGGTCCACAGCCCCCTTCAGAGCCTGGTGCTCCTGTGTGCTTGTCCTCTCCTGCCCGGCTGGGCGCTCCCAGCTCATCTGAGCTCCATTTGCTGATTATTTAACCTTGCTGTTGAACCCTCACCCCCAACCACCTCCCCAGAACTGCCGAAGGGTCCCCTGCATACAGTCCTCTCAGTGACCCAGCCCACACCTCCTTCCTGGGGCGCGTCCCCTTCCCCCCCCCCCCTTATTGACAGAGCTGAGGAGAACAGCTCACAGCGCCTGGCCACCCCTGGCCTCCAGGCCTCTCTCCAGCTCTCCTGCCGCTCTTGGCATCCTCAGCTGTGTCCAGAGAACCCCCCCCCACACACACACACACATTCTTGTTAGTTCTGGATGGGCAGTTGGGTCACCAGAGAGGGCCGGAGGCGGGGCTGGGCAGGAAGTTATGAGTGTGTGCCAGCAGCGCCCCAGGTGCTCCTCCATGCTTGCTCACCGCCAGCTGCAGGCTTGACTGGCTCCAGGCACGGGGTGGGGGGCAGGGGTGGGAGGGGACTCTGCTGGCTGCTGATGGAATGCCCCCTAAACCACATCCCTGCAGGTCCCAGCTCTGTCCTGCAGACTCATGAAATGACTTCATTTGAGTGTGGGCTTGAGCTTGGGGTCTCACGTCGCCAGGCAAGCGCCAGTGCTGAGCTGCTTGAATTGGTGGCCGACCCTCTCTGGGAATCTCCTTACCCTCTATTTATCCAAACTGGCTCATGGTTGCTACATAGCATAGATCAAACTTAGGGTTACCCCAGCAACAGAACACACACAACAGAACCCATCACACAACAGAACCCATCACACAAAATATCGAACCCATGAGCAACAGAACCCATCACACAAAATGTCGAACCCATGGACAACAGAACCCATCACACAAAATGTCGAGAGGGACCAGAGCCTGAGTAGAGGAAGGAGGGCGTTGGACTTGCACACAGCTGACCCAGGTTCAATTCCCAGAATCCCATAAGATCCCTTGAGCTCCACCAGGAGTGACCCCTGAGCACTGCCAGGTGCTACATCAAAATTTAAAAGCCCAGAAGATATTTGAATTATATTTGAATATTTGAATCCCATTATCTGAACTACATGGAGGCGTATTTATTTTCCTTCAAGAACCTATCAATTGGGGCTGGAGTGATAGCATAGCGGGCAGGGCGTTTGCCTTGCACGTGGCCAACCTGGGTTGATTCCCAACATCCCATATGGTCCTCCAAGCACCGCCAGGAGTAATTCCTGATCCATGAGCCAGGAGTAACCCCTGAGCACCACTGAGTGTAACCCAAAAAGAAAAAAAAAGAATCAATCATGTGTTTTCCTGAACCACAATAATCAATCTTATTTGTTTCTTCTTTAAAATTTGTTTCACTTTTGGGCTGGAGCGATAGCACAGCAAGTAGGACGTTTGCCTTGCATGTGGTCGACCCGGGTTCGATTCCCAGCATCCCAGATGGTCCCCTGAGCACTGCCAGGAGTGAGTCCTGAGTGCAAAGCCAGGAGTAACCCCTGAGTATCGCCAGGTGTGACCCGAAAAGCAAAAAAAAAAAAAAATACACAGAGGCCGGAGAGATAACACAGCAGGGAGGACATGGCAAACCTGGGTTCTCATCTAGTTCTCTGAGCACTGTCAGGAATGATTCCTGAATGTAGAGCCTGGAAAAACCCCATGAGCATTGCCAAGTGTGCCTCTCCACAAATAAAGAGAACAAATTAAAAGAAACCCCCCCACACACACAATACTAAGTTTAAAGATTATTCTGGAAGGTTCACTCTGAGATTCCACAGACCCTGCATGGCACATCTGATGGACAGAATAAAATAATGAACAGAAACAAAACAAAGCAGTCTGCTGGGGAGAGGCTTCACAAGTGGAAACTGGTTCAGCGCCAGGCACCCCAAACAGAACCACGAGCCCCATCCTGGACCCATCCTAAGGGGTGATGTGCTGGACAGGCGTGGACTCCTGGGGTTTGACAGGTGCCAGACACATGAACCTGCCTGCCCCCTCCCCCTCAGGCTCCCAGGACTGACCCATCGCTCACACTCGCTGTGCAATCAGTGACTGTTCGCATGCTATGGTGGGGGCAGAACGGCGAGGTGCAGGGAGGCAATTGCTTGTCTCCGACAGACCCCGCAGAGGCGGCTCCCCACCACTCCTTGGGGCCTAGCCCGGGGCCCTGTTTGATATGGAGAAAGGGGCACCTGATCAGCACGTCTCAGGGCACATGTGCCCTGGTTTCGGGGACGGGCCAGTGCCAGGACCCGGCTACTCCTCAGCTGGGTTCCCCGGCCTCTGCAGAGGGCAAGGGTGGGGTCCACTCTGGAAATCTCTTCTCAAACATTTGTTTTCCAACAAGCCTCTGCTGGAGCCCTTGTACTTTAGCCTGGCTCTGAGAAAGCAGCTCTGCGGGGCAGGGGGCAGGGGTGGGGCCACGGGTTTGTAGGGGGGCCACAGAGCATCCTGGACTAGGCCTTGTGGACACAGGGTCCACAACTTCCAATCGACAGGGTGAGCCCCCAACCCCGGAGGACCCCAAACCCTGCCCTGGGCAGGACAGACACACAGTCCCCCAATGTGGAGCCCTGGAGACCAGAGCCCAGAATGCCCCGGGGACGTAGAGGATGGGGTCAGGAAGGGGCTGTGTGTCCTGGGGGTGGGGACAGCCACGGAGGTGGATGCTCACAGGCCGTCTGAGGTACCTGGCGCTCTCGCCTGACTCTGGAGGCAGGGTCTGTGGTGCACTTTCTTTTTCCTTTCTTTCTTTTTTTTTTATTTTTTGCTTTTTGGGTCACACCCAGCAATGCACAGGGGTTACTCCTGGCTCTGCACTCAGTATTCATGCCCGGCAGTGCTCAGGAGACCATATGGGATGCTGAGAATTGAACCCGGGTTGGCCACATGCAAGGCAAACGCTTTACCCGCCATGCTATTGCTCCAGCCCCTCTTTTTTGTTTTTTTTAAGTAAAAAGATTTTATTTGGAGGGTTTTTTTGAAGGGAAGGAGGGAGACAAAGTTGGAGAACGTAGAGAGTAAGAGACAGTAACACGCTCAAGAGGGAACAAGGGCTCCTCCAAGGGCCCTCATACACCCTACATACACCCCAGCATTAGATAGGAAGCATGAAATGACATATCTCAAGAGGGGAGATGCGGGCGACACATGTGCTCAGGCACCATATGTGGGGGATGGAACCCGAACTTGGCCACGCGGGTGCAAGCAGCACATGGGCTCAGGCAGCATATGTGCCTGTGGTGCACTTTCTATCGGAGAGAGTTCATCGGGGACCCCGGGTAGAGCTCGGGCTAACTTCCTGCCTCTGTGCTCAGGGATAACTCCCAGATTTGTGCTCAGAGATCACCCTGGCAGGACTCAGGGATTGAACCTGTGCCGATCACATGCAAGGCTGCCCCCCCGCCGACCCCCGCTGTACTGCCCCCAGCCCTCTCACTCCAGCTGCATGGCTTTCATCCCAGTCTGAGGACCAGAACAAGCATCCGTGTCCCAGAGCGCTGGAGCTAGAGGTACTGGCGGGTACTGGGGTTAGGGGATGACTTTGCTCTCTCCCTCTGACCGACCCAGTGCGTGGTCTGGGGGCCGTGCCTGGACATGCCTGTTGCTTGGGGCACCCCTCTGTGGCAGCCCCCTTAGTCTCAGCTGGGGCAGAGGGGTCCGGGCCAGTTATGGGGTTGGGACTCCCTGCAGTCAGGTGGCCCAAAGGGAGCTGTGGCTGGGAGCTGGTGGGAGGCTGGGAGGCCAGGCAGGAAGTGGGGTGCATCCCCAGGCGCCTTGATCTTTATCTCAGGGACAGGAATGGGGCGTGAGCCAGAGGCACTGCTCCAGCCCCACCTCTTGTTTGCTCTGACACAGGGGTGAGAACCGCCCTCTGCTGCTCTTTTCCTTCTCTTTCTCAGTTTCGGGGCCACACTGGAGGTGCTCAGGGCTGGCTCCTGACTGTGCCCAGGGACAACTCCTGGCAGGACCTGGTGGGACCCTCGAGGGTGTGGGGGATGGAACCCGAGCTGGCTGTGTGAGGCCAGTGCCTTACCCTGTGCTCTTTCTCCGACCCTGGTTTCTATTTTGATCTTTTACTAGTGTTCTCTCCTCTGCCGTCTGCATGGACAGATAGATGGTCAGTCAGCAGACAGATGGTCAGACAGCCAACAGAGGCAGATGAACAGCCAACAGGCAGAGAGCCGACAGAAAAATAGACGGACAGCCAGTGGACATAGAGACAGTCAACAGATGGACAGCCAGTAGACAGACAGCTGACAGACATATGGACAATCAGACAGCCCGCAGGCAGATGGACAGACAGCTGACAGACAGATCAACAGACAGATGGTCAAATAATCAACAGACGGTCAGACAGCCGACAGACAGCCAAGCAGACCTAGAGAGGTGATGGTTAGGACAATGGTAGGGCAGCAGGTAGGTGTTTGCCGTGCACGCAGCCAACCTGGGTTCCGTCCTCCACATCCCACATGGCTGAGGCATGAGCATCCCCAGGTGCGGCCCCCACCAAATGAGAAACACGAGGTTGGGGGGCTCCAGTGAGAACCCCAGAGTAACTCTACCCAGACCCAGCGAATAATCCAGAGCCCAAATTTGCACCTGCACAGGGCAGATGAGGGTAGCGGCAGGGGCGGCTTCCTGGACGGCTCATTCTGGGTTCTGGCAGGGGTCACCAGAGAGGCCAACGTCAGTGCTTCTGTCAACAGAGACCACAGGGGGCCCTGCTCCAGGGTGGCCACAACCCGGTTCCTCTGCCCCTGCAGCTTATTTTTGCAAGACCTGGCCGCAATCCCAGGGAAGTTTAACCCTGCACTGCCTGGGACTCTTCACCAATGTACCAATGTATTCTTCCATGCAGGTACCCCCCCAGACAAGGACAGGGATCCCCGCTCCTCTTCCCAATGGTGTCACGGCTGTGAGAGACTTGCGGCAAGGACAGAGGCAGGTGGGGGCATGTGCTGGCACTCAGATGAGAGGAGTGGGGGGGATTGGACCCTTTTTTTTTTTTTTGCTTTTTGGGTCACACCCGGTGATGCACAGGGGTTACTCCTGGCTCTGCACTCAGGAATTACGCCTGGCAGTGCTCAGGGGACCATATGGGATGCTGGGAATTGAACCTGGGTCGGCTGCATGCAAGGCAAAAACTCCTTACCCGCTGTGCTATCTCTCCAGCCCCATGGACCCTTTCTTTAGGTGCCCAAAGGGTAGCTCACCAGGGACACCCACTCTGCCGGGGACCAATGGACCTGGGGCTGGGAGCAGGAGAGGGTCGTGCCAGCCACTGGCATACTCAGAGAGGGCTTGGGGGGGGGGCGGCCAGAGAGATGGTACTTGGGGAAGGCATTTGCCTGATACAGTTCGATCTCTGGCACCACATAGGGTCCCCAGAGCCTCACCAGGGTGATCCCTGGGCACAGAGAAGAGTGAGCCCTAAGCACCTAAACACCTAACACTCTAAGGGTGAGCCTGCTGAGAAAACAAAGAAGCTGGACCACAGCCCGCAGGTGGTGTGGGGGCCCGGGAAGCAGGTGACAGCCAGAGGCAGCGGAGCGCCTGGCATCTTCCTCCTGTGTGTGTCAGAGCCCACCCCCACCCCCAGCGTGCCTCTTCAGGGCTCAGCAGAGGGTTGTTCTTGGCACGTGGAGCCGCCCCAGGCTGGCATTCCCCATCCCTCCATCTCCACACTCAGGGGCACCTCTGGGGAAAGCCTGAAGGGTTCCCAAGTGGAGGCGTCTTTAGGAGGTGCTGCTGGGTTAATGATGCTGGGCGGGCCCCTCCCCAAACATTCCCACACCTACAGGCATTTGCAGGGGCATGGACCTGGGGGATGTGGTGTGTGTGTGTGTGTGGGGGGGGGGGGACAGTTGCCCAGCGCTGGGGTCACAGATGTGTCGCGGAGAACGGTTTGGTTGGAGAAAAGCAATCCAACATCCCCCAGAATACCCAATTTTTCACTGTCTGGTCTGAGAGAAAACGTGCAGAAGAATCTTACTCGTAAAACTAGCTGCGGTGCAAGTTGGCACGCCTGCGCGTTTACGTCTTTTTTTTTTTTTTAATCTTATGGCTACACCTGGCAGTGCTGGGGCTCCTGCATGCAAAACTTGTGTCCCATCGCTCTGAGTCACCTCGCCGGCGCCCCATAATCTTAACAAGTTCGAGCAGACAGATTGGAGTTCACCTCGTCTCTGCAGCAGAAACGAGGAAGTGGGGGACAGCATGGGGGCCACGGAAGAACGTGGGGGCGCCTCCGGGGCGGCCTGACCAACATTAGGGAAGGAGGCGGCTCAGAAATGGGGGGACCCCCAGGGGTTCATCTCCTTCACTTGTGACGGCCTCAAATATCAACCTTCAAGTGAACCGAAGTGGCCAGGGGTCAGGAATGCGTTTCCTTGAGGAAGAACAGGAACTGTAACGCGATGCGTGCAAGCCAGGCAGCCACAAGCACGTCTCGGAGACCCAGGCAGGCCCGGTTTGTCTGGGTTTTCGGAGGACACTGGAGGTGCAGGGGGTGTTCGGGGGAGGAGAGAGCGCTCAGAGAAGAGCCGTGCCTTTGGACTCGAGTTTGATGCACCCTCCCAGATGCGGTCGTGCCGGTTTGGGGCGGCTCCTTCCAACCTCCCCAGGTCTGGCGCGACCGGGTTCGGCGCAGCCGCGAGAGCCCGTGAGAAGCGGAGGCTGCCATCTTTCATCCGGGCAGCGGCCATAATGGTAAAGGCGTCGCTCCCGCGGGTGGGTCCCAGCCCGCTCTTCCCGGCCCACCTGTGCCTGGAGTGAAGTGTGACACGAGGGAAGTATCGCGGGCTTATAGAGGATGCGATTGTGGAAGGGGACGATCAAAGTCTGACGCGGGGAACTGGGCCCGAAGTCACAGCCGCCTTTGCCTCTACCAAGATGGCGCCCGGACGTCGTCGGCGCCAGCCGGTGCCGGCATGGTGCGCAGGCGCGGCGTGACGTCACGGAGGCGCGACCTGACCGGCGCCGGGGAAAGGAGGTAGGCTCGGTCGCGGCGCGGGCGGAGCCCGGGGGCAGGGGGCGGGGTGCGGGTGGACCCGGAGGGGGCCCCTGCCAGAGACCACCGTCCCGCAACGCTTGGAGGTGGGTTCTCGGAGATGAGGGTGCTTCCGGCTCCCGCGGGGGCTGCGCCCGTTTCCCAGAGCGGGAGGCCGACTCCCAGGGACGGCTTCCCACTAAGGACCCGCCCCTGCTCTATGCAACCTCCAGGCTTGCGGGGCTGACCGAACCGGGAACGACGCCCCGACGCCCGGTTACATGCAATGGGACTATGGGAAGGGTGGGGTGCAGGGAGTCCGGGAGGACTACCAGGAGGAGGTGGCGTTCGCGCCTGCTTGGCGCCAGCAGTCATGTGGGTCTCAGCTAGAGCCCCTCCCCGGACCTTTGCGAGGGGTGGGGCGGCTGAGAGCGGTCAACCCCCCAAGTTGGGTGCCTCTCGCACCTTCCCGTCACCCCGAATGGGACACAGCGACCCGGCTCATGGGGCCTTTGCTTAAACGTCGCCTCCCGGAAGCCCTTCTGGATACCTACCTCTCCTTGCGCCCATGGGTTGCTGTCACTCAGGCCCCGGCTCCCGCTGGGTTTCTGAGTGCCCATCCCCCGCCCACACAGCTGGCGCTAGGTAGGTCTGATGAATGAGCATAGGCCCTGAGCCCCGCCTGAGATCTGGGACCCTGCTTTCTCTGACTGGTTCCCCCCGCCCCGTTTGCTCCCCGCCCGCCATGATGGAGCCAGCCACCCGGGCGTCCGTGGCAGTTACAGAGGCTCCCACAACCCGTGCGACCCGATTCCCACAGTCACCTGATTCCACACCCAGGCAGACCCTCCAGGGCTGGGGCGCCCAAGCCTCCACTGAGATTCCCAGCCTGAGCAGGGCTCTGGGTGGGCGTGGGGATCCCGAGCAGTGGCGCGTAGAAGGGACGCTGGCGGGGTTTTCCTTGGTAGGGTGAGCCCCGGGGTGGGAGTGCGTTGCCCCCTGCGGGCCCCTGCACACTGTTGCCGCACCCCTCCAAAGAACCACATAAAAGAAGGAAGAGAAGCAGGCGCAGAGCCCCCACTGCAGCCCGACAGGGTCCCGGCATTCTCTGCCCCCCACTCCCGCAGCCTGCTGAGGAATGCCCAAGAAGTTCCAGGGCGAGAACAGCAAGTCTGCGGCGGCGCGGGCGCGCAAGGCGGAGGCCAAGGCGGCGGCCGATGCACGGAAGCAGCAGGAGCTGGAGGATGCGTACTGGAGGGACGAGGACAAGCACGTCATGAGGAAGGAGCAGCGCAAGGTGGGGACCCCCACCCACCCCACCCCGACAGCGGGGAGCCTGCCATAGCCGCAGGCCTATGAGTGGTGCTCAGGGCCGGGGAGACTGGTCCACCGCGCTCCCCAGGCGCAGTGGAGACCGTGGCCGCTGCGCTGAAACGGTCGGTCCAGCAGGGGGCAGCAGAAACCGGTTCTGCAGCCTCTGGGGTCGCCGGGCCGTCCAGGCTGACCAGGTGCTCTTCGGCATCCTGAGGGGCCAGGCAGCTATTGCAGAGAAGGAAACTGAGGCAACAGAAGGCGGCGAGCCCCAGCCACACATCCGCCCTCTGGCTTCTTGGGCCCCACTGAGGCTCATGGTGGGGAACAGGGGGGCAGTGAGCCAGCGCCTCGTTAAGGCCAGGTGACCAAGCAGCTGAGGCTCAACACACCTCAGGGTTGAGGACCCTGTCCTTACAAAACCCTGCAGAGAACTGCCTGGGCCCCCTTCCCTGTGAGTGGGTTTTGGGGGACTTGCCTTTTGGAGTCGGACCAGGGCTGAGCCACCCTTCCCAGGCCAGGAGGCAGGGATTTGGGGGGCACTGAAAGTAGCTGGGGGTGAAGGGCATGGTAGGTGCAAAGGCCCTGGGGCAGCAGTGCGGGAAAGGGGGCTCCAGCAGCTTTTACTTAACTTCAGGAAGGTCTCCAGTACTCCTGAGGCTCCCTGATGCTGGCTCTGCCGGCTGCGCCCCACCAACCCTCCCGCGTTAGGGCCTTAGCACCCTATTCCCACACTCTGGACTTCCACAGCCCTTGCTACCGCCCGGCCCTCTGCGCAGTGCTCGGGGGTCTCCAGGACTTGTCGGGTGCCGCCTGATCTCCTCCCGCCCCGCAGGAGGAGAAGGAGAAGCGGCGCCTGGAGCAGCTGGAGCGTAAGAAGGAGACCCAGCGGCTACTGCAGGAGGAAGACTCCAAGCTCAAGGGCGGCAAGGGCCCCCGGGGTGCCGCGCCGGCCAAGGTCACCCGCGCACAGATCGAGGACACGCTCCGCCGTGACCACGCACACAAGGACGGCCCCGACCCAGGTGGGCCCCCCACAAGGCAGCGGGGCGCGGGGCGGCCCGGGAGGCTATGCCAGCTCTGCCTCCTGCGCCCCCACCCCCAACTGTCATGGTCCTCTTCCTGTCTCTGCCCTCCCGCAGCAGAGAAAGCCAAGAGCCACTTGGAGGTGCCCCTGCAGGAGAACTTGAACCGCCGCGTGCCGGAGGAGGGCAGCGTGGAGGCCCGCACTATCGAGGATGCCATCGCAGTTCTCAGGTGGGCGGGGCGGGGCCTGACCGCGGAGAGGCGGGGCTTCGTGCGGAGGTGGGGCCTGATTCTCGAGGGGCGGGGCTTGGCATTTGGCCCCGCGTGAGAGGAGGGGCCTGAGCTGGGGAACTTGGGGCCCGGAGGCCGGGGCCAGCGCCACACTGACGGCAGTGTGCACCCCCAGCGTGGCGGAAGAGGCTGACCGTCACCCTGAGCGCCGGATGCGCGCGGCCTTCACCGCCTTCGAGGAAGCGCAGCTGCCGCGGCTCAAGCAGGAGAATCCAAACATGCGCCTTTCGCAACTGAAGCAGCTGCTGAAGAAGGAATGGGCGCGGGCCCCTGAGAACCCACGGAACCAGCGGTCCGTGCCCTTCAACGCTCCCAAGTGAGCCCCCTGCCGGCTGACCCGCCCCGCATGGGTTCCCAAGCAGACCGGGCTGTGCCGCGTCCTGGGGAGCAAGGGGCCACCGTGGACCACGCGTCCCGCCCGAGCCCCCCAGCTCCGAGTGACCCCCTCTTCGTGCGAGCATAGAGCGGGCGGCTGAGTGCCCAATAAAGGCGGCCGGTGAGGCAGTGTTCTCTGCGCACGTCTGATTAGGCGGGTGAGGGGTGATGGGGACTGGGATGCAGCAAGGACCCTGTGCCACCGTCTCCTGCCGCTCAGATAGGGGATCACCCAGTGACACTGATTACGGTCAGAGATAGAGAGCTTGTGCCCTCTGATCAAGGAGCGCGCAGGGCTGCCCATGGGGATGGAACTGGGGTCGCAGATGGGGGCCCACGCTCGAAGGCCCAGGCCAGTTCTGAGTGCTCCTCTCCAGCCGGGGCGCACTCCTCGGCTAACCTAGGGAGGGCAGGCCGGAGGCTCCTGCATGGCTTCGTGGAGTCTGGTGGCCGGGGAGCAGCTGTTGCGACCTGGAGGGAGGAGAGCGGTGCGCGTGCCGGCCCAGGGCACGGGGCGAGCTTGGGGGAGCAGCGTCTGCGATCGCGAGTCCCCGCGGGAACGTGGCGCCAGCGCGCGGAGGAGTCCCGGGCCTCGCGCATGCGCGCAGGCAGCAGGGCCATCCCCGGTCCCGCGAGGGCGGGGGCGTGAGCCGGGATCCCGCGCGCTCCCGCCCACCCGTGCACGCGCCGGCCTCGGCCGGGGGGAGGGGCGCGCACTGCACCTGCGGGGGGTGGGCGGGGGCTTTCCCGGCTCGCGGGTGCGGGGAAACCGCGCGCAAGGCGCCTGCGCCGCCGGGGCCAGGGAAATCCTCGCGCGCCGCAGTGCGCAAGGCCGGGGCTGGGGGCGGGGACCCGGCCAGCCCGAGCGGGGTACGCGGCAGAGGGGCGGGGGGCGGCAGCCGAGTGAGGTCTTCCCCGGGATCCCGCTCGCCCAGCCCGGGCTGTCGCCGTGGCAACCGGGCGCGGGGGCGGCAGCCGCGGAAAGCCGGGAAGCTCTGCGTCTGCGCGCGCCTGGGCGCCTGCGGCGGGGGTTCCCCCGGTGCGCCCCGGGATCTGCAAGGAGAGGGAGAGGCGGGGAAGGGGAGCGTGGTGGAGTGAAGAGCAGGCGGGGTGGGGCCGGAGAAGGTAGGGGAGCCGGGAAGGTCGGGGCGGGGGACGGCCAGAGGTTGCGGACCCCGGAGAGGGGGAGGGGTGCGGGTGGTGGGGATAACAAAGAAAAGGGAGGAAGGGGGAGCTTGAAAGACACTGAAGGAGCCAGGACGATGCAAGGGGGAACGCTACTGTGGAAAGGAGGTGGGGGTGTCACCTTTGGAAAGCCCCGCCCCCCAGCCCGAAGCTCCAGCACCAGTGTCACCAGATTTAGAAAGAAAAAAAAGGCAAAACCGGGACGCCCACTTAAACTTGACTCGGAGAGCCGCGCCCGCCCCGTGGTCTGAGTGTCCAGGGCGGCCTTGTCCTGGCTCGCGCCCCCGCCCCAGCCCATGCCCTGCAGTGGTACCCCCAGGAATCCTTGCCGTAGTGTCCCCGCCCCTGCCTCAATCGTGACTCCCGCAACAGCCAAGCTCTGCAGACGAGACAAGCCCGATCCAGACGACGGTCTCCCCCTTCCTCAGGACCCCCGGGACGCCATGGGAACCCCACCTCCCAGGCGCGCTCCCGTGTGTGTGCACGGAGCAGACGCTGCGCTGTTGCCCAGCCTCGGCCGGGTTTGGGTTTGTGAGTGGAGGGCGGGCAGGCGCCCCTCTCGGCCTCCGGAGCCCGGTCGAAGCCTTTCTCCAGATTTCCTGTCGCTTTCAGAGAGTGGAAGGTGACGAGCCAGGGGAAGGCTAACAGCGGGGACCGCGCTGCACCCAGGGTCCCATGCCCCTTTGTTCTCCATCTTTGCTTTTGGGGCATTTTTACTTTTTCACTCCTCCTTCTCCGGCCCGGAGACACCCGGGGGTGTCTCCCAATTGCCGCGTGGTTCTGGGACCCCCTAGGTGGTGGGTCGGGGTGCGCGTGTTCACGCTCCCCCACCCCCAGCCGCACCCCTTGTCCTGGGGATGACTTTCAGGGGCACTGGCCCTCACGGGAGAGGGAGCGGGATCTCCTGCCGTGCTCCACAGACCCTCGTCCCGAGAGGCAGAGGGGACCCCGTGACTGCAAGGGCATGGGGGAGCGGCTCTCTCTGGCTGGCAGGGGGCACTGCCTTGAACACAGCAGAACGGTGGGGGGAGAACTGAGACAAAAGGGGGCGCTGCTCGGCCTCGCTGGAGGGGGGGTATGTGTGTGGGGGGGGTGCGGTCTGATGGGGCCAAGATGTGCGCAGCTGTGCGCACCGACGAAAATCCCGTGGCTGCAAAGGTACAAGACAAGGAGCGGGCATTTGAGGGGGACATAGAAAAAGTGGGGGACCCCAGGGCTCGGAGATCCCGCCCAAGGGTACTCGCCCTGCGCCCCACCCCCACCAGGCTGCAGCCCCACCTGCCTCGGGGACCGTCCCGCCTACCCACCGCTCAGGTGCACGCTGCCCCCCAGCCCCCGCCACGGGGCCCTCCTCTTCCCCGGTTCTCCTCTCTACACGGCTGGTACCTTGGGGGTGCGCGCGTTCCTGCTGGGGCCCCCACGCAGCCACCGCGCAGGACGTCCCGCGAGACGCGGGCGCGGGGCGTGGGGCGGCCAGGGAAAGGGGAAGTCTATTTTTAGAATGGATGGGAAGGGGGTGGGGTAAGCAGACAACAAAAGGGCTGAAGGCTCAGAGAAGCGCCCCGCCCGCAGAGGGAAGCCCCGGGTCCCCCAGCCAGGCAGAAGGTGGGTGAGAGCTCCCACGCGGGCCGCGCGGGGTTCCCGGGGAGCGCGGCAGAAGGTGGAGCCCCCCCAGAGCGTCCGCGGCAGCGGGCGGCGGGGGGATCCCAAAGGTGGGCGCTTTTGAGCGCTGGAGCGCGGCGTTGGGAGGCGCAAGGTCAGGCGCAGGGCGGGGTCGAGGCCTTGGGGTGCTGAGGGCCCCGCTGGTCTCTCTGCGTGACCCCCACACTCACGTCCCGCGCCCTTCCCGGGGTCGGCACCTGTGCGGGGAGAGGGGGTCCTCGAGGCCCACGGAGGAGATGGACAAGTTTTCCGGGATGCCTGTCTCGCCCCGCCCCGCCCCCCTCCCCCCCCCCCCCCCCCCCCCCCCGCCAGAGACCGTTCCCGCTGCATCACCAGCTCTCCCACGGCCCCGCGCTTCCTCCCGGATGCCACTCCAGCCGGGGCGACGGGGTTTCGTGGTCCTCAGGCTCCTTGGTCCTGAGTAGCCCGGTCACGGGCTACTCAGGGTGGGGCAGCGAGCCCTCGAATATTTCTCCTGCGCTGCTGGGGTGCGGGACGGGCTCTCCGTGCGGCGTGTTGAGAACCCGCAGTCACGCCACCAGGGGTTTGAGGAGCCCCGCGCGGCGGGCTGCGGGCGCGGTGAGTAGGCAGCCAGGCACCTCGGCGGTCCCGCAACGGTCCCCTGCCCCGCTGCCTTGTCCTGGGGGCAGGCGGCGCGCAGCGACCTGGGGGTGCCGCGGGAGAGGGGGCAACCCCTTCTCGTCCCTCTGTCCCTCTGATTGTGCTCAGGACCCCTCGGCCCTGTGGCAAGGTGGTGGCAGGGTCCCAGCACTCAGGCTGCCCCGTGGGCTGAGGGTGGGTCTGGGGACTGCAGCTGTGCCCTCTCGGAGGGTCCCTTCCTCCCATGCTCTCTATTCTAGCTCCCAGGGAAGGCGGGATTCCCTGTTGCAGGGGGTCAGGGAGCCCCTACCCGCTGCTGCGCTCTGGGTGCTGGACTCCTACATAACCCTCCCTGTGCCCCCCACGCCCCCTGGCCCCTGCCCACCGCCAGGACAGAGAGGGTGTGACCCAAGGTCACACAGACTGGCCAAGGCTGGGACCCAGGGACAGGGTGCGACTCCGCTCTCCCACCCCCGTCTCCCCCAGGAGCCCTGTGCAGGACTGGACACTGAGGCCAGGTTGGGCTGTGTCCCCGCACCAGACCCATTCTCCAGGAAAGCCTCTGCGGGGGGGGGGGGGGGCGGAGCCCCTAAACTCTGCCCCTCCTGACCTTGGGCAGACCCCTCCATCGCACCGGGTCCAGGCCACGCTGTCCTCACACCCTGCCTGTGTCCAGTGCTTCCACCCCTGCTGGGACACCCAAGGCCATGTCCATCTTCCTGGCCCTTGGGCTCATGAGAGGTAGTGGGGTTCCCCTCTGTCCCAAGCCACCCTCTGCCCTGGGTAGGACTCAGCCGCCACCCTCACCCCTGTCTGCTCCTTCCAGGGCCAGGAGAGACCCCGTGGCTGACGCACGAGCCTAGCGGGAATCGAGGCCACTGGCTTCTCCCGAGCAGCTGGTCCCTGAGACCCCTCCATCACAGGGTGAGTGACCCCCCCAGCCTGAACACAGCTCAGGGGACCAGCATGACCTTAAGTCGCCTGGACAATGTCATCCTGGTACCAAGTTTCTCTTCATGTCCCCAGCGCGGGCCAATTCAGTCCACACAGCCAGGACCAGTGCAGGGCCTGAGCCGAGCTGGACGTGGGAAGGGGTGTTCTTGGGGCTGTTTGTGCAGTGGTGAAGGGATCCCAGGTCTCCTGCACCTGCTGGAGGGCAGGGCCTCCTCTCCCCAGCCTCCCAGCTTGCCTTCCCCTCAGGGTGTGGGCCAGGACAGGTGTGGGCTCCTGCAGCTGTCCTGAGCAGCGCCGGGGGGGTAGGGAATCTTGCTGCAGCACCTGGGGGTGCAAGGGTCCTCGGGCTGGGGAGGGACGTGGGAGGAGGCAGGGAGGCTGCAGGGCCGGTGAGCAAGTGCCATCAGGAGCCTGGAGACTGGTGTCCAGGAGGAAGGGAGGGGACAGTGGAGCCTTTGCACTGTCTGGGGCACATGGAGCCAGGCACAGGGGGTTTGAGCGGGGGACACGCCACACACACTCTGGTGACTGTAAGAAGTAGGGAGTCTCAGAGCACAAGGCATGGAAATCTGGGGTCCAGGCACAGGCGGGCCAGCTGAAGATCAAGCTGAGAGCATGTAACACAGATGGGCAGAATTCTGCAGGATCACAGGGAGGGGAGGGGTGGGGATGGACATCCTTTGAGTGTGGAAAAAGCTGAGAAGGCATCCTGGAGGAGGTGACCTTGCTGTTTCAGATGGGTTCAGGCAGTAGAGTAGGAGTTTGCCACTGGCCAAGGCTGGGGATGTGCTGGGCAGAACTGTTCTGATGCTGTGTTACCTTGCCCTGAGAGAGCCTGTGACTGGATTTCAGAACAGAGGCAGATAAGTGCAGAGAGCTCTCACTGCCGCATTTCACTCCGGGGCCCCATACCCCAGTGATGCTCACAAAGACACAGTCCTCTGTCCTCAGCCACCCGGGCACCTAAACTCCAGGGGTGCACTGTTCCCGGTTTCAGATCAGAGCCCCAGTCCCTGCAGGCTTTGGTGTCCCCTTCTGCCTCTCCCAGCATCTGGGGGGTCCCAGGCATCCACCCCCCCATATGTACACCCACTGTGTGTGTCCTAACCTGACCCTGCCGTTAGGTCAAGACACCTGGTCCAGGGGGGTATAATTTGCTTTTCTAGACTGTGAGGTTCTGCAAAACGAAGCCTCTAAGTCTGAGCAGATGTGGCGGGGGTTGAGGGGGACAGGTAGATCTGGTGGTGCACATGCGCGTGTGTATGTGTGTGTGTGTGTGTGTCTGCGTGTGTGTCTGCTGGGCGTGGTGTAGGGCCCCGCATGAAAGCAGACCCACTTTAATACTTATTAGTCACCTCGTAACCTCCACCAGGATCCCAATATGTACTTGGCAACTTGGATCTTTCCTTGCCCTCACCCCCAACCTGAATCTGATTTTGGGGGTTTAGTGTGTCTGTCCCCGCAGTGTCCGCCTCAGGGTACCAACCTGCATGCAGGAGCATCTCCTGCTCCCTGAATCCAGGAGAATCCAGCTCCCCACTTCCACCCCTGCGGCCCCCAGAACCCTTCAGAGCCCCCCAGGTCCCCTTCGGGGTTCCTTCCTGCTGCCTCTGCCCTGCACCGCCTTGGCGGGGCCCCACGCTGCCAGTGCACCCCGTGATGGTGTGCTCTGAGCCACCTGGCGGTGGTGTCCGTCCTCCCTCTGAGCCCTAGCTCCTTCCTGTCCAGGACTTTTTAATTCAAGGGTGCTTTTGTTTTTAGCCCCTGTCCAGAGGAGGGGCTGTGTCCCGGATCTGTGGGGATGTAAGCGCGCGAGGGGGCTTGGGCCGTCTCATGGGGAATGGGGCATGATGGATGGTGGGCGGGCGGGTGAATGTCGGGGTACAGGAGGTTGCAGGCAGATTCAGTTCCCATCCTTGAAGGAGACCCTTGATGCTTCATTGGGCTGAACCGAGGGGGAGGAAAGGGGCTTTCTAGACTTGGAAAAGCCAGGGCAGTGCAGGGCCAGAGCGGGGTGGGGCCTCAGGGTGTGGCCCTCAGTCTCTGCCTGGTGGGACTCGAATCAGGGGAGTCAGATCCTGGGGGAACCCAGGCAGCCCCGGGGCACAGCATGGGCCTGTCTGTGGGGTCCATCCTGCTGGGGGAGTGAGAGGGTCCCCCTGGGGGGAGGGAGGGTACTGAGGTGAGTAACTGAGAGACAGGAAGGATAACAGAACTCTAGACACCCCACATCTCCAGGCCCAGTCCAGGGTCCCCCTCCCTGCAGGGGCCAGGATCCCCATCCCCAGCGGCCCAGGGCCCTGCAGAGCAGACTGGCTGGCCTGAGCAGGGACACGCAGGGTGACCCCAGCCCACGGGAGGGGTGTGAGCTTCTCTAGCAACCATAGGTGGGCGCGGGGTTGGGTGCGCCTCGGAAACGCGGGGGTCGTTAAGGGAGAATGCAGGAAAGTCTTCAGCCCACCTCCCCATCCAACTGCGTTTACGGTGGGTGCGGACTGAGGGCTCCCCACAGGCTCCTGCCACCGTGGCATTGCATGGTGGGGGGCTGAGCCCCAAAGGGAAGTCCCCCTGCCCGCTCCCGGGCAGCCCCGCCCGTCCCACCCTGCTTCCTCTCCCCAGACACACACGCTCTGCGGTGACCGTTTGCGGCCATTCATAGCTTCGCTCTGCAAAGTTGTGGCCTCAGTGCGCGCCTCCCCGAGAGCGCGAAGGTTGAGGGGCGGCGGGGGACCGGTTTGCGGGGAGACGACGGTCCCCGCAGGGGCTCGGGCTTCGATGGCGTCTCTTGGTTCTCCTCCTAGGCGCGAAGCCTGGGGGGAAGCGGGGTGCACCCGCGCGGCCGGGCGCGGGGCGTTGGGGGGGGGGCGCCTTGGGAAGGCGGGATCTTTAAATGGGGGTGGGGCCCGCGAGGTCGTTGAGGGCGGGGCGGACGGGATTGGCCAATCAGCGGCGCCGCCCGCGTGGCCCCGCCCCACCCCTCTTCTCCGGCCCGGCGGGCGCTCGGCCCCGGCCCGGCCCGCGCACTGGGGCGGGGGATGCGCGCTGGACGCGCCGGACCCACACCCTGGACCCCGCCGGACCCGACCCCGCCGGGGGCCCGCTCCCCATCAGCCCGCTCGCGCCGCACGAGCCGAGTCCCGCAGGTACCGGTGGGACGGGCAGGGGCGCCCGCGCGGACAGGGCACACGAAAAGGTCCAGGGACCCCCAGGGCGGGGGGCCACCACGGACTGACTCGGGGGTGAGTCTCCAGGCTCCTTAGGGCAGTGAGGGCGCCGTCAGGTTGGGACGCTCTCGGTGGAGTTAGTGACCCGGGACGATTTGAGAGGAGGGGATCCCCCCATGCAGGCGCCTGGTCCTGGGGTGGGGGCAATCCCGCGCCCTCTGGACAGTGGGGACCCCGCAGACACAGACTACGGCCCCGTCGCAGAGGCTGGGTCAGGTCCTGCAGGCTACTCATGGGTCCTCCTGGTGTGAAGCGGGACGACCCCTGAGGCTTCCCCCAGGCCAAGGCAGGGCTCCTGAACACAGCTCCCCACTCGGGTGATTGACCCCTGAACCGCCTCTCCAGAAGTGGGAAGTGACTCCAGGTGTCATGGGGGGTGGGGGGTGGGCTGCCCAGGGCAGGGAGCTCTCCATGGTGCTGGCGGGCCCCAGGCACCCCCATGGCCAGCTCCCTGGATGGTGCCAGGCCTGGCGGGTGCATGCCCCACTCCTGCTGATGACTTTCACGTGGGAGTGTTTGAGGGGCTGAAGCGCCCCTCCAGGGAAGCTGCACTGCCACTTCCCGGGATCCCCCCACAACCCTCTGCCGTCCACCCATCCTCAGTGCCAGAGCTCCAGCCGCTCACTTTCCCCCGCTGCTGGGTGGCAGGAGCAAGGCCGGGGAGTGTCCAGTTCTGGCCTCTGATCCCATCAGCCCCCCGCAGTGTCCAGGGCAGGGACACGGGCTGTGTTCGGTGTTTGAGCTCTCCCGACCTGCAGGAGCCCACACACAAGGTGATTTTCATGCTTCCAGGCACCCCAAAAGCTAGTAAGAGCTCACAGGGAGTCCTGACTCTTTGGTGGGACCCTCGTCACCCAAAAAGGTGCCCGGTGTTGACATGCGAGCCTTGGCCAGCGGCAGAGGCGCAGAGCCCAGCTGGCCTCCTGCGCGAGCTGCCCGTGGACAGGCCTCGCAGGTCTAGGCTGCTCCCATGTGCCACAGCCACTCCAGCACATGACTGGGATGGTGGCGGGCAGTGCCACCCCACCCTGTGCCCCTGGGTGCCCTGACTGGGACCCTGCTGTGCTCTGTGACCTTGAGCAAGGTGCTGGGCATCTCTGGACCTCTCAGCCCAGCTTCCTGCCTGCTGTGACAAGGGGCATGTCACTGGGTCCCCAGCGGTGGTGGCAATTTGGGTGAAGTGCTCCTCAGGCCAGAGCCAGGATCACCAGACCCCTCCCCCCGGAGACCCCCCACACTCCACGCCTCTCCCTCTCCCCCTTGCACCTGGTCCTGTCCCCCACTCACCCTCCTCTCACTTTGGGGCACAGTGCTGGGGTGGGGAGTATGGCCCACTCAGCACAGTGCTCCACTGGGCTGGGCTGGAGCGTGGCCCCACTGAGTCACCCCAGTCCACATCTCCCCCTCCCCAAAGTCAGCACTGCCCAGCCACTGCGCATCTCCCGCCCCGAGGAGCTCCGGGTGGCTCTGCGAGGAGCGCGCTCACAGCCTGCATCCCCGGGACCCCGGAGCACTGGGGCTCAGCAGAGTGGCGCAGGCACTGGGGACCCCCAGCCCTCTTCAGTCCATCATCCTTGCAGGAGGTCCTCCAGGAAGTTCCCGGCATCATCCAGGGCTGGAGGGGCCTGGCCAGCGGGCACTGCATGAGGCCCTGAGCCTGTCAGCATGGGAGAGGCATGGGGGGGCATCAGGGAGCATGGGGAGCATTGGGGAGCACGGGGAATGGGGGCTCTGGGTGAGGCTCTGGCTATACCCAGGCAGGTGCTGGAGCCAAGGCAGGTTCCAGACCCCCCATCCCACCGGCTGCGGTGGGCTAACAGTCTCCTGATCCTTGGGGTGATGGTGCCCCCCCTGTTCCGCAGGTCAGAGTGGGCACTGAGCCACACAGCCATGCTAGGCCCCAGGCAGCTGGGAGTGAGTCCCAGCCCGGCACCCACATAATCATGAACAGCCACAGCCTCAACGGCTGCGGGGGGCGACCCCCAGGCAGCGGGCCAGGCGTCTCAGGCCGAGATGCCCCAGAGCCCGAGTCCGGCCGCCCCCCACAGACCCCAGCTGGCCCCAGCCTCCAGGTGATAGTGTCCAAGAGCAGCGGTGGGGGACGACCCCAGGAACAGGAGGACGAGGAGGAGGAGGAGGAAGAAGACGAGGAGGAGGAGGAGGAGGAGGAGGAGGAGGAGGATGAGGACGAGGAGGGCGGGCCTGGGGACTCCACCCCTGGCCACCGCCTGGGCCACCGTCGGCTGCTCTTTGAAAAGCGGAAGCGCCTCAGTGACTACGCACTCATCTTCGGCATGTTCGGCATTGTGGCCATGGTGACCGAGGCCGAGCTGTCCTGGGGCGTCTATGCCAAGGTAGGCCCCAGCTGTCAGCCTGGAGGCCAGAGCGCGGGTCAGGACACAGACGAGGTGTGTGAGGCCGCGTGGGTCAGGCCACAGAGCCTGAGAGTGTGGGGCCCTGTGGGTCAGGCCACGGAGCCTGGGGGTGTAGGGCCACGTGGGTCAGGCCACAGAGCCTGGGGGCGCAGGACTCTTGCTGCCGGTCCAGCCCCAGGGTGTGTCTGTCCCTTGCAGGGGTCACTGTGCTCAGTGGCACTGAAGTCCCTCATCAGCCTGTCCACGCTCATCCTGCTGGGCCTCGTCATACTCTACCACGCCCGGGAGATCCAGGTGGGTGCTGGGCCCCAGCTCCCACCCCTATCCACACCCCCTCCCCGCACTCTGGGGTGACGCTGTCCCGCAGGAGCTCACGGGACGGGGGTTGGGGTGAGCGACACAGGGTGGGCTGGTGGGCCGGGCCCCACCCCTTGCTGCGCCCTGTGCCCGCAGCTTTTCATGGTGGACAACGGTGCCGCCGACTGGCGGGTGGCCATGACGCGGGAGCGGGTGCTGCTCATCTCTCTGGAGCTGGCCGTGTGCGCCATCCACCCGCTGCCCGGCCAGCACCTGGGCTGGGCAGCGCGCCTGGCGGTCAGCTACGCGCCCGCGGCGGCCGAGGCGGATGCCGACGTGCTGCTGTCGGTGCCCATGTTCCTGCGCCTGTACCTGCTGGGCCGCGTGCTGCTGCTGCACAGCAAGGCCTTCACCGACGCGTCCAGCCGCAGCATCGGCGCGCTCAACAAGGTCACCTTCAACACGCGCTTCGTCATGAAGACGCTCATGACCGTGTGCCCCGGCACCGTGCTGCTCGTCTGCAGCCTGTCGTCCTGGGTGCTCGCCGCCTGGACTGTGCGCGTGTGCGAGAGGTGCGTGTGCGGGGACGCGCCTGCGGGTGTGCGGGGGCGCGCCTGCGGGTGTGCGGGGGCGCGCATGTGGGGACGCGCTTGCAGGTGTGCGGGGACACGCCTGCGGGAACGCCCCTGTGGGTGTGCGGGGACGCGCCTGCGGGTGTGCTGGAACGCACCCGCCTCTGGGTGCATGCGCAGGGGCGTGGGGGAGGCCTCATCTCCCAGTGAGCGCCGGGACATGCTGCGCCCTCCACTGCTGCGCACCGTGTGACTCTCTCTCCTTCTCCCCTCTGCCTGCCCGGATGGTAGGGAAGACATGTGAGTCCTGGATAGCCAGTGCGAGTTGGGGGAGGGTTTGGCCGGGAGGCCCTGAGCTGGGCTGGAGTCTGGTCCCTGCCGCTGCCCTCCACGTGTGGAGGAGGTCCGGGAGGTGACAGCTGGCCAGTAGGTACTGGGCCTCAGACCCACCGTGGCTCTGCCCACACCCTGCACCTCCCGCATGACTCCATCCCCTGCTTCCCTTGAGCGATGGCGAGGCCTGGGATTCTGCCCACTGCAGGGACCCCTCTCTTTGGTTGCCCTGGGTCGCTGGCCAAAAAAGATGGGATTCAGTCCCTTTCCCCCCACCTCATCCCCCTCCGTGATCCGAAAGCACAGACCAGAGGGCCTGGGGGTCATGCCACAGCTGTGGGGGCACCTTCCTGCTCCCGCTCTTCCAGCCCCCCAGCTCCCTGGCCTGCTTCACTGGGCCCCTCTCAGTCTGGCAGCGTGGGTGTCTGTCCGCCCATCTGTGTCCATCCATATGTCTGTCTGTGCATCTCTCTGTCCATCTGTCTGTCCGTCTGTCCTTCCGTGTATCTGTCTGTCTGTCCACATGTCTGTCATCCACCCATCGTTCGTGCATGCATGCATCTATCTTGGGGCGCACACACAGGTGTTTGTTAGGGCCACACAGATGCTCCTGCCACCTGGAGCCATCGCTGAGGTGGGCAGCTAGCCAGGATTCTGGGTGAGGAGAGCAGGGCTGGGTCCCCCCCCAGAGCTGGTGCCCCAGGAATGCAGGAGCCCTGGGGCGTCTGAGCAGCTGGTGCATGGGGGTGGAGGAACCTGTGACCGAACCCTTCTCCCCCACGCCCCCAGGTACCAGGACAAGCCGGAAGTGGCCGGCAGCTTCCTGAGCGCCATGTGGCTGATCTCCATCACCTTCCTGTCCATCGGCTATGGGGACATGGTGCCCCACAGCTACTGCGGCAAGGCCGTGTGCCTGCTCACCGGCATCATGGTAGGCGCGCTGCCGCACCCCCTCCCACTGCACCCACAGGGACCCCCGCCCTGTCTCCAGTGTCACCAGCATGCTGGTGCCCTGGTGGGGAGGGTGGCTGTGCAGTCAGAGCAGGCTTCCGGGAGGAGGGCACACACCTGGCCAAGGCCCAGTGGAGACAGCTGTCTCCACGCGGCCCCTTGTCCACAGGGGGCCGGCTGCACGGCGCTGGTGGTGGCCGTGGTGGCCCGGAAGCTGGAGCTCACCAAGGCCGAGAAGCATGTGCACAATTTCATGATGGACACTCAGCTCAGCAAGCGGGTAGGCCGGACCCCTCCTGAAGGGCAGCTGGGCGGGGAGGGCGCGAGCCGGCACATGTGACCAGAGGTGGACGCTCCAGAACCTTCCGCCTAGGCTTGGCCAGCACACTGCACCATGCCATGCCTCAGTTTCCCCCTTATTAAAGGAGGGTGTGCAGGTGGGGGAGCAGATCTGCAGGCGTGGTCCAGCCTGGCCGTGCCCGAAGCCTGGATGGGCCTCTCTGGGTTTCACACTTTCTGGGAGCTGCTCTGCCTTTCCGGAAACTTCTGGGCTCACCTAAGGCCCGCGCTGTCCCCGCACTGGCAGGTGAGGAACGCTGCAGCCAATGTGCTCAGGGAGACATGGCTCATCTACAAACACACCAGGCTGGTGAGGAGGCCAGACCGCAGCCGGGTTCGGGGGCACCAGCGTAAGTTCCTCCAGGCCATCCATCAGTAAGTGCCCCCCCGGACATGGCTGCGGGCTGGGGGGGCGTGCGACCTTGGGCTCCCTCCGAGAATCTCCTTCACTGACCCCGCCGGGAGCCCAGGTCACAGCCCTGCTTGGATTCTGCAGGGACACCTGGGGACACGCTCGGTGCGGACAAAGCTGGCAGCTGGGTGTGGGGTGGAGTGGAATGGGGGCACCCATCCCTCCAAGCCCTCAGCCTCTGCCCACGTCACTCAGGAGCTGGCCACATCCTTGCCACCCCGTGGTCCAGGAACTGCCTCTGCATTTTTCCCGTGACCCTTGTCTCACTTGCCCCATTCCTGCGGGTGGGTCCCCACAGTGTCCAGGTGCCCAAGGCCATCCCAGTAGTACTCAGCCAGCCCCGCTGAGCGATGGAATGCTCAGGGTCACCAGGACCACAGCTGGTCGGCCGAGGACTGAGGGTGCTGGGGTCCAGGCTCGGGGGGCCAGCCCCGCCCCCATTGCTCCCGTTGGAGTTTCCGGTGCTGAGAACGGATTCCAAATCAGCCCGAGCTCAGAAGGCCCCGGGCAGGCTGAGGACCCCATTGGGCAGGGCCCAGGGCTCTCTCTGGGGCCCCTTCAGCCCGTGTGAGAAGGTTCCAGAGCCCCCAGGAAGACCCCCGCCCCTGAGCCCAGGGCTGCCCAGTGCTGCTGGAGGTGATCCCCAGGGATGCAGAGAAGGGTGCCAGGCTGGCTCAGTGCCAGACATGACAGCGGGGTGGAGGCAACCCTGTGTGGGCTGCTGGAGGCGCCCCCAGGGACCCCGCCGCACTGACTGGACCCTCCTCTCTCGTGCTCCCTCTTTGCACGCGGCCTGCCAGAGCTCAAAAGTAAGTGTGGGGGGCGGGCGTGGGCACCCCGGGGACTGGGTAGGGGACACCACGGGTGACCGTGGGAGTGCACGCGGGATGTCTATGCCACGGTGCTCACCTCGCCCCTCGCAGAGCCTCCCCCTCCCCCCTCGGCCCTCTCCTGTCCCCCTGCCTGTCCCCCTGCCTCCCTCAGCCCCTCTCCTGTCCAACAGACTTCGAAGTGTGAAGATTGAGCAGGGGAAGCTGAATGACCAGGCCAATGCGCTCGCTGACCTGGCCAAGGTGAGTGGACATTACCTATCCTGCTCTCACCCTGGCTCCCTGGTGGCCACCATGGCTCTGAGCCCCTGGGGACAGGGACACCTGCGCTGGGCAGGGCTGGGGACAGTGAGGGGCTGGCTTTCGCGGGGGGAGCAGGAGGGAGCAGTACAGGTGGCCGTGGGGGTGTCCGCCTCGCCCCTCCCTGGGGTCAGCCCCGCACTCCTCTCTCCACAGACACAGAATGTCATGTATGACCTCATGGCGGAGCTGCAGGCCCAGCACGAGGAGCTGGAGGCCCGCCTGGCGGCCCTGGAGGCACGACTGGACGCTCTCGGCACGGCCCTGCAGGCGCTGCCCAGGGGCATCGCTCAAGCCATACACGCACCCCGGCCCGGACCCCACCGCTGGGCATCCGGAAGCGCCCTCAGCCCATGGCCTCCTGTGCCCACCTGGGACTGCGGGTGACGATGCGTCCACTGCGTCCACCCATGGACCCCCTGATCTTGGCCATTGTGTGGCCCCCCGACCTCCATGGCTGCCGGATGCTCCTGAACTCTGGTGCTTCTTGGGGTCCAAGAAGCCACAGCTGGGTTGGGCTGAATGGTCTGGGGCCGGCCCCCCAAGACTGCCGGGGCGAAGGGCAGGGGTGAGCCCGGAGCTTCCTCTGGTCCCCACCCCCCAGCTCTCCCCCAGCCCCTGGTGGGCAGGGGGCATGCAGGGCTAGAGGGGTCCCAGCTGGTTCTCAATAAAGCAGGACCCACACACTGGTGGTGCATGCGTGGCTGGGGTGCGTCTTGTTTTGTGATGGTCCCCGGTGTAGGGGCGTAGATCCCCCTGAGGCCCCCTTCCCCTTCTCGGCTGGTCTGAGGGAGAATAAGCCGGAGAGCAAGCCCCGCCCCTCCGGACCCCCACCTTCCGTCCACAGCCCACGCCTCTTTCTCAGGAACTGGTTGCCCCCAACTTTGAAGCTGTGCATTGGGGATCCCCACCAGGAGTTTGGAAGCAACTTTTCCCTTAAGCCTGAGTTTCTAAGTTCCAAGTCACAGGTGCCCTGCCTCAGTTTACCCTGCTGTGTTTACAAGGAGGTAGTCGCTGGGTGGGGGCTGCTACCAGAGGGGAGGTGCAGGCACGCGCACCCCTACCTGGCTTTGAAGCCCCTTTCCCACCCTCAGTGGGAGGCCTGTCAGGGAGTCCCTAAAAAAGAGTGTTAGGGGTTCCGTCTAACCCACCTGAATGAGGTTCTGGGGTGCCAAATCCACTGTAGGGGTGTAGGTTGTGGAGTGAGGTGGGAAAGGCCTTCCCACTCCCCTTCCCCATAGTTCGCAGAAAATTGAGGGTGCTTCCACCCTGCCAGGGGTGGTAATTGACCCCGGGGCTGCTGTGTGGTCCTGGTCTGCCCTGCCCCTCTCTGGGCTCCTGGGAACCCACCTGTGAACAAATGGGGCGCCCCCAGGTTTCCTGCAAGCTCCCGCCTTCCCTCCAGGGTCGCTGTCTCTCTGATGACCCCCTGTCCTCCCTCCAGGCTGGTCTTGGTCCCTGGGAGGTGGTCCCCCAACTCCCATTTCAGCCCAGGGCCCACCCCCCGTTCACGCAGTCCCCAGACTGATCACTTGCTTTCAGCCTCGGCCTTTCCTTTCTGCCCTGCCTGGCCGCTCTCCCCATAGAAATGTCGGAATTATTTTTTTCTTTTTTGGGGGTCACACCCGGCAATGCACAGGAGTTACTCCTGGTTCATGCACTCAGGAATTACTCCTAGCGGTGCTCGGGGGATAGCGGTGCTCGGGGGACCAGATGGGATGCTGGGAATCGAACCCAGGTCGGTTGCGTGCAAGGCAAACGCCCTACCCGCTGCGTTATTGCTTCAGCCCCAGAAGTGTCGGATTATACCAGCTCCTGACCAGGGGCGAGGAGGCCCTGGAGTCAGACTGGGGGACCAGCAGGGACGTGCTGGGACGACACACGGCGTGTGCAGGGTCCGGGCAGCAGAGGGCGCCCTCGCCCCGCAGTCCACGAAGCGGCCTTGAACCCTTGTGCTTCCCCTGGGAAAACAGGCCCGAGGGGGCGCCCGGCAGCCTAGAAGGGGGGAGGTGACCGAGGGTCCCCGGTGTGTCCCTGCACTCGGCTTTATCTGTGAGGGCTCAGGTGGGACAAGGAGGGGGGTGGCAAAGTCCCAAAGCAAAAGGAGACGTCTCCCGGCTTTCCTTCCAACCTCGCAGCACGGAGGGGGAAATTGAGGCCGGCCCCGCTCGTCCCCGAGGTGGGGGGCACCCACTTCCTTCTCTCTCTCCGCGTTGCACAAGGGAGGTCCTGGCTAGGCCGAGGTTCTCAGGGCGCGGTCTGGGATCAGATCTTTGCGCACTGATATGTACCCTGGCGCGCAATCGCGCCCACAGACACCTGCAAGCTGCAAACGTGGGCGGTCGCGACATATCCCGGGACACGTCCACAAGGTGGGCAGAGAGGAATGACCAAGCCGAGTGCTCCGGCGCCGTGGCCGCAAGCCAGGCCTGTCTCCCCTCAGTCGCCTGGGAGTTTGCGGTTCTGCACCCAGAGATGCTTCAGTTCCGGGATCACCAAGGGTGGCAGGTGGGGTAAGGGCCGCGCTTGGCTGCGGGCTGGTAACCCACACCAGGTAACTTTCGCCCTGGAAGCCACGCCCCCGCCGCGCGCCTATTGGACAGCTCACTGCCGGGCGGGGCGCACCACGCGGCGCCCTATAAAAGGCGGCGCTGGGCCGGCTCCCGGGACCTCCGGCCGCTTGCCGGCCGCTTGCCAACCGCTCGCCCCGTCCGCTCACGGTTGAGACGGTTCCCCCCCCAACTCCTGCGTCGCGGGATTGCTGTCGCCGTCGCGGGCGCGATGCTGTTCGACAAGGTGAAGGCGTTCTCCGTGCAGTTGGACGGCGCGAGCCCGGGAGCCGAGCCGGTGTTCCGCGGCGGCCAGGCGGTGGCCGGCCGGGTGCTGCTGGAACTGACCAGCCCCGTGCGCCTGGGCGCCCTGTCGCTGCGCGCGCGGGGTCGGGTCCACGTGCACTGGACCGAGTCGCGCAGCTCGGGATCCAGCACCGCGTACACGCAGAGCTACAGCGAGCGCGTGGACGTCGTGAGCCACCGCGCCACGCTGCTCGCTCCAGGTAGGGTTCCTGGCCCCGCGCTCCCGAGGTCAGCGCGCCGTGGGTACCCCGCGCGCCGGCGACCCTGAGCCGCTCCTCCCTGTGCTCCCCGCAGGCTCCGGGGAGGTCATCAAGCTGCCGGCAGGACGCCACCAGTTCCCCTTCAGCTTCCAGCTGCCCCCGTAAGCCGTCCGGGGTGCGAAAGGGTGGCCGCGGGCGCCCTGCACTCACAGCCCCTTCCAGACTGGCCTGGTCTCCAGAGCAGGACCATTGGAGCGGGGGAAGCTTCTGGAGAGCGTCCTCCTCTTACCCTCCTAAGTCTTTGGGACCCGCCCTGCCCAGCTCAGGCCTCAATTTCTCCGAGACGCACACTGATAGCCCACTTACCCCCAGGATCCTGGTGACATCTTTCGAAGGCAAACACGGGAGCGTCCGCTACACCATCAAGGCTGTCCTGCACCGGCCATGGGTACCCGCCCGTCGGGCCCAGAAGGTCTTCACTGTAATTGAACCCCTCAACATCAACACCCCGGCACTGCTGGTGAGTGGCCCCTCCCACTGCCCTGGAGGGTGTTGGTGTCCAAACCACAGATAGAGGGCCCCCTGCACCTAGGGCTGTGGAACTGGGTGTAAAGTGACAGGTGTGTGTGTGTGTGTGTGTGTGTGTGTGTGCACTGTGTGACTCCGGGCAAGTGCCTCACCCTCTCTGAGCCTCAGAGGCATCCGTGGTGACCGTGGGGAGAGCACCCAAGGATGGAGAAGCCCCGATACACACTGAGAACCCAGCTTGCTCAGGTGCCGCCCCCACCCCTGCTCTGTAAAGGGACAGGGAACAGCAGCAGCAGGAAGCTAGTGGGCACCCCAGTGTGCCTCACTCATCCAGGCGCTGTGCAGGATTCCTGGGTGCCCACTGTGTCCCTCTGCTCAGGCCCCACAGGCAGGAGCCCAGGAGAAGGAGGCGCGATCCTGGTGCAGCGGCCGTGGCGTCGTGTCTCTGTCGGCCAAGATCGACCGCAAGGGCTACGCGCCGGGTAGGGGTCAGACTGCTGGAGGGCATGGCCTCGCATGCACCCCACAGGGTCCCTGAGCACTGCCGGGTGTGACCCCCCAGCATCAGGCCACAGGGCCGGGTGGGCACAGGCCGGGCGGGGAGGCTGAGCCGTGCTGTGCCTGCAGGCGAGGCCATCCTGGTGTTCGCAGAGATCAACAACAGCTCTTCGAGGCCGGTGCGGCCGCGCGTAGCCGTGGTGCAGACTCAGACCTTCACGGCCCGTGGCGCCCGCAAACAGAAGCGGCTGGTGGTGGCCAGCCTGGCAGGCGAGCCTGTGGGCCCGGGGCGGCGGGCGCTGTGGCACGGCCGCGCGCTGCGCGTCCCCCCAGTGGGCCCCTCCATCCTGGGCTGCCGCGTGCTCCACGTGGATTACACGCTCAAGGTGCGGACCCGGGCCCCCTCCCCACCGGGGCCAGCCGCCCCTCCCCCCCTGTCCCAGTGGCCCGGCACCCCTCAGCTCGCCTTTCGCCCACAGGTGTGCGTGGACATCCCAGGGACGTCCAAGCTGCTCCTGGAGCTGCCCCTGGTCATCGGGACCGTCCCCCTGCACCCCTTTGGCTCAGGCTCAGCCGGCCTGGATAGCCATACCAGCCTCCTGCTGGACTGGGCACTGGGAGGCCCCCTGCAGCAGCTGGAAGGTAAATGCTCCCCCAGCCCCTTGCCCCAGGGGGTCCCCGCCCCCCCCAGCCCTGGCAGCTGGCACAAGCCGGACTTCATCTGCTGCCCTGGGTGGCCTCCCCTCCTCCCTGTGCTCCTCCTTGTGCTCCTCCCCGTCTTCCTCACCCCGTTCTCTTCTCAGCTCCCCCCGACTACTGGGACGTGATAGCAGAGGGAGAAGCAGAGGCTGCCAGGGGAAGGCTCACTCTGGGAGCCTGGGAGCCCCCCTTTCTGGCCTGTGTCCCCGAGTTCCGCTACTGCCCACCACCCCTGTATTCTGAGGTGAGCTGTGAGCAGGCCTAGGTGCTGGGGGGTCCGGGCCCTTGGGAAAGAGCCCTGGGTGCTGGGGGGTTCTGAGTCCCCGTGTGCGAGCCCTGGGTGCTGGGGGGTCTGGGCCCCCGAGCACCAGCACACCCACAGTGTTCCCATCACGGGGCTGCCTTGAGTGAGGGGGGCTGGAGCTGAGACAAGGGGGCTGTTTCTGAGCCGGGGGTCCCCTGAAAATTGATGGGTCCACTCCCCACAGGAGGATCCTAACCCAGTCCCTGGGCCATGGGGCTGCGCGGTGACCTGCTGAGGAGTGACACTGAGGCCCGAGGTCACAGACGTGTATCCAATCTCCGTGGACGCCACAGCCTCGCAGGCACCCAGACCGTGGGGGAAACCGAGTCATGGGCTGGGCCGGGGCCGCCCCTACGCCTCACAGCAGCACAGGAGGGCATTTGTCTGCACGGCCGTGCTCAGGGCATGTGGATGCCCAGGCTCAGGGGGCCTGTTCCCGCGAGCCTATGGACGAGGAGAGGATCTGGTGGGGGAGCCGAGGCAGCTTCCTGGAGGAAGAGGCATGTTAGTTCCGGTTCTTGTGTTAGGTGGTGCCAGGGCTCGAATCCGGGGCCACTCAAGCCAGGCGTGAGCTGGGCTGGCAGCTCACATCTCCTGGCTCTGAAGGGGCATTTCTGTTGAGGCTTTGATGTACAGACACAAGCTCAGAGGGCAAGGCCAGGCGAGAGGAGTCCCAGGAGGAGGGAGCACCATCACGGGTGCTCGGGTGGCTCTGGGGGGCCCCAGGCTGGAGCCCAGGACCTGGAGGCAGGGTCCCTGGGGGACGCCGAGATTAGAGTCAGCCTGAGCTCTGGGCGGCCGGAGGAAGCCACAGTGCAGGGTGAGTGCCCGGGAGGGGCGCGGGACCCCACACCCCCTGCGCCTCGGTGCTTGCCTTTGGAGCGACTTTACACCTGTTGTGATTTTATTTTTGATTTTCTGGGGTTTGGGGCCACACCCCGCAGTGCTCAGGGTTACTTCTGGCCCTGTGCTCAGGGGTCACTCCCAAAGGTGCTCAGGGTACCCTATGGGATGCCAGGCCAGCCTCCCTGCTGTCCCGGGATCCTGTCCCATGCAACTTTTTAAATAAAGACTCAGAGGGTGCCCCAGGCTCACCAGCTTCTTCTCCCCTCCCCTCCTGCCCTCCTCCTCGGCTGGCATGGAGGCTGGGGTGTGGGGGTCCTGACCCCTCACGGGGGGCAGATTCATCCGGCTGTGGTACCCTGGGGGATTCAGTCCGGTTTGCTGGCCGTGCCTCAGCCTGAGGACAGACACCTGGCTGGGCCTGAGGGTACCCGCGCCATCTGAGGCTCCGTTTCCGGGTCCCCTGCATGGCCCGGGGACCACCCTCCCCTCCGCCGGATGGGCAGGCGGGGTGTTGGTTCCTCTGGGCAGGGCCTCTCCGGGCGCACTGTGGGCGGGCAGGCGTGGTGCCCACAGACACCCGGACACCGTCCTCGCAGGCCACTGGAACCTGATCCTTGCCCGCCTGCCCACAGGTTTTCAGGTTCTGGAGGATGAAGAGGACAGGGCCCGCACAGGGTAGAAGGCCCGGACCCCACTGCCCCGCCCGCCCAGCCTCGGCATCACCCGGGACCACCCAGGAGGGGTCACCCTTCACCTCTGTCTCGGGACCCCGCAGCCTTCAGCAACAGCAAAATGTCAGATCTCTCCCCCACTCCCAGTTCCACGTCCCACCGTCTCTCACTGTCTCACTGTCCTTGTCTCTCACTGTCACTGTCTCACCATATCTGTCTCTGTCTCTCACCGTCTCTGTCTTCTCTCACTGCCACTTTCTGGGTCTTGCCCCGTCCAGTCTCCTGCCCTGACCCTGCAGGCCCGCGGCCATCCCCGTTCCTGCCCTTGTTGGCTGGGGGCCTGGCAGGCCGCTGTTCAGGAATCTTCCTCCTCGGTCACTACTGCCACCGCTGCCGTGGCCGCCTGTCCCCAGGCACATTCTGTCCCTGCAGCCCTGCACTAGCACAGCCCGTCCTTGTCCACGACCCCTTCCCTGGCCCCGGCTTAGATCTTCCTAGATGGAGCCCAGGGTAAGCTTCACCCCCTGCTCGGGGCCGGGAGCAGCTGACCCAGGTGTCCCCCCCCCCACACCCCCTCGGCCTCCTCGCTCTGCCAAGGCCACAGACTGACCTGATGGTTCATGTGTCTGCTGGCCGGGGACCCACCGCACACAGCAGAATGTGAGAGAACGTTCTAGAATTAACAACATGCCATTACAACTCGGTAGTACCCAAGCCTGGGTGGCACCCGCACATGTCTGTATACCCCCAGGCCTCCCGGCCCAGGCCCACCTTTCCTGCCCAGTGTCTTTAGGCGTTCCCTGTGCCTAGCCTGCTGCTCTCGGCGGCGCTGAGACCCCCGTTGGGTGGAGCTGCAGGGCGGGCGCAGATGGTGCTGCACGTGGGGGAGGAGGGGACCCCAGGAGGACCCCAGGGGCAGGGCAGGAGGGTCCCCCCAGCAGGAGGGTTCCGAGCAGGGCCGGAGGATCCCCGGGAAGGGCAGGAGGGTCCTGAGCAGGGCCGGAGGGTCCCCGGGAAGGGCAGGAGGGTCCCCAGGGGTGCAGGAGGCGGCAGGTCAGGCTGGTGCCACCCCCGTGGCTGCCTGGCACAGAAGCACTGGAGCTGGGGCTGGGCAAGCACCCAGCGGTGACTCAGCGGGGCCGGCAGTGCCTGCCACGCAGGGACAATGGGGCAGTGGACACTCGGCTCCAGGCACAGGCCAGGAACACTGGGACGGCCACAGGGACTTGCCCAGGGCTGCACCAGCCACGCCGCAGGCCCTCAGGGGTCCCCACTCTCCCGAGCGTGCTTCTGCAACCAGCCATGGACATATGACAATCAGAGTCTACCGCATGGCCCTGAGGGACTGGCTCTGGGGTGCCCACCTGACTCCCTCACAGGCTGCAGATTTGGGAAAGCCAATGGCAGGGGCCACAACAGTGGGTCAGAATCCTGAGGCGGTGGAGGTGCAGCTTCCAGACACCCCCACTGCTGAGGGCAGTGTGGGAGCTGCAGGGCCTGTAGGGTTTCCCTGGGCAGGTGGGCACCTGGAATGGGGCTTTGACGGGTGCAGAGGAGTTTGCCCAGAGCTGAGCCAGTTTACCTGCTGACCTGCTCCCAGTCTGTGGCAGCCGGCGCATTTTGTTTCCTGAATGGACAGTCCTCTGGAGGACACTGATGAGGGTGGATGAATCGGACTCATGGGTGGAGACCCCGGGAGTGTGTGCCCCTCGGCTCCCTGAGCTGACACAGCCGGACACGGGGACTCCAGAGAGCAGCAGGTTGGGGCCTGGGAGCCCCGTGGTGCTTCTGTGCCGGATCGAGCACCCCCGGACGCCTAACAACTGCCAGAGACCCTTTTGAGGCCATGGAGGGGCGGGGCTCTCCAGAACATTCTGTCAGCAGTTCCAGGAAGCCCAATCTGGGGGTGCTGGGGGTGCTTCCGGAGCCTTTGCAGACACGCCTTGGGGTTCCCCGTGGGGTTCTGAGGTGGGCATGGGGGGGTACCGGGTCTCTGCTTGCTCCAGCCACTGATCCCCCCCACCCTGTCCCTGCGCCACAGCGCCAGGTGCTGCCCAGGGGTCAAGGGGCCAGAGATGGTCATATGGGGGGGCTTCTCCTGTCCTTGGGGGGTCAGCTCTCCTGCTGGCGAGCCTCTAGGCAGCCCTCAGCCCCAGCTCTGAGCCCCCTTTCTCCAACTGCCCTCCCCCCGCTGGCCAGCGGAGGCCTCCCTGGGGCGCAGGAGCCTGTCCTGCATGCTGAGTTCTGGGTGCTGGCCCCGGGCACCCCTCCCCCTCCCGATGGTCACAGGCCTGGCTGGACACTGCTGCCCCTGATGACTGGTGACAACAGTGCCCAGCCCTCTCTGAGGTCCGTGGTGTCAGGAACCCCGCCCTCCCTGCTGCCACGGGCTCCCCTCAGCCTTCCTGGGGCTGGCCAGGCCTCAGTGCTGTCTGGGGGTCCCCCCCTGCACCGGGGGGATGATCAGCAGTGACACCGGGTCCCACCTCCGGGTCTCTGAGCCTGCGCGGAAGCTGGGGTGGGACCCCACTGAGACAGCCAGCAGCACAGTCCTGGTGACACAGGGGCGAGGGGCCGCAGGGTCCCCGGAGGGTCCCGAGAGACTCCTTCACCCCCTCCCCGGTTTCCATCACGAATGGTTTTTATTTTATTTTATTATTATTATTATTATTTTGCTTTTTGGGGTCACACCTGGCAATGCACAGGGGTTACTCCTGGCTCTGCACCCAGAAGTTAGTCCTGGCGGTGCTCAGGGGACCATATGGGATGCTGGGAATCGAACCTGGCTTGGCCGCGTGCAAGGCAAACGCCCTACCCGCTGAGCAATTGCTCCAGCCCCACCGTCACGAATGTTTTTAACCACAGAAGCGTTTTTATTCATTCAGGCCACACGCAGCGGTGCTCAGGCTCCCTCCTGGCGGTGCTCGGGGTCCCCCGTGGGGTGCTGGGGCTGGAACCCACCCCCTGTCCTGTGGCTTTGGGCTGCCTTCCCCTCTGGGATGCGTTTCCAGTTCCCCATTGTTGGGCTGTGGCTCCGGGGGCCTCCCTCTGGCCTTGCTCTGTGGCGGGTTGACACTGCTCACCAGCCACGGGGCCTCGAGGGTGCAGGGGACCCTGGGGCGGCAGAGCTGATGTGGCACCAGCCGTGGGCACATAGGCCGGGACTCGTGGCTCCCCAGGCTGGGGCAGGAGGCCACCCAGACAGAAGCACAGCAGCCCACGCTGCACTCGAGGCTCTGGACAGTCAGTCGGGGACAGAGGACAAGACGGACGGTGGCCCCCGCCGTGTGTGGCCTTGTCCAGGGATGCTGTTTACTGGGTATCGAGTGTCTGCAGGGGAGGGGCCAGTCACAAGAGCCTCCTGGCAGCCCCATGTCTCCTGGCTGCGCACAGCCTCCATGCCGGTGCAGGTGGGCAGTGGCCCAGACAGGCCCCCAGCCTGCGTCCTGGTATTGGAGGCTCTGGAGCAGGCTGGGCCCCTGGGCTCTGCACCGGCCTCTTAGGGACGCCCAGCCCCCAGGACCGCTCTTAATTATGAGATGATGGTGTGGGCCGTGGGGTCGGAGTTCAAAATGAGGGCTGTCCAGGGTACATCAAGGTAGGACAGGGCACAGGCCATGCACAAGGCCCAGTCCAGTTGGATCTCTGACACCCTGAGCCCGCTAGGAGTTAGCACTGAGCAGAGAGCCAGGAGTCAGCCCAGACTACCATCAGATTGGCCCAAAAGGAAGAAGGAGGAAGAAGGGGTAGGAGGAGGTAGAGAAGAGCAGGAGGGGGAGGGAGGAGGCAGGGGATGGGGAGAGAAGGGAGGAGGGAGAGAGGATGGGGAGGGGGAGGGAGGAGGAAGGGAGGAGAGAAGAGGAGGGAGGAAGGAGGAGGGGAGGAGGGAAAGAGGATGGGGAAGGGGAGGGAGGAGGAAGGGAGGAGAGGGAGAAGAGGAGGGAGGAGGGAAGGGGAGGAAGGAGGCGGGAGAGGATGAGGATGGGGAGGGAGGAGGAAGGGAGGAGCGGGAGAGGAGGAGGGAGAAGGGAGATGAGGGAGAGGGGAGAGGAGGAGGGAGGAGGGAGAGAGGAGGGAGGAAGGGGAGAGGAGGGGGAGGGAGGAGGACAGGGGAGGGATGGAGGTGGGGGAGGAGTCCCAAGTGCTCCTGAGCCAGGAAAGGGTCCGGAAGGCCTGTTTGGTGGCTCCGCCCGCGCTGCAAGAGGTGGGCGGGGGCCAGGAGCTGCTTGTGGGGGTCTGACCACCGTGTGACCGCGAGGGCTGGTTCCAGACAGCTCCAGGCTCGCGGTGGCCGAGGGGGCGCCCCTGTCCTGACAGGTCTGAGGCTGCAGCCCACCCCGTGAGCCTGTCCACCTGGACCCCAGAGCCTCAGTCCATGTTCGGGTCCAGAATCAGAGCTGGTGACCCAGTGGTGTGGCTGGCTGAGGGCGGGCGGGCGCGGCTGATGGCAGCCTGGGCCAAGGATTGGAATCCAGCTGCGCGGGCGCAGAAGCAGGTCAGGGCCCATCCCTGGAGGTCCCGGAGGAGGGGGCTCCCCGGGAGGCCTGGCATCACAGCTCGGGGGGGGGCCCCCGAGCTCTGTGGAAAGGGCTGGAGCAGCGGCAGGAGCCAGGCATGGGGTACAGTCACTGGGGGCACCTTCAGGGTACATTTAAGGGGACAGAGGCTGCGTGATGCCACGCTGTGAAGGGGCGGAAACAAGGACCTGGGGAGAGCAGGGACATTCCGGGACAGGCGGGAAGGGGAGGGAGAAGGAGCTGCCGCGGGGGGGGGGGGGGGGGGGATGCAACTCTCAGGTACTTCTGACACAGGCTGAAGAGCTGATGAGCTGATGGAGTCAGACCCGGGCAGCCTCGGGCCATCACTCGCCCCGCCAGGGCTGACTCCTGGCTCTGTGCTTGCCATCATACCTGGAGCGTTGGGGGACATGGCATGTGGGTCAGCCATGGGCAAGGCCCCCAGGAAGATCTGTCACACTCACACCCAGGACCCCATAGCTGTGGCATTTGCTGAACTTTGTTTTTTTTTTTTTTTCCTTTTCCCCAGCGAGGACGGGGGGGGGGGGGGGGGGCGGGGAGGGGGGGGGGAAGAGTGCCGGTTCCCGGGGCTGAGATCTCCAAGCCTGCTTGGATCGGGGCTAAGCATCTTCCACCGAGATCCTCCATCTTCCAGTAGGCAGGGATCACACCCACCAACTGACCCCCAGCGCCTTGTAATCCCATCAACAACCAAGACCCAGAGACTATAAAATTCAGCTCCCAAAAGGGCGCGGCCACATTTGCTGCGGCATGACATCTTATAATCTCATTCTTACTTTGGACAACCTGGCAGGCTACCGAATGTAGCCTGCCCACACGGCAGAGTCTGGCAAACTCCCCGTGGCGTACCCAATATGCCAAATACCAGTAACAATGATGGGTCTCATTCTCCTAAACCTGGGGCAGCCTTGAATATGGCACTTTTTAAAATCTCAGCTCGAGGACGAAGGAGCCGTTACTGGTGCCTGCTCGAGACAATCGATGAACAACAGGATGATCGTGATCGTGATCGTTTTCTTTTTGGGTCACACCCAGCGATGCACAGGGATTCCTCCTGGCTCTGCACTCAGGAATCACTCCTGGCGGTGCTCAGGGGACCATATGGGATGCTGGGAATCGAACTCGGGTCGGCTGCATTGAAGGCAAATGCCCTCCCCGCTGTGCTATCTGGTAACACCAGCCCCCTTGCTGAACTTTTCAAAAAAAATGTTGGTTCTTGGGTCACACCTGGCAGTGCTCAGGGGTTACTCCTGGTTCTGTGCTCAGAGTACTCTATGGGGTGTCGGGGATCGAGCCCAGGTTGGCCTCCCCACTGTCTTCTCTTCTCTGGCCCCCATCGGGGCATGTTCTGTCTGTCCACTAGCCCGGGCCATGGCTGTGCCAGTACCCGTGTGCACAGACGGGAAAACCGAGGCAATCCTGGGGCTGGGCCTGCACCTGTCGCCCCCAGGCCTAACACGCTACGGGAATCCCCTGCCTCAGTCTCTGGCCACAAAATACAGGTGCTCTGAGATTCCCTGTGTGGGTTAAAACCAGAAAAGTCTGTTCTGCAAATCCGGCGGGCAGGGCCTGGCAAGCTCGGCGTGTGGGCTGCAGCGCCGCCTGGCGGCTGTGCGGGGAATGGCAGCACGCTGAGGCGGAAGGCGGGTGTGGGGGTAGCGTCGGGGTGGGTGGGGTGGGCGTGGAGGCGGGTTTCGGGGTCTTGCTGAGGGCACTTGGAGGCTGCACAAAACGAACCAGATCCTGCCTGGTAGCTTTGGTGTTTTTTGTTGGATTGGGCCACACCCAGGACGCTCGGGGCTGACTCCTGGCTCTGTGCTCGGGGGACCCTATAGGGTGTCGGGGACTGAACCCACGTCAGCCACTTGCGAGGCAAATGCCCTCCCTCCGTGCTAGGCCCCAGCCCCCTTGCCCAGAGCAGACAGTCGCCTAGGCGGTGTGGGGCAGGGAGCAAGGCCGTCCCCCTCAGGGGTGACTTGCCACAGCAGCGCCCACCCTGCCTAGCCCTGACTTTGGGGGCTCCTGACAGTGGTCAGCCAGCTCCACTGCTCAGAGACTCCCAGAGGCACACGGAATGGGTGGACGACAGACGGATGGTCAGGCTCTTGTTGGGCGCCGGAGCATGGCTGCAGGACCTATTAGGTTTGAGGGCGCTTGTGTCTGGAGACGCCTGGCCTCCCATCAGAATCCACGGCCTGCCGATGCTGTGCGTCGGGGGCCAGCCACCCGCCCTCTCTGAGTCCAGCATCACGCCCAGACTGGGGCAGCTGCATAGTTTCATAGGGGCTTCTGGGAATCCAGAGTCCATCAGCCACTGACCTATGGTGTCCCCAGGTCCTTGCTCAGACTGCAGATTCCCATGTCCAGGGCTGTCCAGCCCAAGGCTCTGTGCTCACGGGAGTCCAGCCGCCCAGGTGGGACCCCCCCACCTGCCCTCCAGCCTCCCCACATCCAAGCCCCAGGCCCCCATCTTCAGCCGGTAGCTCCACGTCCCTAGGAGGGCTTGGGGGCACCCTGTGGGGCCTCCAGCTTCTGGTGGGGATGCCCAGGGGTGTCTGGGCCAGCCTCCTCGCCTTCTTCCCAGGATGTGTTCACTGCCAAGGCCTCTTGTAGGGATGCCTCCTCCAGGAAGTCTGCCGGACTGACCCAAAACCAAGCCTGGAGAGAGAGAGGTGGAGTCGAGTGTGTGGGCTTGGGGGTCCCTATGTCCCTTCCTCAACAACAGGCCTGCTGCCTAGCCCCTCTGGGACCCTGAAGCTGGTTGCAGCAGCATCTGCTCCTCAGTGACCCCCCCTTCTTTTTTTTTCTTTTGCTTTTGGGGTTACACCTGGCGGTGCTCAGAGGACCATATGGGATGCTGGGAATCGAACCCGGGTCGGCCGTGTGCAAGGCAAACGCCCTACCCGCTGTGCTATTGCTCCAGTCCCAACTCCCCCCTTCTTCACCTTCCAGGAGGGGCTGTTTCCTCGGCTCTGCCCTCCCATCCCGTTGGGGTTGGGGCACAGCACCTACCTCCAGCCCAGTGCTTGGGACAGCAAGGACAGCCCTCCTGGTTCCAACAGCAGCCCCAGTCATAGGTCAGTGATAGAGGCCACAATTCTAACCTTCACTCCAGTTAATAGGGGACAATGGACACCCCGGGTCCAGCAAGGGGAGGCCCCGCATGTCTGGAGGAGCCAGCATGGAGAGTGGGCTGCTTACAGAGGGGCGGCCCTGGATGATGGATCCAGACATGCCTGCAGCCTCCCCCCCCCCCCCCCGCCCAAGTTCCCCTCTCCGTTTCTCTTTTGTTTTTTTTTTTTTTTGCTTTTTGAGTCACACCCGGCAATGCACAGGAATTACTCCTGGATACTCCTGGCGGTGCTCAAGGGACCATATGGGATGCTGGGAGTCGAACCCAGGTCGGCCGCGTGCAAGGCAAACACCCTACCCGCTGTGCTATCTCTCCAGCCCCGTCAGCTTCTCTTTCTGTCAAAGCCACTTGGATATGTAGTTCTGTGACTGGGAAGTGACCCACCAGAGGTTTCTGCCGGGGGTGCCTCTGCCTGACAAACTGTAGGTTGCCCTTTCTGATTCAAATAGGATCTGTGGGCCTGGGCTGGAGCCTTAGCACAGAGGGTAGGGCATTTGCCTTGCATGCGGCCGACCCCGGGTTTGATTCCCAGCATCCCATATGGTCCCCCGAGCACCGCCAGGGGTAATTCCTGAGTGCAGAGCCAGGATTAACCCCTGTGACCCAAAAAGCCAAAAAGTAAAATGAAGTGGGACTTGCTTTTCCTGCCCCGGCCTCCATAGTTGGGGAAAATGAAATGATCAGACACGCAGCCCTCACTCTGCATGGGCGCTGGGGTCAGAAACGTCTCTTACCTGCTTCCAGTGGCCGTCAGGGAGCTGGACAGCAGAGCTGGCACAGGGCACAGGCAGGGGCGGGCACAGGCACCGGGCAGCCCTGGGTGAGGGGGGTCAGAAGCCATGCTTTCTGCCGCACACCCCTCTCTCTGTCCCCCCTCTCTCCCTCTCTCTCCCTCCCTCTCTCTCTTCCTCCTTCCCCCTCACTCTCTCTCTCCCTCTCCTTCTCTTCCTCTCTCTCCCTCTCTCTTCCTCCCTCCCCTCTCTCTTCCTCCATCCCTCTCCCCCTCCCTCTCTCTCTCCCTCTCTCCCTCCCTCTCTGTTCCTCTCCCTCTTTCTTCCTCCCTCTCTCCTTCCCTTTCTCTCTCTCCCTCTCTCTCCCTCACTCCCTCCCTCTCTCTCTCTTCCTCCCTCCCTCTTCTGTTTCTTTGGGTCACACCTGGTGATGCTCAGGTGTTACTGCTGGCTCTGCCTTAGCAATCACTCCTAGGGGTGCTCGGTGCTTGGTGCTATGGGATGCCAGGGATTGAACCTGGGTTGGTTGTGGGCAAGGCAAGCGCTCTCCCCACTGTGATATTGCTCTAGTCCCTCCGGCTGCATTTTCCAACCCCCTGACTCATCCTAATCCCTCTTAAATTGGAAAGGGAGTAACGGTGGGCTCCAGTGCCAAGGGCTGAGCTGGGGGGGAGCCCGCATTCCCCCGAGTACTGCTGGGCGTGGCAGTGCCAGGAGTGCATGGCCAAGGCTGTCTCCCGCCCCTGTGCCAGGCTGGACTTACCTGCTCAGGCCCAGGTAGCCCAGGATGCCCAGGAGAAAGACAGCCACAAAGCTCCCCACGGACGCCAGGAAGGTGGACAGTGCTGACAGCTCATCATCTGGGGAGGGGAGAGCCTGGGTCGGGGGGAGTCACTATGGGCATGGGCCCAGCACATGGGCCATCGGGTGGGCGCCGCGGGACCCACATGCCTGGTGAAATACCTGCTTAGAAGTCCCAGACCCCGGAACTGCTTCCCTGTCCCTCAATTTCTCTAAGATTCCCCCTAGCAGGAAAGACCAAAGCTGGATAGATAACTCCCCTATCACACACACACACACACAAACACACACACACACACACACACACACACACACTCCCAGATGTCAGCTCTAGGAAGGACGAGTAGCACAGCTAGCTAGCCAGAGCTCCACAGGAAGCCTGGAAGACTTCCTGGAGGAGGTAGCATTATAGCCAGATTTCAAAGGATGAAAGCAGTTGGACAAGAAGGAAAACATGATTAGAGGCTGAATGGCTCAAGTGGGCAGGTGGGAGGAGTGTGAGTGGCTGGTGGTGGGGACAGGACAGCCCAGGGTTGGGCAGCGCCCTCACCTGTGTGGAAGCAGACGGGTGGGCTCCAGGTGCCGGGACCCTGCATCAGGTGGGCACGCACCTGCACAGCGTAGGGCCGGCCCGGCTGCAGGCCACGGAGGTGGGCGTGGGTCTGGGCAGGCCCCACGGGATGCTCTGCGGGATGCGGAGGGCATGAGTCGGCCTGCCGGGATCCACTCCAGGGAGGCCCTGATGTCCCCGAGACCTGCCCTCCCTCCCCGCAACTGCCCGCTGGAGCCTCCTGGGCCTCAGTTTCCCTCTAAGAAGGGGTGGTTTGTGAGGGGCCGCCCAGCCGGCAGTGCCGGGGAACACTCAGACGCTTTTCCGACAAGGCACCAGTGGGTGCACTCCCGGGTCTGCCCCGCCCGGCCCCACCTACCTGCCGCGCTGGCGTCGTCGCGCGCCTCCTCCCTGTAGCGCACCGCGTAGCCTCGCAGGAGCCCCGCGCAGGCGCCCAGCGCGGGCGGCGTCCAGGACACGCTGGCGGAGCGCGAGGTGACGTTCCTGACCAGCACGAGCTGCGGGCTCCCGGCTCCCGGGGCTGCAGACCCAAGCGCCCGGCCCGTGTCCTGCACGTTCAGCCCCCGCTGCCCGCCCCGCCCCGTGCACGGGGAGACGTGGGGACCCCGGAAGCCCCCGCAGACGGCAGGGCCACTCACCGTTGCCCCCGAAGCGGAAGGTAGACAGGACGGAAGACCACGTGGCCAGCTTCTCTGGGCTCGCAGAGGCCAAGATGGTGATGCAGCCGCAATCTCCAGCCATTCGGGTCCAGCTGTGGTTCGCTGGGAGAACCAGCAAGGGCCAGGCAGGTAGATAGGACCCCAGGAGTCCCTAACGCTCTCCTACTCGTGCTTCAAAACCTTTGCAAAAATGCCCCCTCCTGCGGAACCCCTCCCTGAGTCCCTGAGTCTCCTCCCAGATGAACCGTGTTCCCCATGGCCCAGCCCTTTCTCAAAGGCGAGTGTCTGTCTCCAGCCCGTGGGGTCCGAGTTCCTGGGAACTGGAACAACCCTGGCAGGAAGTGGGGGACAGAACAGTCCCTGCCCTGGGTGCCCTGGAGCATGGTCATGCTGCCACAGCCTCTCACACGGTGCTGGTGTTTGGCCAACACCCCAGAGGTGACACTCATTACCCAAAGGTGTGACCCGGGGCGAGCTCGGGAAATGGCTGAGCTGCAGGCCAGTCTCTTAGGGACAGACGGGGACTCCAGCCTGGTGTGTGTGTGGGGGGGGGGCAGACGCAAGGGGCATCTCGTACCGGCCTGGGGGGTCAGGAGGGTGCAGGAGGCGTTGCCCTCCTCCGGGCTCTGGGGCTCCCACTCGATGCAGTAGGTCGTGCCCGGAGTTCGGTCGGGCCAGCGCGGGCTGCCCCCGGCGGCAACTGCTGCTCCTGTGGGGAGACCCCGGAGCACCGAGTCAGGGGGCGGGGCTGGGGGTGGAGCGGGCTCCAGGGCGGCCCTGTGTCTGCACCGCGTGCATGCGGGCTTTGCTCATCTAGAAACGCGCCGCTGGGAGCAGGAAGCATCGGCGCTGACCTTGCCCACGGAGCCGCTGGGGCGAGAGCACGGCCACGGGGCTCTGGCCTCGCACTCGGCCCACAGGATTCCATCCCGCACCCCGCCTGCCTCCCAGAACCCCACATCGTGTGCTCTGAGCTCAGAGATCACCCAGCAGGCGCCAGAGACGCCCACAGGGGACAGTGACTGAGGCCGGGTTGGCTGTTGGCAGGGCAGGTGACCTCCACGCTGTGCCGTCACTCTACCCCAAATTCCCTGGCCTCTGTGCATGTGGCAGGATGTTCCTCGGATGCTCAGACACCTGTGCCTTGGCGGCCACGGCTCTGGGTGCAGCTGGCCTCGGCCTGGCCGTTAGCACCGACCCCAGAGAACAGGCCCTCAGGAGGCCCAGGCCCCCTCCCCCAAATCCATGGGAACTGAGAGCCGAGTCGCTGCGCCTCCCCAACCCCCGGTGGGAGGAGGCACCTGTGTATGCCTGGGCAGGAATGTGCCAGGACTGGTTGGGGCTGCCGCCATCCTCCGGGGCAACCGTCAGGCGGTAGGCGGCGCCCGAGATGTCGAAGCTTCTCCCGAGGTGCAGAGCCTGAACAGCTGTGGCCTCGGGCTTGCATGCGCAGGACAGCATTTGCAGGTGGACGCGGTAGGTCACCTCCCCACGGCAGCCCTCTGGAAGCGCAGGCTGAGGCAGCTGGCATAGGTGCGAGAGACGGCTGGTGGGGACCCCGACATGCTCAGAACCCCGAGGACACGGATATCAGAACACCCCAAAATGGGGGGAAAATGAGTAAGACCCAATGCTGGCGTGGCTGTTGGGACGTCAGCATGCCCATCTGTGAGACAGTTTTCGGGGCATAATTTGACATCACTGAGTTCTAGGGAAGGAGGTTTCCTCTTGGGGCCCTGGGACCTGATATCTGTACATTTTCCCTAAGAATTATTAGAGGAGGGCCAGATAATCCAGTGGTTAGGGCACTTGCCTTGCACACAGTCAACCTGGGTTTAATCCCCTGCACCCCATATGGTCCCCGCCCCCAGGAGTGCTCCCCGATTGAAGAGCCAGAAATGAGCCCTGAGAACCACTAGGTGGCGCCAAAGACAAAGTGATCAGTGGGCTGGGGGGGTGGGGGGGATGCAGCGGAGTCAGTTCTGGGGGGTGGGCAGAATTCTGGAGCAGCCTCTCTGGGAGAGGTTTGGTGGGTTCGCTCCTGAGACTGGGCTTGTCCCCCGCCAAAAGGGTCATTCACAGGCAGAATGTCACCTGTCCATCCAGGATCAGCTGCCTCCTCCCTTCTGGGCCCAGCGGCCCCAGCGAGATATTCAGTTGCGGCAGTGCCGGGGGCTCTGGGGTGAGAAAGATGAGGGGGTGCTGGATGGCGGCCTGTGGTTGGGGGGCGCAGAGCCTCTGCCACCTGACACAGGCTTGTCCTGGGCTGTCAGGTTGTTTCCAGAATCTGAGAGCAGGGAGACCCTTGGCACAGGCTGGCATCTCTGAGCATTGCTGGGCCCCGAACCCCTAAACACTCCAGGCCTGATTTCTAACATCTGCCACCTGGATTCTAACACTCCCCACCTGGTCTCTAATTATCTTCTGATTTCTAACACCCGCCACCCGATTTCTAACACTCCCTGCCTGGTTTCTAATGTCCCCGTCTGATTTCTTTTTTTTTTTCCCCCGTCTGATTTCTAATGCTGCACCACCATTTCTGGGGCCAGGCGCTCTCACCGAGGGGGCTGCACACAGAACTGCTCCATCTGCTCCAGGGCACCCTGGGGTCCCCTCGGCCCCACCGTCTCCGAAACTGGAACTCTCGCACAACTCCTGCTTCCAGGGGCCAGAGGCAGGACTCTGGGGAGAAACGAATATGACATCAGGCAGCCGAGTAGCCTCCCTGGGGGCCTGACGTGGTGGGTGCAGCCCCCCATTACCGTGCATCGTGTCCTGGTGGCCACCTCCCTGCTGTGCACAGTCACCCTGGAAGGAGACCCAGCAGGCCAGTCACCCTGACTTGGTTCTGGCAGCACAGAGCAAGCCGGATACAGATGTGGGTGACAGGGAGCCATAGCGGGGGGGGGGGGCGTGAGACCACTGTTATAGCAGAGACCCCAGCGATGAGCAGGGGCACACAGGGAGGGACACTGTTTGGGGGTACAGCCCTCCCACCCCAGGTCTGTGTATGCAACAGGTTCAGAAGGGAGCTCACCAGCTCCCAGAAGCCGCCTGCTGGCCTCTGCCGGAACTGCACCTGCGCGTCGCCCTGGTCCTCGGGTGCCTCCCATTCCATCAGCAGCTGTCCATGCCGCCTGGACACTTTGATGTTACCAGTGGGAGGGTCGTACTTAACTAGAAAGGGGACCAGGAGGGCTTCGAGGCGTTCCTGTGGAACATTCCAGAGAACTTCCCCAGCGCCCACCCCTCCGGGCTCTGGGCAGTCACTCTTCCCCAAAAGTGCAGGGGGTGGTGGAGGTTGATCGGGGCTGGGGATGCAGTTGGGAGAAGTGGCTCAGGCTTCGTGTGTGGCGCCCCCTGCAGGCCACTGGGGAAGTGGCACCAGATAAAGCGAGTTCGCGGATCGTGGGGGCCAGGAGAGTGCCAGGCAGTGGCCTCAGCTCAGGGGCCAGGCAACAGAGACTACATCGGTCATTCCTGGGGACCAGGACCCCCCCCCCATCCACTCACCAGGGCCCGAGGCTGGGGCGGCTGCTCACCCATTCTGTTGAGGGTCACGTTCACCCGAGGGGAACGCTGCATGCCCCTGGGCCCCCAGGATTCCACCCAGAAGGACACGGTGCGACGCACGGGGACCTCGTCCTGGTCGGAGAACTGGAAGGCAGTGGCTGCACCCACTGCGAAGTAGCAGCAGCGCCGGGGGCCAAAGCTGTGAAGGTGGAGTGGGGGGCAGCGGTGAGTCTGGGGTGCAGATAGGGGAACTCTAGAATCCGGACCCCCCGCCCTGACCCAAGGGGGACTGAACCAAGGGTGCTCAGGGTGTGTGGGGAGGAAGAGGGTGAGGAGGGAGGATGAGGAGAGGCCGAGCCAGCCCCAGTGGCAGCTCCACTGCAGTGCTCACCCGGACTGGCACGTTCACCCCACCCTCCCTTCTCGGGCAATCAGACCAGGGCAGGAACCCCCCCCCCAGACGCATGTCTGGAGATAGGGGTGCGGGGTCAGGAACAGGGGTGCAGGGACAGGAGCAGGGGCGTGGGTGTAGGGGCAGGGGTGCAGGTGCAGGGGAGTAGGGGTAGCAGGGGTGTGTGGGTAAGAACAGGGGTGTGTGAGTGAGGGCTGGAGCAATAGCACAGCGGGTAGGGCGTTTGCCTTGCACGCAGCCGAACCCGGGTTCGATTCCCAGCATCCCATAGGGTCCCCTGAGCATCGCCATGGTGATTCCTGAGTGCAGAGCCAGGAGTAGCCCCTAAGCATCGCCAGTATGACCAAAAAAGCAAAAAGAAAAAAAACAGAGCAGGGGTGTGTGGATAGGGGCAGGGGTGCTGGGGTAGGGGCAAGGGTGCAAAGTCAGGAGCAGGGATTGTAGGGTCAGAGGCAGGGATGGGGCAGGGGTGCAAGACTGGTGCTCACCAGCAGCGCAGAAAGTGGTTGACCCCTTCGCGTGGCCCCTCGTATCCCCAGGAGCACTCATAGTGGCCATCGGAGAGCCGGTAGCAGGTCAGGTTTTGGGGTCCGGGCGTTAAAGCCCATGGGGACCCTGGAGGGTCATGGAGAGAGGGGGTGGGGCATTATGCCCACCCGCCATGTCCACCTGGGGTCTGAGTGCGACCCCATGTGAACCCGACCCTGAGACCCCCTGCCCACAGCCCTCCCACAGCCCCTCAGCCAGGGGCGGGGGAGGGGCACGGAAGGAGGGGCTGCTCCCTGTCCCTGCACCCACACATGGGGCCCCCTGACCTGAGTCCTCTGTGTAGGGCAGGGCCCCGAAGCAGCACTCCCCGGGGGCGCAGGCCTCTGAGACAAAGCGACAGTGGGCGGCGTCACACTGCAGCTCAGGCTCCCCGCCCATCCGCCATCCATCCTCCTCCATCCACCCGCCCCCATCTGTCCGTCTCTCTGTCCATCCATCTGTCCACGCATGTACCCACTCATCCATTAGTTTGTTCACCCATTTTATATACCCACCCACCATCTGTCCACCCACCCACCCACCCATCCACCCATCCATCCATTCATCCATCCATCCATCCATCCATCCATCTGTCCCTCTGCCCACCCATCCATCCCCTCGCCCGTTCATCTGTCTGGTTTTCCATCTGTCTATCCATCCACCCGTGCATTCATCTGCCCACCCACCTACTCATCCATCCATCCACTCCCCTGTTCATCTGTCTGTCTGTCCTTCAGTCTGTCCACCCCTCTACGCACTCACCACCCTTCCCACCCTCAGGCCCCCACAGTGCACAGCAGCATCTCCGGGGGGCATCAGATCCCACGTGGGTGGCCCGGACCCACCGTGGGGGCCCTGCTCGCACGCTGTCCCAGACCCCCCAGCTGAGGGCCAGGGGGACTCACCGCCCTGCCTGGGGGGCAGCAGGAGGAGGACGGGCAGAGACACCAGCACGGCCGCAGACTGCCCCATCAGGTGCCCCAGCCAGGAACCCCGTGCCGTGGGCAGGAGAAAATAAAATGATTTCTCACGGAGGAGACGTCGGGACTTCTGGCACAAGCAAGAGTGAAAGAGAAACTCAGGAAGTCAGCTCGGTGGTGGTGGCCTCACTGCACAGCCTGAGCCCAGAGCAGTGAGTGTTGGAGAGGAGTAGGGGGGTTCGAGTCTGGATCCCCAGCCAGAGGGGCAGTGCCCTATGGGCAGCTCTTCTCTCTGACTGGCCGGGCCGGTTGATAGTGAGGCTGAGAAACTAATAGGAAAGTCTGTGGTTGAAGTTGGAGGGGCCCCCGGGGGCATGAGTTTGTAACCTGGGGGGCTGAGCACCAGGGAAGCGCCCCGGGTCCCTGGGACGTCTGCACTCTCAGACAAACGTGATTAAGGGTACACTTGGGCCCCCCAAACAGATATTTGTTGATGGTTTCCTGCACCACACCTGGCGGTGCTCAGGGCTGACTCCTGGCTCTGTGCTCAGTGATCTCTTGGGCAGGGCTTGGGGAACCCTTGCTGTGGCGGGGATCGAACCCGGCACCTTAACAGTCAGTCCTGTCTCTCTGGTTCCCCCAACTGACTCTTGCTGGAATGTTTGGCTCCAGAAAATGAGTGAACCGCAAAGAATCACCCAAGGGGACCCAGGGGATGGGGCCATGCACGCAGCCCACTGGCTTCCCTCCCCGGCTCCTCCACGGTCCCCGAGTCCCACCAGAGTGACCCTTGAGCACAGAGCCAGGAGTGACCTCTGAGCATCGCGGGGGATGGGGCAAACAAGAAGAGGGATCTAGTGGCCCTGGCGGGGGTATCACTGGAGGCGGAGGGATAAGTGTTCCTGGATCAGTGCCTGTACGGGTTGGAATGTTCTGGAAGGAGATGGGGGTGGGAACCTGTGGCCTCTGAGAGGCTAAGGGGCGCTCCTGGGGAGACTGAGGCCCAGGCAGCAGTGGGAGGAGCCCCTGTGAGGGCGGCCGGCAGCCAGCAGGCCTGAGGTCAGGGTCTGGGAACAAAGGGGCAGTGTCCCCAGCCTGGCACGCGGGGCGCCGGCCCGTGACCTCACACACAGCCGCCTTTCTAGGCTGAGCTGCGCAGGGGTGGCTGTGGGGAGCCCGGGTGGGGTCTGCAGGAGAGACACAGAGAGCAGGGAGAGGGGACCTTAGAGATGCGGACCAATGCCAGCCCTGCCCCAGCCCCCGGGCCTTGGAGGCCTGTCACCCCATTTGACAGGTGGCAAACAGGAAGCCAGAGCTGCCTGGGTGGCTCTGGTGTGGAGACTCAGGGGTCCCGTGTGAGCAGAGCTCTCACTGTGCACGCGGCTGACCGGGGTTTGAGCCCCGCCACTGCTTAGGGTCCCCTGAGCCCCCGCTGGTTGTGGCCCAGACACCCCAAAATGAGTTGCTAAGGTCAAAGCATGAGTCGGAGCCACCCTCCCCGTCACCATAGCTGCCCACACAGCCCAGCCCTGCCCTACTTTTAGGAACCTCAAGCTCAGGGGGGAAGGGAGGCAGGAAGGATCTGGCCAAGGGGCCCCCGGAAACTGTGACAGGAACTTTCCCACCCCTGCAGCCTCCGCCTTCTTCCTGGGGACAGTGACCTTCAGCTTCTCGGGAGGAGGTCTGGCCCCTCTCAGCCAAACAAGATTGCAGTGTTGGAAGCCCCTCTGGGCCATGTGGGGAGGGCAGGGAGGGATGTGTAGGAGTTTGCAAGGAATATTTCCATTCAGCCTAATTTTCTGAGGCCTCTGGGGGGTGGTCCGAGGGTGTCTGAAAGGTAATATAATGTGGCAGAGAAAACAAGCCCCCCACTCACTCCTTCCTGAGCCTCTCCTGGGCTCACCTGAACAGGAGGAGGGTTTTGGTGGATGCTTAGAAGTTCCCACCAGGAAGGCTCTGTGCTACGGACCTGAGCCGGCTGTGAAGGGCGCACGTGCCTTGGATGGGGCAAGTCACGCCGGCAGCAACGAGTGTTCCTGGGACCCGCAGAGGGGCTGCTTGCGTAGGGATTCCCCAGTTCAGCAAGAGAGGTGACTCCTCTAGATACCTGCCACCCCGTCTGCCTGCCCAAGCGCCACCGTTCCCCGCTTCCCCATCTCCATCATCTCTGGAGCAGGGCTGTGTGGACAAGGGTCTACGAGTTGGCTTCAAAAGTTAGAGCAGGGGGGCTGGAGTGATAGCACAGCGGGCAGGGCGTTGGCCTTGCACGCGGCTGACCCGGGATCAATCCCCAGCCTCCCATATGGTCCCCTGAGCACCGCCAGGGGTAATTCCTGAGCGCAGAGCCAGGAGTAACCCCTGTGCATCGCTGGATGTGACCCAAAAAGCAAAACAAACAAACAAAAAGTTAGAGCAGGGCCAGAGCCATAGCAGCGCGGGCAGCTGGCAGTGCCAGGAGCAAGCCCCGAGTACAGAGCCAGCAGGGTGTCCTGCACCTGCGAGCGCACAGGGAGCCTGTGAGGGGTGCGGGCACTCACCTTGCAGCAGGAGATCCTGTCTCGCCCCCTGCACCCCACTGGGTTCCTCCAGCCCCACCGGGAGTGGTCCCTGAGTGCCACTGGGTGTGGCCCCCAAACCAAACCAAAGCAAGAAAAGAACTTGTGTTCGAGGCCTGGGGGAAATAGAGCCTCTGCTTAGGTCAGCTGACGCATAAGCTCACAGGGGCAGGTCAAGAACCCAGTCCCAGGGCTCCCTCCGCACCGGGCACCACCCTGAGCTCCGCCGTCTGTGTTCCCCAGTGCAACACGAAGTACCAAAACTTGGGGGGGGGGGGAGATGGGACGACAGCGGGGAGGGTGCTGGCCTTGCACATAGCCAACCCGAGTTCTGTTCCCAACACCCCGCCTTGGCCTCCAAACCTCGTCAGGAGTGATCCCTGAGCAGAAAGCCAGGAGCAAAGAGCACGGAAGCCTGAGCGTGACTGGGTGTGACCTTCCCCTGTAAAATACCCATATTTGTATCGGAGCATAGGGCAGCAGGATTCGAACAACGGATGGGGCCAGTGTCCCTCAGGGCACAATGGGAAACCACCACTGTGGGCTACCCAGCAGAATATTATGCAACCACAAAAAGGAACAAAGAGCTGACCTAGGCTACAATGTATATGAATCCAAACCCTTCCACTGGGGAGAGAAGCAAGAACTGCAGCCCCCGCAGCCCCTAGGAAACCCCTAGGACAGACCCTGGGGAGGGGCCGTTGCCCAGGTGGACAGTCTTCTTTTGGGGGTGCAGTGTTCTGGAATTAGAGGTGGTGACTGCATCACGTGTGTGCCCTCCATGCCCCCGAACCTTACATCTTACAAGGCGAATTTTCTGGTATGAGAATTTTAGGTCACTGCAAAGCGGGTCTGAGAAGCAGGAGCTTTACTCGGCTCCTGTGTCTTCCTGTGCTCAGTCGTGCTGTTGTCAGCAGAACAGCAGGAGTGAGTCAGAGGGAACGGCAAGAGGATCATGGCTGCCTTGCAGGGGTTCGGGCACGTCCCTCCTGTGCAGTGCGGCTGAGCAGTTGTGAGCAGAGCCGCCTGTGACAGTTGTTCGTCCTGAGCTAAGCTCCAGTCAGCCCTCTGCTCCTGCAGCCCTTCTCAGACTGACAGCCACCACGGTCACATGTTCTTGTAAATAAAGTTTTATTAGGAGCGGGCCGGTATTAGGTAGGGGAACCAAGGGAGGCTGGGGCGGGAAAAGGCAGCGCCCGGGAGGACAGAGTGTCTGCAGCTGCCTGTTTCACGCATGGAGAATGTTGGCATCTGTTTTGAGTTCGGGAGTACCTAGTATTAAAACTTGGTGTACCCCAAGGAGGTTTTTATGGGGGGAACGGGAGAGAGCCGTGTTAAACTCTGCGCGGTCGGAAGCGTGTGCTCTGGGCACGCCCACTCACTCCTCAGAGCCTCAGTTTCTCCACCTGAAAGATGGGGGCGCGCAGGCTCGGGGTTCAGGGCTGTTTACGCCTGGGCTGGGGTGGGCGTGGCCTGAGGAGGCGGGGCCGGCTCGCCCAATGGGGGCGGGCCCTTCTAGCGGGCTCCCCGGGATGGGAGGGGCCAGGCCTCGTCAGCTGATCGGCTCCGCCAATGGCGCGTGGGGGCGGGGCACAGCGGGCCGGGGCGGGGCCGGGGGCGGGGCTGGCGGCGGGACTCGGGGACCATGGACGAGCCGAGCCTGCTGCGGCGCCGCGGGCTCCAGGTGAGGCCCCGTGCGGACGGGCTCTGCCCCGGCGCACCTGACCCGGCCCGGGGGGCGGGGCTCGGGCGGGCCCGGGGGAGCCGGAAGGCAGGGCCGGGAGCGCTCTGGCGCTTCTCCAAGTGCCTTCCCCTAGCGGGGGAGAGAGACAAGAGGGTAGTGCTCTATTGGACATTCGGGGAAACTGAGGTCCGAGCAATAGCGGGGGAGTTGGAGGGGGGCTCAGGGTCTCGTCCCGCTCCCCCAACTGCGCTGATAATAGGAGCCGCCGCAGCCAGAGCGCTGGGCCATATGCTCTTCGCTGATTAATCCTAGCTCCCGGGATGTATTAATATTAATTCAGCGCCTTCATCCCTGTCTCGGGCTCTGCGCCCCTGCCTCGGTTCAGCTCCCCCTACGGCGAGCCAGGGAGGTGGAGGCTGCCCGGGTGTCCATTCATCAGGTGGAGAAACTGAGTCTGCAGGCTCCAACCCCATGCCCTCATCCACTCCCTGAGGGACACGAGCCCCCGCCGCTGGCCGTGTGTTGGGGCAGCCCCAGGAAGCCCCCGGGAGGGCCTCTGCCTGGCCTTTGGCCTGGGCTTGCGGCGGCTGGCAGAGGTCCCGGGCCCAGCCCGCGGAGGCCTCGCGTTCCCACCAGCAGCACCCTGAGACCTCAGTTTCCCCAGATGTGCTGTGAGGTGGTTGGGGAGGGGGTTGCTACACCGCAACCACAAAGCAGCTCCCGGGAGGCAAGGGGCTACCCCAAGATTCATCCTTTGCGCAACAAGCAGGCCCCGGGGGATCTGCCCCTGGGGCGTGAGGTGGGTGGAACCTTCTGGACTGGGTGGCTGCACTGGTCTGGCTGTCAGGGGCTGGGGCAGTGGGGACGTTGGCATCTCTGCAGAAAGTGGTGGGCTCTGTGGTGTTGGCAGCCCAGGAGGGCAGCAGAGGCAGGGGAAGCAAAGCCGGCAGAGGGGAGCCAGGACCTCGAAAAGCTGAGCAGGGAGGGTGGGGGTCGGACCCAGACAGCCACTGCGCAGCCCCGGCCAAGATATACAGCGGGAATCCCCCCTCCACCCCCCACTTGCTGCGGTGGGGGGCTCTGAGGGGACAGAGTCAGGAGTGGGGGAGCTGGACACTTAGCCGGGGGCAAGGCAGGGCTGGTAAACAGTGGGGTGTTTGTGGGGGGGACCAGGCCCCGCCTGAAGCCCCAGTTAGACACCAGCCCCGCCCCCGGCCTCTTAAAATAGAGAAACCGCCCTCGGGTAGGCGCCTGGGGGCGCTGCTGACGTCAGGAAATGGGGGCCGTTCCCAGGGGAAGAGGTGCCCATTCCCTGACGACTGGAGGCCCAGTGCAGAAGGGGAAACTGAGGCTCAGTGAAGCTTTGCCACAGGGCTGGTGGCACAGCATGTAGGTCACAGTCCGGGCGTGAGCGCAGGTAGGGTTGGGGCCCCCTCCCTCCTCAGGCCCATCCGGGGGGCCGACGGGGTTGAGGGATAGTCCAGAAGTGGGAAACCGTCCCCAAGAAGGGCTCGACCATGGCACATGCCAAGAGCCAGAGGCATGAAACAGGAAGTGTCGGCAGCCTCCCCAGGAGACAGATGGTCCCTCCGCAAGTTTGGGGGAGTGAGATTTTGTCCCTGGGGTGACTGGCTTCCTGGAGCTGAGGACTCCCAGATGTAAGGACGTTTAAAGTGCTCTGGAGTCAGCTTGGGACCTGAACAGCGGCCCGCTGAGCGAGAGAGGTGTTTGGGGTAAAGAACTAAGCAGACAACGAAATTCGTCAAATAATTGGGGTAGAAATTGCTGCGGACATTATCAGGCTGCTCCCAGCCACCGATTTCAGTGCTATTATTAGCCTTATTTTCTCAGAGGGGGAAACCGAGTCTCCAGGAGAGAAAGAAGCAGCCCGGATGTCAGAGCGCTTGGCATTTTAACCCCTCTGGCACCAGGGTGCAAAGAGATTGAGGGGCCTCATGTACTGAGGCTCGGGCCACAGGCTTCCCCCAGAAGGAACCCGAATAACGGGCCTGGGAACAGCTCTAGCCAATCAGGTTGCAGCCTGTTCCGCAGACCAAATCAGATACCCTGGCAGCTGACCCCAGGAAATCAGGCAGTGCTGATTGGCTGGTGTAGACAGTATACCTACTCTCCCAGCCAATGGGGTCGTAGCAATATAGGCACGCGGATGCCTCTGTCCCGGGAACGCGCGCCAGGACCTGGCCATCTGGCCTCGGCAGTGGGGTCAGAGGATGAGGTGGCGATGGGCCCTTCCTGCGCTGGCCTTAGCCGTCTCCTGTGTGACATCTGTAGGCGCCACTTCACATGGAGTGTTATTCTGATGGCGACGACGGTTATTTATTTCACTGTTTTCCTCATCTCGCAAACAACAGACTTTAAAACACATTCCCCCAGCACAGCCTCTTGTAGCCAAGTGACCGCGTCCGTGTCTGGATTTTGTCTCTGTGACTGCCGGGTAGAGTCTCCCTGAAAGTTTCCTCCTGGCTCCGGCCCACTTATTTTCCTCCTCCAGGAAGCCCTTGGGGACTGCAGCCGGTGGTTTCCCCTTGCCTTCATTTCTTCCTCCCCCCCCCACCCCCCCCCAGCTCTCCAGACGCCTCTAGGACTCCAGCTCCAGCTGAGGTTTCAGGCAGAGCAACCATCCCAACCCTGGGGCAAGTCCCACCTCCCCTGTCTGGGCTGGATCCACTCCCTGGGGGAACAGCCGGCACTGAGGGGGCTGAAGGCGGAAGCAGATGGCGCAGGGAAGGGGGGAGCCGAGGCGGTCTTGGGAGAGCTCCTGTGGGCTGCTCCTTCCCAGATCCTCGGGGGATGCCGCTTGCTCTCACCTCTCTGCTACTTTACATCGTTCTGTATTTTGGAAGCAAAGGCACATTTGTTGGGAAATGGGAGGTTATTATTAACAGCACTAAGTCAGCGGCTTGCCTCCAATTAATTCCTCCCAGCTTCCCCCATTGCCCGCAGGGCACGATTTCTCCCTGGCTCGAAGGCACAAAGAGTGTGTGTGTGTGTGTGTGTGTGAGAGAGAGAGAGAGAGAGAGAGAGAGAGAGAGAGAGAGAGAGAGAGAGAGAGAGAGAGAGAGACCCTGGAGGTCAGAGCCCAGCATGTTAGTGAGGGAACAGGAGTGGGGGGGGGCAGCTGGCTGGGGTCCCACAGCCAACGCTGTACTGCTGGTAGTGAGCTCCAGGTCCCTGGGAGTAATCAAGCTGAAGGGGAGGCTGCAAGGTGGGTGATCCACTTCCTTCCATCTGGAATGACGCTGTTCCCTGAGCTCCAGGTCACCCCAAGCGCCCTTCCCCTTCCAGATTGGGGAGACCTCCCTGCTACCTTATCCCCAGCCCAGCAGCTCCCAGTCCAGATGCTTCAGCCCCCTCCCATTGGCTGTGGTGTGATGATATAATCGGTTGCCATGGCAAACATCCGCTCTGGGCGTGGGCAGCTGGAAGCCCACTGAGGGAGAAAATAGTGGCGTGTCCAGGACTACCCCGCGGTGTTGTGTGGAGGCTGGGGGTGGGTGTGAGGGGACACCCGGAAGTCCCGCTCTCCCTTCACCAATGGAATCAAATAGCTGATGTGCTCCTGTGCCTCAGTTTCCCTGTCTCTTGACCTGCCCTGGTGTAGTGGAGAGGGGGTGTGTCAGTCACCCAGAAGGTGCACACAGAGCCTTGCTGAGCTCCTGGTGCTTGTTTTCACCCTGACCCCTCCTCCCTTCCCCCCCACCCCCGTGGTGGCACCAAGCAGCTGGTGGGGAGACCCAGTGGGTGGCCAGTCGCATAGCTCCAACCGGCCAGTCGGTCTGTGCCAAGCCTGGGTGTCCCAAGGCTCTGGCTCACTCTGTGTGTCCTCTGGGAGACTGCAAGTCCCCTCAGAGAGCCGCTCTCGGGTGCCCGGCTCTGTGTACCTATGTGGGGAGAGTACAGCGGGCAGAGTGCTGCCCTTGCACACTGCGGGCGCGGGTTTGATTCCTGGCACCTCATAAGGTCCCTGAGGCCCACCAGGAGTGATCCCTGAGCACCACTGGATGTGGCCCAGAAAACTGTCACCAGGGGCCCAGTCAGGGCCCAGCCTGCATAAGCGCTACAGGGAATGAGGGAGCCACTACTTTCTCTTGGGGTGCACAGCTAAGGCTGACCCAGTGGCATTTAGCCACTGTTGACACGCTTCCTGTGAAGTATATCACACTATCAGGAATGATAGCACAGCGGTAGGGCGTTTGCCTTACAAGCGGCCAACATGGCCGACCCGAGTTCGATTCCTCCGCCCCTCTCGGAGAGCCCGGCAAGCTACCGAGAGTATCTCGCCCGCACGGCAAAGCCCGGCAAGCTACCCGTGACATATTCGATATGCCAAACACAGTAACAAGTCTCATGATGGAGACGTTACTGGGCCCGCTCGAGCAAAATCGATGAACAATGGGAGGACCGTGACCGTGACCAGGTTTGGGGGCCACGTCCTGTGTCCTGTGGCCTTGGGCTGTTCCTGGCTGTTCGCTCAGGAGTGCCCCCTCGTGGCTTTCAGGAATGAAACTGGGACTGACCCAGCAAGTCCAGAGCCTTTGCCCCTGTACTCTCTCCAGACTCTTGAAGTAGATCAGAAAATAAAAGCTCACGTGGGAGTGATTAAATGATTTTTAATACATAACGAGTCGGATAGGGAGGTAGATGGGCAATCTGGGTGGACGTCCTGGAGGAAGGAACGTTTTTAGCTGAGAGGTGATGTGTCCAGAGGGGCCCAAAGGGGAGGCTGGGTGGGTCTGGTGGAGAATAGGACTGAGCCCAGCCCATGGGGGTTGGGAGACTAGAAAGGCTCCATGGGGTGCGGCGTGGCCCTCAGGGGCTGCAGGGGGAGAGGTGGCCTTTGGGTCACCTGATGTCACATGACAGGACTATGCTTTTGGGTCACATGACATGACAATGTCATGGAGCACCCTGGCAGTGGGGATCACTTCGCGTTTTCATTCCCTTTCAGAAGGAGCTGAGCCTGCCCCGCCGAGGACGTGGGTGAGTTTGCATGGGGGAGAGGTGGGGGGGGGGTGAGGGGGTGCTGGGGTCTCTGCTGAGCCTTTCTCCATCCTGGAGAAAACGCCCATCCTTCGTTTGCAGTGTCCTGTGGGCACACCTTCCCGGGTCACCCCGCCCAGGGATTGGCAAGGGGGAAAACTGAGGCTGTGCACTCCCGGATCAAGGGGGCCCAGTTTGGACAGGGAGAAATGTGTGTGGGGCCGAGACTAGACTCTTGTCCACCACAGCGATACCCTGGACTGGCGTGGCCCTGAGCCGGGGAGCTCACTCACTGTCTTTCTGGAGGCCAGAGAAGGACTGCGTCTGGCCCCCAGGCATGCTCTCATCCCAAAATCTCGGAACTCAGACCTGAGACTTGAATGGGGGCATGGCTTGTCTCCCCCGGCTACAGGAAACTGTCATTCTCTGCAGAAATTCAGCATAGACAGAGGAAGGGCCCTCTAGATTTGAGCAAGAGACCCTGGGAGGAGGTGACATTTGAGCCTCTAGCTGGAAGGGGAGCAAGAGGCCCGAGAGCAGGAATAGAATTTCGGCAGAGGGAACAGCATGGGCGAGCTTGGAAACTTGGGAGGGATGTGAGTACAGATGGGGTCCAAGGGCGCCATGGGGTGGGAGTAGCCTCAAGCCCAGACCCCGAGCTGACTGGACCTGGGAGGGCACAGCGGTGGGCTTGGGCCCACAGGGGCGAAGCTGGCAGGCACTGTGCTGGCCTCTGCCCAGGCTAGCGGCTCACGAAGTTTGGACGTGGACGTGGCTGGCTTCAGAGCACAGAGGCAGCGCAGGAGACAGGGACACCCTGCAGCATGTCTGCAATCTCGGTTATCCGGGGGTTGCGGAACCTGCGCACGCCTCCCCTAGGATTCTGGATGCGCCCAGGGAAGGCTCGGGGCAGGGAAGTTCGAGGCCTGAGAGGGGATGGCAAGGTTGACGACGCGGGGCAGAGGCGGGAGGTGGACAGCGGGGGCTGGTCCCCGTGGCGCTCAGGGGCGCAGAGACCCGCGCTGGGGCCCTCCTGGACAATGAGCAGTGGAGGAGGCTGGGCAGGGATGGAAGCTTCCTGAGCCGGCGGTCCCAGACCTGGGGCGGGACTAATTAAGATGCTGGGCCTTATGGAGGGCGGGACAACTAAGAGGCGGGGCCTGGTGATGGGCGGGCCAGATAGAGGGCGGAGCCTGCCGTAGGGGTGTGGCCAATACGCGGACGAGGTCGTGTCGGGGGTGGGGCCAGTAGGGGATTGGGTGTATCTGAGGGGGCGGGCCGGTACACGGGCGGGGCTGTAATCAAAGGGGCGGTCCCTAGAGGAGGAGGGCGGGGCTAACACGGGGCGAAAAATTTGGGGGGTGGGGCCAATAGAGGACGGATTCGCCGGAGGGGCGGGGCCTGCTGACGGGCGTAGCCAACAAGGGGCGGGGTTCATCGGGGGCGGGGGCAGAGTCTGCTCCCGACCCGGGGACCCGGGTGTCCCTACCTCCACCTCCTGGGCGCGCGCCCTGCGCTGCCCTACCTCCCTCCGGGCCGGGCTTGCGCGCAGGTGCGGGCCCCGAGCCCCGCCCCAAGGCGGACAGCTCCCTCCCCCCCGGCCCCCGGCGGCCCAGCCCCGGCGCCGGCGCCGAGTCTGCCCGCCTGCCAGGCATGCTGGCCCCGCGTTCGTGACCATCTGTGCGTGTATGATCGCGCCCCCAGCAAGGCCCCGGGGCCCAGGAGAGGGCGTCGGCTTCGCCGCGGCCCGGGCCGCGGCATGAAGCCCCGCCAAGAGAAGCTGCATATCCCGGCTCTGACTCTGGAGTGAGTGCTCGGCGCGGGAGGGGTGGGATCCTGGCGGTGGGGGTGGGCCCCAGCGCAGGCTGACGGGCGCCCAGCACCCTTTACCCCCCAGCGCCTCCGAGCTGCGCTCCGGGTGCCTGGGGTGGAGCCCCAGCGTCGCCGCTGCCGCTGCCTCCGGGGAGCCCTCCCGGGTCATCGGTCTGGCCCCGCCCTCGCGGCCTGTGCGCTTCCCAGAATCCAGGGCCTTGAACCCCTGCGCCCCACGGGACATGCCCTCCCGGGGGCTGGCATCAGGCGGAGGTGGGGACTGCCACGAGAGTCACTGGCGGGCGAACTCTTGCAGTCTGTCTCCGAGCGGCCAGATCCCAACCTTGCTGAGCCCCTGCAGCCCCACGAGCCCTGGGAGTCCCTCGTTGTCCCTGGGCCTGCACCCCTGGAGGTAAGTGACAGTGCACGGGGTGCGGGGACCTCCAGCCCTACCCTCACATTATCCGGGGAAACAGCCCAGACCCTGCGGGAGTGGGCCTAGGGACATCACCTCTGGGGCCTCAGTTTACCCTCAGAAGCTGCTGTCCACACTTGGACTTGGACCAGCTGATTCCTGCCGGAAACAGCAGGTCCCCCCACCAACAGGTGGCCAAGACCAGCCGGAACTTGAGCTCCTGCTCAAGGACATGTGCAGGACAGGTGGTGGGGCTCCCAGCCGGTTCCTGTCCCTCCCCCCAGACCCTCCACCTCCTCGAGGTCCAGGACTCTGCCCACTGAGCATGCCCAGTAGCGCACAGGCTGGAAGGCGCATCCACGCGTCCACCAGCCCCGGGAGGCATCTGATGTCCAGTGTGGCCTGCAAGTGCATGCGAGAGAGAGGACAGACCTGGCACCAATGACCTCCAGCCGCACCAGCTGCCTCCTGCTCTGTCCTGGCGCTATTTTCCAGAGGGGGAAACCGAGGCTCTGTTGAGCTTGGTGGGTCCCTGGGCCTTGTGGGGACTGGAGGGAGCGAGCACAGTTGGGACCTGTCTCAGGACGGGGGCGGGTGGCTGGCAGCTATGCAATTGTTAGTCTGCACCAGCAGTCCTGGGGCTGGCACTGGCTCGGATGGGGGCATTTGGATGTTGGGTCACACGCAGTGTGCCAGGAGCTCTGGGCATAGCCGGGAGTAAGCAGTGGTGGTTGCTCCCATATGCCCCCCACTCCTGGGCTGCCCACTGTGATCAAATGAACAGAACCCTGGAGGCACCTCTCAGAGGAGGTGATGCGTGGTTTTTGTTTGTTTTCTGGCCGTATTCAGGGCTGACTCCTGGCTCTGTGCTCAGGGATCACTCCTGGAGGTGCTTGGGGGGATCTTGTTGGGTGCAGAACCCAAGTTCACTGCATGGCAGGCCAGCCTCTTCCTCTCTGTGCCCTTTGAGCCCAGACCTAGGCAGAGCAAGGGGGCCACACAGGGCTACCCCAGACTCCGGTGTCATCGGGGCCACGGCCAGCTGAGTGGGAGCGAGGGTCCACTCTGAGAGATGCTCAAGCCAAAAGTGCTCGGCACCCATCAGAGCCGCCCTGGGCAGTGCTGGGAAAGGGAGCAACATGGTGCCAGGGGGCCAATTCAGGGTCCATTTCCACAGATGGAATTTTTGTTCATTATTTTTAAATTTGGGGGCCACACCTGGCAATGTTCAGGGGTTACTTCCTGGCTCTGCACTCAGGAATCATTTGTGGTAGTGCTTGGGGGCCTTATGGGACATCGGGGAAGGAACCCAGGTGGGCCGCTGTAAGATCACTCCAGCCTCAGGCTAGGACTTTTTTTTTTCCTTTTTGGGTCACACCCGACAATGCACAGGGGTTACTCCTGGCTTTGCACTCAGGAATTACCCCTGGCAGTGCTCAGGAGACCATACGAGATGCTGGGGATCAAACTCGGGTTGGCCGTGTGCAAGTCAAACCCCCTACCAGCTGTGCTATTGCTCCATCCCTCTAGGATTTTTTTTTCTCTCTGAAGTCACACCTGGTGATGCTCAGGGGTTACTCCTGGCTCATGCACTCAGGAATTACTCCTGGCAGAGTCCAGGGGACCATATGGGATGCTGGGAATCTAGCCCGCTTGCATGTAAGGCAAATGCCCTACCTGCTGTGCTATCACTCCAGCCCCTACACTAAGATGGTTTAAATTCTCTGTGGCTGTACTGGGAGCTGATGGAGGCCTGCCCCGGAGAAGGACCGGAGGCGGCTAGGGTGCATCTGGTTAGGGTGCTGGAGCATGCACAGGAAGGCAGAGTAGGGAAGGAAACTGAGGCACCTCATGATATGTCAAGGGTGCCCTAGGCGAGCTCCCTCATGCCATCCGACTCATTTTCGTTGGCAGCTGGCGCCCCTTCATGGGGCAGAATCAAAGTCCAATGGGTATATAGACCACATCCTCCTTGTTCACCCCTGGCAACTGGGGCTGGGGGTGGGGAAGGTCGGGAATCTACCTTTGGGATCTTATCAAGAGTGCATTAGTGGACAGGGAGCTGCCGTGACTCCTTGGTGTGCTTCTGTCAAGCCATCAAAGTGAACGATCTCATTCTGTGAATCCTTGGCCACCCTCCCTGCGGGGTCATGTGGGACAGGTAGTGCTGCTTCTTCTCCCACCGCCAGGGGGCAACAGAGTGTTGCCGCCTTGGGCTGGGCAAGAAACGGGCTCTAGGCAGAAAGCCCCGTGTTTTGGGTTCCTCCCCTGCAACCTCCGCAGATCGACACCCCAGGAAATGCAAGCTATGGCGCCAGGAGCTTTTGCTCCTACAGTGTCTGCAGATCAGCTGAGGGCGGCCGGCGTTGTTTACTCTCAGGGCCACAAGCCCTCACAGCTTCTCTGGCCAGCTCTGAGCCTTCTGTAGCTTCTGAAAGGTGCGAGGTGGACACCTCCAATCGTGTCCTCAGAGCGGGGTTCTGCAGACACGCTGGTGCAGGGGCAAGCTGGGAGGGCTCAGCCTGGGTGGTCAGGGCGTGGAGGGTGGTTGTGAGTTGGGTTCTCCTGGACAGATGGTTCCAGGCCAGAACCGCATTGTCCTGGAGCGGGTAGGGCAGGGGTGTGGGGTGGGGGCGGGGGGCGGTGAGCAGATCCTTCAGTATTGCCCTTGGCCCTTGAGTGCCTAGGATATTAAGAATTGTTGGGGCTGGGGCCCAGCAGGTAGGGCGTTTGCCTTGCTTGCCGCCAACCCGGGTTAAATTCCCAGCATCCCATATGGTCTCCCGAGCACCGCCAGGAGTAACCCCTGTGCATCGCCGGGGTGACCCAAAGAGCAAAAAGAAATAAAGAATTGTTGGGACTGATGAGGCACGACAGCGGAGAGGGCTCTTGCCTTGCATGTGGTTGACGCGATTTGATCCTTGTCACCCCAGATGGCCTCTCTTGCCCTGCCAGGAGAGATCCCTGAGAACAGAGCCAGGAGTAAGCCCTGAGCACTTCTAGGTGTGGGCCAAAATCAAAGCAAAATTAGCATTATTTTTTGCATTTTTGGGTCACAACCGGTGGTGCTCGGGAGGAGTGTGGGATGTGGAGGATCACGCCCTCCAAGCTGTACTATAGCTCTGGCCCCACAAAAAGTTTTTTTTTTCCTTCTGGAGCTGGAAAGATGGTTTATACTTTGCATTGGTGAGGACTGGGATTCCAGTACGACGTGACCCCAAAGCACTGCTGGGCGCTACAACAAAATTTTAATTTATTTTTATATTTACTTATTTGCTCGAGCGGGCCCAGTAACCTCTCCATTTTGAGACTTGTTGTTACTGTGTTTGGCATATTGTGTTTGGCACATTGAATACGTCACGGGTAGCTTGCCAGGCTTTGCCGTGCGGGCGAGATACTCTCGGTAGATTGCCGGGCTCTCCGAGAGGGGCAGAGGAATCGAACCCGGCTCGGCCGGGCTGGCTGCGTGCAAGGCAAATGCCCTACCGCTGTGCTATCACTCCATCCCATTTATTTATTTAATTTATTTACAACAAAATTTTTAAAAAAATTGAAAGTGGGGCCGGAGCCATAGCACAGTGGGTAGGGCGTTTGCCTTGCATGCAGCTGACCTGGGTTCGATCTCATCCCATATGGTCCCCTAAGCGCTGCCAGGAGTAATTCCTGAATGCCAAGCCAGGAGTAACCCCTGAGCATTGCTGGGTGTGACCCAAAAAAGAAAAAAAAATTGAAAGAGGAAGAATCTGGGCTGGGCTGGGTGGCCAAACTGAAGGAACAGGGCGAGGTCAGTGCCCATTGAAGGGCCGCCCTTTGGACACCTCCCTACTGGCTGGCTCAGTAGAGGAGAGTGAGGCAGAGCGTGGGCCAGACAGGGCGGGGGGGGGGGGGCTGAGCCCTTGAAGGGGTATTTCCCCAGGAAAGCGAAGCAGACACCCCCGGGGGGGGGCGGGGGGGGCCGGGAGGGGACGACGAGCCTGGGCATTGGAGCTGTCTGCGGCGGGGTGGGCGTGGCGGGAGATAGGCTCCACCCCGGAGGCGTGGCCAGCGCGGATCCTCAGTTGCAGGCCCGCCCCCAAACGCTGCAGGCCAGACGCGCGTAGGAGCAGCCGAGGTCAGCTTACCAGCGTGGTGGGGGGCTTGTAGGTGGTGCGAGGCGCAGACAGGGCTGCGGCAGAGGTGGTGGGCAGAGGTGGCCCCTTGGGGGCGCAGGTCCAGCACGCCAGCATTGGGTCGCTTCAGCTTCTCTCGCGGTGACCCCCAAACTGGGGTCTCTGCCTTTGCCCCTACCCTCATCCACACTGCACCGGCTCTCCTGCAGGGCCTGCCCGCTGGACTGCAAGCTTGAGTCCTTCCTTCCCGTTCTCCAGGGCGACTCCTCTGTCCTGTCTGTCTCAGCTGTCCCCAGCGGCCCTTCCCCTCCCCCGCTTCAGAGAACCCTCTCTGTCTGGTTATTCACATTTATTTCTTTATTCTCTGGTGGTGTCGGCGATCCCCTTATCCCCTGGGCGTTTGAAATTGTGTTGTTTGCTGTTTCCTGTTTAGTCTCTGGGGGTGGGGCGGGGGTGGGCACAAGGCATGTGCTTTACCCTGTACCCTCTCTGGCCCTCTTTCTATTCTTCCATGAGGCGACTTATGTGGGCTAGAGAAAGGGGCCTGAGAACTAGCCTGGTGCCACCCTTTGTGGAACCTATACGTGGCACGGTTGTAGGCACAGCCTGATCCCACTTAGCCCAGCAATCCACGTGTCAGCCTGGCTTTCCTCCCACCTTCTAGTTGAAAACACTGGGCTTGACACGTTCATCTGATTTCTGACTCAGTCTGCCAAGCATACCCTCTCTGCCAGGGCATGGGAGATGCTGGGGCCTCAAGGAGTCCAACCTGAGCAGGACAGAAAGCTGGAAGGGCTTCCCAGAGGAGGAGCTGCTGGGTCTTACCAGACAGGAAGTGCATTCCAAGATGGGAGCAGGACTTGGACGGGACCACTGGGTCGGTCTGGCTCTCCGCGCTCAGAGAGGGTCAGCTTAACGGGCAAAGAGGGGCGGGAGGGCTCCCACCCATCTGAGGGAAGGTAGCCCCATTCGGACGCCGCGCCCCTACAGCCCTAGCAACGCCCCGCCCCTTTTCGCGCTGTGCCGGTGATGCCCCGCCCCCGTAGCCATGGCAACGCCCCGCCCGGTGCCTGCCAGCGGATTCGCGGGGGCGCTTCCGCGTTGTGGCCCCGCCCCTGACCCCGCCCCTAGCCCTCCTGGGCGGGGCTCCGGGGCGCGCGCTTCCTCCCCGCCCCCTCCCCGCTCCGCCGAGCGCCCCCCAGCCAGGTCTGCGGGGTTCCCGGGGGCCGATCCCGCCGCCGAGGTTCGCGCTTCCCGGGTCCCGGCGGCGGCGGCGGCGGCGGCACAAAGGGAAGCGGCATGTCCGACCCCAGCTACTGGACGGCGGTGGCGGCGCCCGGCCACCGGAGCCGCCTGGCCAAGGGCGCGCTGCTGCAACGCTCCAAGAGGTGGGCGCACGGCGCGGGCACGGGCGGACCCCAGGGTTCTTCCTGGCGGGCGGCGTGGCGGGGGCCCCGGGAGCAGTGGTGGAGGGCAGCGGGAGGACCCCTGGAGAGCCAGCCACGGACAAGCCTGGACGTTCGTGGTTGTCTAGTCCCGTCGTGAGGCTGGGGTCGCAGCTGGGGGGGTGGGGATGCCCGAATTCCCCGGGACCCGATCTGCCCAGCCGGGCTTCGAACCTGGGCCTCGAGCACATAGCGGACCTGGGGAGGAGCTTCTCGGAAAAAGTGAGGCAGGTCCTCGGGGCTCAGTCAGCGGAAACGTTGGCTCAGAAGCTCACACACTGGCCGCCTGAGGCGAGGTGCACGCAGGGTGGGTGTCAGGCCGCCACCCCCGGCCCATCCCTGCTCGCTGTCTACCTGGGCCCCCGGGCTGTGTGATCAGTGGCAGTGCCTTCACCTCTCTGTGTGTCCCCTTTCCAGGGTTCAGCATTGGGAACACGGGCATGGGGTCTCCGCAAACTCTCAGCCCAGAGCTCAGACTCCCCAGGGTGGGGGGGACACAGGAAGCAGCTTCTCGGGGTCCTGGGCCTGCTGCGAGTTCTGAGCACACCCCAGTTGCTGGGAGCCTCCCCTCCTCCCCGCCAGTTTGCAGGTTCCTCCGAGCTAGTGCATCTTGCTGCTTTCCAGAGGGTCCCCAACCCCAACCCCCCCCCCCCCCCCCGCACTGAAGAGCCAGCGGATTCTTTCCCTCCCTGTTGAGGGGGTAAGGGAGGTAGCCCCAGAGTCCAGGTGAGGGCCGGAGAGGATGTGGGGGCGCTGGGACCGGGGAGACAACATTTTGCGGAATTTGTAGGTTTCACTTTTGTGTTTGCAGCGCGGGCTGGAGCTCGGGCTGTCAGGCTGTTGACATTTGTGGTCTCGCCTTTTTCTGGGTGGGAAAGGGGTGTCAACCTCCGCCCTGGCTGGGTCAGGGTTGGGAGCTGCGCTGAGCCATCTATGCGCTGGCCAGGCCTTTCCTTGGTCGCTGTTGTGGTGGCACACAGGCCCACCTTGCAGGAGACCTGGCAACCCAGGGTACACCCATCCCTGCCCCCTCCCCCGTGTGCAAGTGTGACAGTGCAGGGTCCAGGTGGGGAAACTGAGGCCCAGGTGACGACAGGTGGGGCCGCTGTGCTCTCGTCACCAGATCGCGGGGAGGGGGGCAGGGGGTTTCAGCCGACCCTGTGCCCCGCTGTTCTCCGTGCCCTCCCTTGTGCCCGCGCTCGTGCGCGCTCCCCGCCCAGCTGCGGGCACTGCGTGCGTTGGCGGCCAGGCTGTGTGGGCAGCGGTACTGGTGGAGATGGAGCCGTTGCCGGGAGACAGCGCTGGGGGGGTGGGCAGACTGTCGCTCCCAGCCTCGCGCTGCCAGGGCGGGGGCTAGGGTGTGGGGGTGGGAGGGAGGGGCGAATCTCGGGCAGAGTAAAGATGGCACCCCATTTGGGGGGTCTCCGGGAGCAGGCCTCTGCACCAGGCTGCCTGCTGCTCTTGCGCGCTCCTGACCGTTGGCGTGGGGTGGGCGAGGTGGCGGGACCCATCCTGCTCCTTGCGGTCTGGGCTGTCCTAGCTGCGGGGTGATCAGCCGAGCTGCGAGGCAGCTGGGGGGTGCGACTGTGCCCACTGCCCGCTGCCCGGCCCTGCACAAGCCCCTACTCTGCCCCCAGCTGCCGCAGTGGGAACCGCAAAAGCCTGGTGGTGGGAACCCCATCGCCCACCCTCTCCCGGCCCCTGTCTCCACTGTCTGTCCCAACTGGTGAGTGCAGAGGGCCAGCGGGGGGCGGGGACTTGGGGCCCAGTGTGGGCACCTGACTCAGTCTCCCCACTCTCTCAGCAGGCAGCAGCCCCCTAGACAGTCCTCGGAACTTCTCAGCCGTATCGGCCATCAACTTCCCCTTTGCTCGAAGGTCAGGGGCCCTGCCTTGGTGGGAGTGGGGAGGGAGAGAGGCTTTGGTTTGTGTGTCCCTGGGACTGGGGAGGAAATCCTCGAGGGATAGTCGTCGGGTACCCCGGTAGCTGGAATGGGGGCCATCTTGGCAGTTGGAGGCAGAAGGGCTTCCTGGAGGAAGCAGCCTGTAGAGAAGTGGCTCCGCCCCCTATCACCAGTGTCCACCTTCAGCCTGGATGGGAGGTCCTGCCTCCAGCGGGGCCAGGCTGCTGGCCACAGTGCCTTGCTCAGCTCCCGCGACTGCAGGGTTCCTGCCCTCCTCACCTCCATTCCCGCTTCCCTTGCCAGGGCGGATGGCAGGAGATGGTCGCTGGCATCCCTCCCTTCTTCTGGCTATGGAACCAACACTCCCAGCTCCACAGTCTCGGTACCGAACAGTGCTTCGTGGCGGGCGTGAGGTGGCTCTGGGGAGGGACAAGTCTGGTTGCTTGCAAGATGTCAGATAATTGTGGGGGGATTCCCCCAGATACTTCCATTCTAGGGGACACAGACATGCCCAGCCTGTGGGGTCAGCTCTGAGCAGTCAGGGAGGGCCTCCTGGAGGACAGGGCATGGGAGCAGGGGTTTTGAGGAGCCCCCTAGCGGCCTGTAGCCCTGAGAGAGAGGGCTGAGGTCCCTGGCTGGGTGCAAACTCTGGCCCAGGGCTCTGATTGCGCTCCTGCTCTTCACCCCAGTCCAGTTCATCCTCGCGCGAGCGCCTCCACCAGCTTCCTTTCCAACCAACGCCGGACGAGCTGCGCTTCCTGTCCAAGCATTTCCGCAGCTCCGAGAATGTGGTGGACGAGGAGGGTGGCCGCTCCCCCCGCCTGCGCCCACGCTCCCGGAGCCTCAGGTGCGCCTGGGGGTATTGGGGAGGTCCATGCTGTGGCTGTCCCCTCTCCCCCCCAACCCACCCCGTCGCCTCAGCCTCTGACGCTAGCCTTCTGCCCCGGCTCGGCTCCTCCCCTGGCCGGCATAAGGTTGCCTGGTCACATGCTAACCGACCCCTCTCCGCCCCGCAGCCCAGGACGTGGAACAGGCACTTTTGACAATGAGATCGTCATGATGAACCACGTGTACCGGGAGCGCTTTCCCAAGGTGGGCAGCTGCCTGCTCTGCCCCTGCTCACCCAGCCCTGCACCCTGTTAGCTCCTTTCCCCGTCTCCTCTCGCGGCAGCTGCTGCTCTGGGCCCTGTCTCTGCGCATCGCGTTGGGTGACCGGCTGCCCCTGCCTGCAGGCCACGGCGCAGATGGAGGGCCGACTGCAGGAGTTCTTAACGGCCTTCGAGCCCGGCGACAAGCTGGCCCTGGCCGATGGAGTCCTGGGCTTCATCCACCACCAGATCATCGAGCTGGCCCGGGACTGCCTGGCCAAGTCCCACGAGGCACTCATCACCTCCCGCTACTTCCTAGAGATGCAGGAGAAATTGGAGAGGCTGTTGATGGACGTGCGTGAGCAGGGCAACGCTGGTGGGGGTGTGGGGGTGGGCGTGTCTGGGGCGGGGCCTGCGGGAGCTGGGCCTATGGGCGTGCTTCGGGGCGGGGCCTTTGAATACCGGGCCTGTGGGCGTTTGGGGGCGGGGTCTGGGGGCGGGGCCAGTAGGTGCCCTATGATGATGCCCCTCTCTCTGTCTTAAGGCCCACCAGCGGTCGGACAGCGAGGAGGTGGGCTTCGTAGTCCAACTCGTCCGGAAGCTGCTGATCATCATCTCACGGCCCGCGAGGCTCCTAGAGTGCCTGGTGGGTCTCACCACAGGGCCCAGTCGTGTGGGGAGCTCAGAGAGATGCAGGGTGCCTCCAGACAGGACTGGGCTTCCCAGAATTCTGACGCTGGCGGGGACCACAGTGTATGCAGACGCCCCTGAGCCACCCCCTCTGTCCCCAGGAGTTTGACCCCGAGGAGTTTTATCACCTGCTGGAGGCCGCTGAGGGCCAAGCCCGTGAGGGCCAGGGCATCAAGACGGACCTGCCCCAGTACATCATCGGGCAGCTGGGCTTGGCCAAGGATCCCCTGGAAGGTGAGCTGGGATGCAAACCTAGGCCTCAGCCTGTGCTGCATCCACCTGCAGGCCCGGAAGTATCTTGCTCTTAGGAGTTGGGCTCTGATCATCCAGCTGTCTGGGGTCAGCGTCAGTGACCAGCAGCACCTGGCCCTGTCTGCTCACAAAGCCCTAGTCCTGAATGGGACCTGGAGGTGTCCTGGGAGTTGGGGGTAGGGGAGACTGACCTAGTCCTTGGGTGACACCAAGACACTCAGGAGTCCCCTCCTGGGGCTGGAGCACTAGGACAGTGAGTAGGATGCTTGCCTAGCACTCAGCCAACCCAATTCGATGCTTGCATCCCTTAGGCTCCCTCCTGAGCCCTGCCAGGAATGAACCCTGAGCATCGTCGCTAGGTGTGGCCCAAAACCAAAACAAAAAAGCCCTCGCCCAAAAAGAGCTGGGATGGAAACCGTGTCACAGCTGGGAGGGGCTTCTGGGCGGTCAGGTTGGCCTGGGAGACTGTGCTGCTGCTGGGACATGGAGAGGTCACCAGCTGCAGTGCTCAGAGCAGCGGCGGGACAGGGTCCCAGGGAGATACCATGTCTCCTGCCCAGGATGGGCCCTGAGAACCTCAGGAAACCCTGGGTTGCTAGAGAGGCAGGCCTGAGTAGAGTCCCTTTCCTCACTCATCCTGCAGAGATGGTGCCTCTGAGTCACCTCGACGATGGTGGACAGCCTCCAGCCCCTGAGTCCCCTGAGGTGAGCTGAAGAACCTAGACGTGTGTGGCTGCACGCACACAGTGCATGCACACGTACACACTATGTACATGCACAGATATGGACACATATGCATGTGGGTGCTAGTACACACATAACCCCTGTCGGTTCCTGTGTAGTCTAGACCAGGTGGCCAGGAGAGGCACTGGGGGTCCTTTGAGGTCTTCCATGTAGTTGGCAGTTAAAAAAAACCCATGTTTGGGCTGGAGCGATAGCACAGTGGGTAGAGCATTTGCCTTGCACGTGGCTGACCTGGGTTCGATTCCCAGCATCCCATATGGTCCCCCGAGCACTGACAGGGGTAGTTCCTGAGTGCAGAGCCAGGAGTGACCCCTGAGCATCTCCGGGTGTGACCCTCCCCCCCAAAAAAAAACCCAGGGTGGTGACAGTGAGGAAAATGGGATCCCCAGGCTTGGAGGCTGGGGGGGTGGTTATTGCCCAGGTGGGCTTTGGAGGATGTGTAGGACTTTTCTTGTACCCAAAGCTGAGAAGCTTGAATTTGAGAAACTAGGAGGGAGGAAATGAGGGCAGTTTGTGGTATCGACAGTTTGGAGCTGGGGGAATGAGGAGCTTCACCTAGTGGTGCTGGGCCCTGAGCTTTTCCTAAACCCTACTCCAATCCCCAGAACCGGGCCTTGGCCGGCCAGTGCCGGAGGAAGCCGTGTGAGAATGACTTCGAGACCATCAAACTCATCAGCAATGGGGCATACGGGTAAGTCCTGTCCCTGGAAGCCCCTGTCTCAGAGGGTGCAGGAGGTGTGGCCCAACCCAGGGTCCAGGATGGGGGGCGGGGGGCTCAGGCAGTCGGGCCACACCACACTGGTGGGCAGCTGCACGGGAGTCCCCAGGACTTCCACTCCAGGTGCTATGTGGGTCACTGCTCTCCTTGGCTCCTTCAGAATCGTGTCTTTTTGTTGTGGGGACCACATCCAGCAGTCCCTGACCCAGGGGTGCGTGTGGAGGGACCAGTCCCTGGACTCCCATGAGTGGCTTGTGTTACCCCACTCGAGCCTCGCCCCCATCGTAAGCTGCGTGTCCTTGGTCTGGCCACCGTTGGAGTTTGCTGGGGCCCATTGCTGGCAGGGGCCTGCTCCACGGCCTCTGTGACACCCGCCCCCCCCCCCCCCCCCCCCCCCCCCCCCCGCAGTGCCGTCTACCTGGTGCGGCACCGTGAGACACGGCAGCGCTTTGCCATCAAGAAGATCAACAAGCAGAACCTGATGCTGCGGAACCAGATCCAGCAGGTGTTCGTGGAGCGCGACATCCTTACCTTCGCTGAGAACCCCTTCGTGGTCAGCATGTTCTGCTCCTTCGAGACGCGCCGCCACCTCTGCATGGTCATGGAGTACGTGGAAGGTGCGCCTGGTGCCCCGCGAGGTCCGCAGCACAGGCAGCTGGAGAAGGGAAGTGGGGAGAGGGGGCAGGGTTGCAGGTGGCGTTCGCCGCTGGCCCCTAGCCTTTAGCGGGCGCTGTGCAGTGTCGCTAATGCCGAGCTGCTGCCCTGCACCCCGGCTCCCGACAGACAAGGCGAGGAAGGCTTTGCCCTGTGCCCAGGCAGCCCCAGTCTCTGACCGCCTCCCTGCCCTCCTGCAGGCGGTGACTGTGCCACGCTGCTGAAGAACATGGGTCCGCTGCCTGTGGACATGGCACGCATGTACTTCGCCGAGACCGTGCTGGCGCTCGAGTACCTGCACAACTACGGCATCGTGCACCGGGACCTCAAGCCTGACAAGTGCGCCTGTGCAGACCGAGGGGCGGGGTGGGGCGGGGCCATGTTGGGGCGGGGCCATGTTGGGGGCGGGGCAAGGCTGAGTGTGTGGCTTTGGGGCCTGGGGCTGGGCTCAGAGATGCTGGTCTGGTCGGTGCTCGGTGCTCGTGCACAGTCGGAGTTCCTGCGCGAGTGTCAGTGGGAGTTCGTGCTAGGCTCCTGCTAAGTGTAATGTGTGAAGATGGGGCCCACCTCGTCTGCCTGCAGGATTACACTGGGGTGGACGGGAACATCCGATTCTCAGGGGCCCCGCGCCCTGTGGCTTCTCCTAGTCAGGGGTTTGGGGCCATATCTGATGGCTCTGTGCTTAGTGTCGCTCTGGGCGGTACTGGGGACCCTGTGGTGCTTTGGGAACATCTTGGGGGGGGTGGGGGAGGGTGGGGAGGAGGCTCTCCTTCCGTCCCACCCCACTCTGCGTCCTCTCTCCCTGCCCCCTGTAGCCTGCTCATCACGTCACTGGGCCACATCAAGCTGACCGACTTTGGCCTGTCCAAGATCGGCCTCATGAGCATGGCCACCAACCTGTACGAGGGCCACATTGAGAAAGACACCCGGGAGTTCGTGGATAAGCAGGTGGGCGGTTGCCATCCGGGTCTTGCCTCTGGGTTAGGGTCACCTGCCTCTCCGAGGGTCTCTCCCAGGCAGGGAGGGGTCCTCAATGACCTCCACGTCCCCCGATCCTCTCCTGCCCAGGTGTGCGGGACCCCCGAGTACATCGCGCCCGAGGTGATCTTCCGCCAGGGCTATGGCAAGCCGGTGGACTGGTGGGCCATGGGCATCATCCTCTATGAGTTCCTGGTGGGCTGCGTGCCCTTCTTCGGAGACACGCCCGAGGAGCTCTTTGGCCAGGTGGTCAGCGGTGCGTCCCCCAATCCGCGCGGCCATGTGAAGGGCACTGGCCTTGCACTGGGCCGGTGGGTTCAATCCCTGACACCCCATAGGGTTCTGAGTATCACCAGGTTTGGCCCCGAAACCAAAATGAATCTGTCAATCAAAAGGCCAGAGGGGTCGGAGGGGACAGACAACAGGTGCTGCCTTGCGGCTCTGCAGACACTGATGGGTTCGATTCCTGGCACCTTGGGGCGGGGGCCCTGAACACCAGCAGCTGTGGCCCCCCCTAAGCGGAAACCATGACAGAGAAACAGCCACTCAAGGAGTGATGCCGGAGTCCTAGGCACTGCCCAGTCCCAGTACTGCAGTTGATCAGTGTTGTCAGGAGTAGTGCCCAAGCCCCAAAAAAATGCCAGAGAACAGCACCCAGAAGTAAAGAGGGGCCCGGTGGGAAGAATGGCAGCTGTGAGCCGACTCTGCATTTCTCGCCAATGCCCACACTATAGATGAGATCATATGGCCAGAGGGGGACGAGGCCCTGCCCGCTGACGCCCAGGACCTCATTACCCGGCTGCTTCGACAGAGCCCGCTGGACCGACTGGGCACTGGTACGGAGGTGTGGCTGGGAGGGGGCCTGTTTGGGAGGAGGAACACCTGAAGCTGGGGCTTTGGAGGGTGCATAGGAGTTTTCCAGGATTTCTGGCTCACTGGGCAGTTGTGGGTCTGCTCTTAGGGATCTGTGTCCCGAAGGTTTTGGCACAGTTCATTGGCCCCCGGGCACTGGCACACACATACTTGCACACTTGGCACAAGTCTTGGGTACCTCTCGGAGGGGGCATTCGGGCCCAAGAAGACACCCGCCATGGCGGTGAGGGAGGTCTGGTGGGACCCCAGATCACATGTGGTGCCTTGCAGGTGGCACTCACGAAGTTAAGCAGCACCCCTTCTTCCGGACGCTGGATTGGGCAGGGCTCCTGAGGCATAAGGCCGAATTCGTGCCGCAGCTCGAGGCCGAGGATGACACCAGCTACTTCGACAGTATGTGGGGGCCGGGCCGACAGGGCAGGGGCCGACTCTGCGGGCTGGAGGGGACGTCAGCAGTGTCCCCCGCCAAGCCTGGCCCTAGAGCTTACGACTTCCTGAGGTTTCTGAGAAGCTGAGGCACTTCTTCCCCCCCCCCCCCCCGCCGCCCCATCTCCCGGCACTCACACACTCAGGCAGCGTTTCCTGTTGCAGCCCCTAGAAGTGGGGCCTGTCAGGGACCCCACAACCCCGCCTCCTGCATGGCTGGTCTTGGTTGGGGTGGGAGGCCCTCGCTCATCCAGGGAAACGTCCCACACGTGCTCTCTTCCCACTCGGAGCTCCAGCCTTGCTTTCCCGTCCTGTTTCACTGTGGATGTGTTTCCTCTTGTGTTTCATTGTGCTGGGAGCCGGGGTATTTAAGCAAGTTGTCCCTGAGCCATGGCGGCGGGTGGGGGCTCATCCTGTCCCTCCTGTGACTGGGTCCCCCTTGCCATGCAATCCAGTGGACATCGGTCTGCAGGCCCCTTGTAGCCCCTTCCTCCGCTGCCCCGTCCTGGGCCGCCTTCCCCACGCCCCCCTCCCCTCCCATCTGCAGCGCGCTCTGAGCGGTACCGGCACCTGGGCTCGGAGGACGAGGAGACCAATGACGAAGAATCATCCACGGAAATCCCGCAGTTCTCCTCCTGCTCCCATCGCTTCAGCAAGGTGGCCTGGCCGCGTGTGGCAGCGACAGGAGGGGGTGTTTGTGTAGGGAGAGGGGCGTTAAAAAGTACAGTCAAGAGTCAGGGCTGGGGCTGGAGAGATAGCACAGCAGGTAGGGCGTTTGCCTTGCACGCAGCCGACCTGGGTTCGATTCCCAGCATCCCATATGGTCCCCTGAGCACCGCCTGGAGTAACTTCTGAGTGCAGAGCCAGGAGTAACCCCTGTGCATCGCCAGGTGTGACCCAAAAAGAAAAAAAAGAAAAGTCTGGGCTGAGGGGCTGGAGCGATAGCGCAGCAAATAGGGCGTTTGCCTTGCACGCGGCCGACCCAGGTTCAATCCCTGGAATCCCATATGCTCCCCTGAGCACCGCCAGGAGTGATTCCTGAGTGCAGAGCCAGGAGGAACCCCTGTACATCACTGGGTGTGACCCAAAAAGGAAGAAGAAGAAAAAAAAAGTCTGGGGCTGACAGTCCAGCAGAGAGGGCGTTTGCCTTGCACGTGGCCGACCCAGGTTCCGTGCCTGGCTTCCCATGGGGTCCCCTGAGCCCCTCCAGGAGTGATCCATGAGCGCAGAGACAGGAGTAACCCCTGAGCATTGCTGAGTGTGGCCTAAAAACCGAAAGAAAAAAAAATTGCAAGTGCAGGGCCAGAGAGTAGTCTGGTAGGTGGGGCCTTGCCTTTCACGCACCTGACCCGCCCCGGGTCCATCCCTGGCACTGTGTTTGGTCTTTGAGTGCTGTAGGTCAGCCCTGTGGCTTCCTCGTGTCAGAATGCTTGTTTCGCTGCTTCCCAGGTCTACAGCAGCTCCGAGTTCCTGGCTGTGCAGCCCACCCCAAGCCTGGCCGAGAGGAGCTTCAGTGAGGACCGGGAGGATGGCTGGGACCGCAGCGAGGTGGATTACGGCCGGCGCATGAGCAGTGCTGAGATCCGGTGGGTGCGCCAGAAGCCGTGGCTGACCTGAGTGGGAGAAACACCAACTCTGGCCCTGGCAAGCCTCCTGGTGGCCCAGCGGAAAAGAGTCTGGCGTCTTGGCCAGCCTGTCGCACTCCCAGAACGATCCCCTGGCATCTTCGCCTCTGGCTTCACATTCCTCAGCACCCCAAAATCCAGCCACCCAAGAAACGCTGTCTGCTGGCAGGTGGGCGTGGGGAGGGATGTTTCACAGGATGTGTAGGAGTTTGCTCGGGAATTCCAAGAACTGCATGGGCCCAGCAAGCTGGTTCTGGGCTTGAACCAGTTGCCCGGGTAGAGGCTGCGTTTTACAGGGTGTCCTGTGCCAGGGATGACCGTCTGACCGGGTCTCTTCCCCCCTGACAGACTGCGGCCCTCCTCCTCTGGGACCTCCTCGTCTCAGCCTGAGCGGGGCCCCAGCCCGTCTGTCCTGAACACCATCAGCCTGGACACCATGCCCAAGTTTGCCTTTTCCTCAGAGGATGAAGGAGTGGGCCCAGCCCCAGGGGGGCTCCAGAAACCTGTCTTCATTCTGGGGGAACCAGACCCCCTCCCAGCGGCCACCCCCGGGGCATCAAAGCCCTCAGGCCTTTCAGGTCAGTGGAGTCCAGTGGCTTGGGGACTAAGGGCTATTTGAAGGGCTATTTGAGATGGGTTTTCAGGGATGAACAGGAACTGTCCAGTTGTCACCTAAGTAATGCTTGAAGAAAGCGGGGCCTCCAGTCATCACCTGGACACCAAGAAACCAGTGGTCAGGGGTCAGGACAGGACTGCGGACAGAGCCCCAGGGGCTGGGCAAAGGCTAGCTGGGATGGACCTTGAGTTTTTCTGAAATTAAGCAGGGGGGAGGAAAGGGCCGGGCCCCCTGGGGTTCCGCTGACACCCTCCTCCTTCCCCCTCAGCAGACACCGCTGCCCTCAGCCACGCACGGCTGCGGAGCAATAGCACAGGCGCGCGCCACTCCACCCCACGGGCTGTGGATGCCACGCGGGGCCGCCGCCTGGGGGCCGCCAGGGAGTCGGGTCTGGAGAAGGCCAGGGCAGGCACCGGTGGGGGGCCGTGTGCCCAAGTCAGCCTCTGTGTCCGCCCTGTCGCTCATCATCACGGCAGGTAGCCCCGGCCCTCCTAGGGGTTGACCCTGGAGCTGCAGCACTGTCATGGGGGGAGCTGGGGTGGGGGTGTGGGGCAGGCCTTGGGGTGACCCGGGAGCTGCAGGGGAGCTGGGGGGGGCGGTCCGGGCCCTCAGGGTGACCCGCCCTCGCCCTGGCCCCACAGATGACGGGAGCGGTGGCCCCCTCATGAGCCCGCTGTCCCCACGCTCGCTGTCCTCAAACCCGTCCTCCCGAGACTCCTCTCCCAGCCGGGACCCGTCCCCCGTGTGCGGCAGCCTGCGGCCCCCAATTGTCATCCACAGCTCAGGGAAGAAATACGGCTTCAGCCTGCGGGCCATCCGCGTCTACATGGGGGACAGCGACGTCTACACTGTGCATCACGTGGTCTGGGTGAGAGGGATGGTCGCTGCTAGGGTGGGGCGGACCTTAGGTGGGCGGGGGCACATCATAGGGGCGGGATCTCAGGTGGGCGGGCCACGCAGTGGGATAAGGCAGGGCTTCCAATAGGATGTAGCCACGTGTAGGGTGGGGCTTTGGGCATGCATGGTTGTGATTGGGTGTGGCTCCAGGTGGGCGTGGCCTGGTGCTTTCTGGTGCCTGGGTGTAAATTCACTGGACCTGAGACCAGGGATGGAGAGAACTGGGGTGCATGGGGTACCTGAAGATGAGGAGCACAGGTCACCAGACTTGAAAGGATGTGTAGTGGGTGCAGGGGCAGTCACCCTGGGGGCACAGTTGGGGTTCAGTGGGTGGAGGTTGCCCAGGGCAAGGGCATTGGGAAGGCAGGAACCACCTTGTAGACTGGGGTATTCCTGCCCCACCACAGCCGCCTTTGGGGCCGTTTTCTTTTGGGGGGGGGGTTGGGGCCATACCCGGCATAGTAGACGCCTGCTTCTGGCAGTGCACAGGGACTGACAGTATGGAGTGCTGGCGATCAAACCCTGGTCGCCTGTGTGCAAGGCTACCCACAGTACTACCCACAGTACTGACGCGTTGCCCCTGGAGCCACTTGTGATCCCAGGGCGTAGCCAGTGCTCATGCGCTGCTTTTCAGGGCTGGATGAGAAACCTGATGGCCCCCAGGGATTCCTGATCCTCTGTCTTGGGTCATCAGTTGGGGAGGGGAGGTGGGACACACGGGGACAGAGGTCTCAAGTGAGCTCCGGGCGGGAGTGAGTGTCTCCTGAATCACTGAGGCTGCGGACATGTCCCTGTCCCCAGAGCGTGGAGGAGGGAGGCCCGGCCCAGGAAGCGGGTTTGCGCGCCGGGGACCTGATCACACACATCAACGGGGAGTCGGTGCTGGGACTGGTGCATATGGATGTGGTGGAACTGCTGCTGAAGGTATGGCGCCCCTCCCCAGAGGCCCGGCCGCGCCCACGCCCCGTCCCCGGCCCTCCTCCCCGGTGGGTGAACGGGGCCTCCGGGTGTGACCGACCCACCGACAAACCCTTGCAGAGTGGGGGCAAGATCGCGCTGCGCACCACGGCCCTGGAGAACACCTCCATCAAGATGGGGCCGGCGCGCAAGAACGTGACCAAGGGCCGCATGGCGCGGAGGAGCAAGCGCAGCCGCCGGCGGGAGACGCAGGACCGGTGAGCGGGAGTGGGGGGTGCTGGGCACTGGGCACCCGGGGGCGGGAGGCCGGCGGGCAGCAGCCGGGCGGGCTCCTGCACGGTGTCCTGAGCCGCCTGGGCACCCTGCAGCCGCAAGTCCCTCTTCAAGAAGATCTCCAAGCAGACGTCCGTGCTGCACACCAGCCGCAGCTTCTCGTCCGGCCTGCACCACTCGCTGTCCTCCAGCGAGAGCCCATCTGGCTCCCCGACCCACAGCCTCTCGCCCAGCCCCACTACCTCCTGCCGAAACCCTGCACCCGACGCCCCCGCAGGTGCGACCCCCTGCAGGGGAAGGGCTGGTGGGAGGGAGGAGACAGGAGCAACGGGCATCTTGAGGGAGGTGGGGGGGTGCCTGACCTCCCTCTAGCTTTTTTGTGGGGCCAAGCCGTGCGGGTGGGGCAGGGAGTGGGCTGGGCTGGCCGCCTGGGGGCGGAGGAGCAGGTGGAGGATTTGAATCTGCCCCACTGGTGCGCCTGCGCTGTGAGCTGGGCAAAGACCCTGGGGCTTTGATACTTGAGTAGGAGTCACCAAAACAGGCCTAGATAAACATCCTGTGAGCCCCGCAGGGGGCAGGAAACAGACTACTAGGAGGATACGGGCCTTGGCTGACCTCCAGAGTATCCTAGAGGCCCCAGGGCTGGTGGTCCTGAGACTCACCTGTCCTCCGCAGATAACTCATCCCCGCCTAGCGTGTCCCCGAGCTCCAGCAGCCCAGCCTCGCCAGCCACGGCCAGCCACGCCCGTCCCAGCTCCCTGCACGGCCTGGCTGCCAAGCTGGGGCCACCCCGGCACAAGACAGGGCGCCGCAAGTCCACCAGCAGCATACCGCCATCCCCGCTGGCCTGTCCACCCCTGTCGGCTGCTGCACCCCGCTCGCCCTCCCCGCTGCCCGGGCACCCACCGGGACCTGCCCGCTCCCCCAGGCTGCGCCGGGGCCAGTCCGCGGACAAGCTGGGTATGGGCGATCGGTCAGACGGGGAGGCCAGCCGCCGGGGGCGTGGGCAGGACTCGGAGCTGGTGGTGATGCGGAGGCTGCACCTGTCGGAGCGCAGGGACTCCTTCAAGAAGCAGGAGGCCGTGCAGGAGGTGAGCTTCGACGAGCCGTTGGACGGGTCCCCCGGGCCAGCTGCCGGCGTACCACAGATCGCGGTGGAGGAGCCCCCGGGGCTGGCCGTCCCCCTGCCGCAGAGCGATGTGGAGGACGCAGGGGATGCCTCGGGCCCCGCAGGGAAGGACTGAGACCGCGGGAAGCCGTCACTATCCCTGGAATGGTTTCTCCCCCGACAAAGAGACTCAGCCGAACACTGCGCCACCCACCTGGGGTGTGCCACCTGGATGTGCGTAAGCGCCCCGAGCCTGGCTGGAAGGTGGACACGACCCTCCCTGAGTTCCAGATGCCCCAATCCAGGAGACGGGATCAGGGGCATTGTACATAGCTGCCCCACTCCCCCCATAACTAATTTATTACTTTTTATAAGTGACAGCTGGACTGGACTGAGCCCTTGAGGCCGTGGCCTGGTCCTGACCCGGCACTGAGGACCCCGTTTGCAGACTCTTCCTCCCATCCCCGGGCTGAGAAGGAAGCATTTTGGACACGTTCTATGTGTGTTTTCCAGTTTTTCTGTACTTTCCTTGTATTTATGTGGAGTACCTGGTTCCAGTCTTTGCCATCGGCTCAGGTGTCTGGGCCCCAGAATTCTGTGCTCCATCAGCACAGCGAAGGGCCAGGAGTTCAGAGTTGCTTCCACCCGCAGAGCTTCCACCCCAGGCCAGCCTTGTACTCATGTAGGCTTCAACCCAGATGAAAGGGGTATGGTGGTCAGGGCTTTGCTGGATGCATAGGAGTTTGAGCTCTGGACAGATGGGCTCCCTACTCCCCAGAAGCTGCAGACCTTGTCCATGCTGTTTCTGGGAATTCCCTCCTGACAGTCTCACTGGGATGAAGCTTTGGAGAGCTCGAGGCCCAAGGTGGATGTTCATGTCCCAGTCTGTGCCTCAGTTTCCTTGTGTTTACAGAACTAATCCCAAGGCCTGTTTTTGAGATACCCACTGTGTGCCAAATGCATTTTGACTCGGCTTTACTCCCCACCCACTGCCTCCTGGAGAAGGCTGGATGTGGCATTACCCCCATCCACAGGCAGGAAGTTGAGGCCAGCCGGGCAGAGACGCATGCTTCCAGCAACCAGCCCCCGCTGGGAGAGACCCAGGCAGCTCCCTTCTGAGTCAGATGCCCCTCTGAGCTCCCAGTTATAAGGGTGGCCAGCAAGGTAGATTTGTACTGGGCGGGGGGGCGCCTGCCCGCTTTCACTGGTGTTGGAACTAGACCAAGTGTGCATGGCTTCCTCTTGCCTTCCACCCTGGAGCTGACCATAAATAAAAGGCCACTTTGCAAAGAGGAAATATATCGAGTCTGGGTTTCTGAGGAGGTAAGGAACGGAGTGGGGTGGGGATTTGGGATATGATGAGTTTTGGGGACTAGAGCAATAGCACAGCTGGTAGGGTGTTTCCCTTGCAGGCGGCTGACCTGGGTTCGATTCCCAGCATCTCATATGGTCCCCCGAGCACCGCCAGGAGTAATTCCTGAGTGCATGAGCCAGGAGTAACCCCTGTCATGCCTGGGTGTGACCCCCCCCAAAAAAACAGAATGGGTTTTGAAGGCAGCATAGGATTTAACAGAGTGCCTTGTGAGGTTTCCAGTGTTCAGGGATGACTCCAACACAGTCAACACAGTGCTGCCCAATAACTGGATCTGGGGAGTGGAGCTGAAACGGGTGCAAGGACAGCACATAGAACCCTGTCTATCTCTCCGTTCCCAGCCCTTTAAGACTTTGGGAGGCTGGGGAGAGAAGACAGCGGGGAAGAGGCTTGCCTTGCTCCCAAGCGAACCCGGGTTGGAGCCCTGCCACCATAAAGGGTCCCTGAGAGTCACTTCTGAGTGCTGCGCCACGAGTAAGCCATGAGCACTGTAGAGTGTAGCACAAAGTGAAAACAAAGCTTAGTTTGGACACTCACCTGCGGGTCATGTCCCTTCACTGCTGGACTTTGCTGGAGTGGAATGAGGAGGAAGGAAACAGGGGAGACACTCTAAAACCGCACCCTTGAGGCTGGAGAGAGAATACAGGGCGAAGGTGCTCGCCTTGCGTGCAGTCGGCAGGGTTTGATGGCCCATAGGGCTCTCCCAACACCAGCAGGAGTGATCCTGGAGCACCACCGAGTATGGCTCCGAAAAACAAAACATTTACGTAGCACATACACTCCCACCCAGCCCTCGAGCTCTCCCACGAACCGGGCACCACGCGGACTTGGGGGCTCTCCCACTATCAAGGCCCAAGTTCCTTCCGTCGTTCCTGGAAGGTTCAAGCCATGCGACTTTATTTGGGATCGCTCGGGCCACACTGAGCGCGGCTAAACGTAGCCTGGGTGTGCTGGGCCACCCCGAGGGCGCTCGGCTGTTTCCGGCTCCCCTCGGCTTCCGCGGGAGAGCGTTCGGCTCTTTTCGGAAGCCCTCGGGGTGCGCACAGGCCCCGCCCCCGGCGCGTAGGCCCCGCCCACCCCGAGTGCGCTCGGCTCTCTCCGTAGGGGGCGGGCCCGGCCGTTCGGAGCCGCGGACCCACGGCTGCGGCGGCGACGGCGGCCGCGGAGGAGCCGCGGGGACGCTGATCCCGGCTTGACTGTGGTCTCGGCGGCGACGGGGCAGACGGCGAGCAGGTGGGTCCAACGGGCCGCAGGGCAGGCGGCGCGGGGCTGCACCCGGGCCAGACGGGGTTCCCGGCCGAGCGGGGCGGGGGGCTATGCGGGGCGCTGGACGCGGGCGCCAGGCCCCGCGGGGACGCGCGCGGCGGGAGGAGGCGCCGCCGGGAGCGGGAGGCCCCGGGGAGCCCCTGGCAGCTGTGGGAGAGCGCTGGGGGGTGTGCAGGGCCCAGAACTGGCCAGCCGGAGTCCCCGCCTTGAGGCCCTGCCTACAGTCGGGGGGGCCTTCGAGCTGCAGCGGGGGTGTCCAGGCATTGTGCGGGGCAGAGCGGGGTGCAGGAGGGTCGGGGGTCGCGCCACTTCCGGTTCCCGAACTGGGCCACGCAGACCGAGTGCGCAGGCCCAGCGTCCAGCCGCCTCGCCCCCGGCCGGGCCCTGCACCCCGTCGCCGCGCCGAGATTCGGGGCGCCCGCACCTGGGCGTGTGCAGACGTGCTCGCAGCGAGGTCCGGAGGCGGAGCCCGCGGTCTCTCGGCCGCCGCGGAGCCGGGCCTCAGTTTCCCCACCTGTAGAGTAAGGGGGCCGGGGCTCAGGGAACTCGGGCCTCCTGGCCAGACTCCCTCAACAGGACCAGCAGCTTTGGCCCACGCTGACAAGCCTTTGCGCGCACTACCTCCCCTTCCCCTGGTCCCCTAGTCCCGAGGCTGCAGCGGGGGCAGCGGCACAGCCCTGAGGGCCTCAGTGTACCCTTGAGGACGCCTCGTGCTCTGAAGCGGCCGGCGGATGGGCTGGGTTGGGCCCCCACTGCAGTCCCGCAGAGATGCCGCCTTGCAGGGCTTGGACGCGGCGGCACCTCCCCCACCGCCCCCACCACCTGTGGCCTCCAGCTCTCAGGCTTGTCTTCTTCGTCCCCTCCCGCCCAGGACCTAACTATACATGGGAACTCTGGCAGCTGCCTCCCCGTCCATCCTGGGCCCTGGGTCTGGGGGTCTGGCTTCCTGCAGAGCAAGTGGCCCAGGCCCCCCATAGCAAGTCCGTGGCGAGGGGCCCCAGCCTGATAGCCCCTTTTCTTCTAGGTGGACACCTCTCTTGAGCATGCTGATGGTCGGTGTCCCCGGCCCCCTACCCTGGCACAGCGGGCAGAGCCGGCAGCCCCCGGGGCCCATGACCCCCCGCAGGAAGGCCTGAGCAGTCTGGCTCCACCCTGCCCTCTTCGGGGGGGACACGGTGGCCCACCTGCCTCTCCCCTGGCATCTTCAGGAATGGTGGGGCCCCCGGCGTGATCAGCCCCCAGGGCTCCCCACCGCTGCTCGGGAAATAGAGATCTGAGCGGCCCCAGAGGACCCTCCTGGTCCCCAGTCCCGCCAATGGGGCCACCGGGGCCCCTCGCAGCCACCTGACCGCCCAGGGCCCCCCCAGCGCCTCCCCCCCCAGGCCATGGCCGGCGCCGAGGGCTTCCAGTACCGGGCGCTCTACCCATTCCGCCGGGAGCGACCGGAGGACCTTGAGCTGCTGCCCGGGGACCTGCTGGTGGTGAGCCGAGCCGCCCTGCAGGCGCTGGGGGTGGCCGAGGGCGCCGAGCGCTGCCCGCAGAGCGTGGGCTGGATGCCTGGCCTCAACGAGCGCACGCGGCAGCGTGGGGACTTCCCCGGCACCTACGTGGAGTTCCTGGGGCCGGTGGCCCTGGCCAGGCCTGGCCTGAGACCCCGCGGCCCCCGACCCCTGCCTGCCCGGCCCCGTGATGGACCGCCTGAGCCAGGTGAGCCCAGGAGGGGGTGGAAGAATGGGGCGCTCGAACCCTCTGCCAGGGCCCGGGCACCTCAGGCAAGTGCGGGCTGGCCCAGCGGGCCCTGGCAGGGCTCCTGTTGAAGAAGGGACAGGAGCAACTAGGTCGCGAGGAGAAAGTTGCTGGCAGGAGAATGGGGTGCAGTGCCGGGGCCTGTCTGGGTGGGCAGTGGGCAGTGCCCGGGACTCAGGGCTCCACGTGGGCCCGGCCTGCAGTGTGCTTCTGAACCCCTTTGTTATCCTCAGTTGCATCATTTGCAGACATGTCACGGGGACCCCAGTCTTGTCGGGCTTGCCAGGGCAGAGCCGGGGGGCCCTGCGTGGTGCACTGGGAACCAAGGTTCCATCGTGGGGAGCAGGCCAGGCGTGTGGGGTCACCGCTCAGGCCTGGAGCCGGGCTCGGTGAGGTGGGCACCCGCGCAAGAGGCCGGGCCTGGGCGATGGCAGGGTCCATCCCCATGGCCCTCGTGAGTGGCCCGAGGGCACCATTGCCCACACAGCGCCGGCACCTGGGCCCCCCGCTTGCGCGCCAGCTGGAGCAGCCAAAGAGGCCTCATCTGGGCGGGCAGCCAGATCCTGCCTCTGCCCCTGGTAACAGCCACCAGGCCCCACCCCCAGCCCCACCTGCCTCAGTTTCTCCCATTGTACGAGGGAGGGGGCACAGCTGCTTTCCTCTGCTCTGCAGTTCCTGTCCTCGGGGTCCCAGACCACCCTCCCCTCTCTCTGCTCGCCTCTCCAGGCAGGTCCCTGATACCCTGCACGGTGAGGGGGGGGGGCCCAGAAGCCCAGGAAGAGCAGATCACCCCCCCAACAGGCGCGGGAGCCTCCCTTCCATTCTGGAGGTGTGGCCAGGCTGCCTCCAGTGCGGAGGTCCGCGGGAACGGGTGTCCGGGGAGGGACGCAGCCTTCCCGCAGGCACCCCGTGATTATTTAAGGCAGAGGCGGCCCGAGAGGCACATGCGTCACGTGTCAGAGCCAGGGGTTGACAGCCAGGCAGGGCGGGTCGCAGCCATTCAGGAGCAGACATAGGTGCTAGGACGGGGTGGGCGGGCTGTGCCTGGGGGGGGGGGCGGTGTTGGCGTGACTGGTGGGGCTAGAGGGGGTGCTCTGGCCCCTTCCTCCCACAAAAGGGTCTCGGGGTTCTTCGGGGCCCTGGGGATGTGACCTTCCTGCCACCCTCCGCCCACGCTGTCCCTACCTGCCCGCTGATGCCCACCCCTCTCCAGGCCTCACGCTCCCCGACCTCCCTGAGCAGTTTTCCCCTCCCGACGTGGCGCCCCCCATCCTGGTGAAGCTGGCGGAGGCTGTGGAGCGCACAGGTGCGTCCAGGCGGGTCAGGCCTCCAGCGGGGACAGCCCCTTGCTGGATGGGGCAGGTCGGCCAGGGGTACTTGGGGTCTCCTTGTGGGAGTGTGGGTGCCCCCCACCATTCCACCCCCAGCACGGGCTTCCTCTGCCTTCCCCACCCCTGCATGGTCACTGGGCTCACCCGCTCCTGCCCTCTGCTCCTTCAGGACTGGACAGCGAGGCTCTGTACCGCCCGGAGTCACCTGCCTCACGCACAGGTGAGGGCCGGCCAGGACGGGCAGGGTGGGCAGAGGGCTCTGACGACAGCCCTGACCACCACGCCCTGTCCCGGTAGACTGGACCCTGAGTGACATAGAGCAGTGGGACGCGACAGCACTGGCCGACGGCGTCAAGAGCTTCCTGCTGGCGCTACCCGCGCCCCTGGTGACCCCCGAGGCCGCGGCTGAGGCGCACCAGGCCCTGCGGGGTGAGACTGGGGGGCAGGCCGGGGCGAGAGCGTGGCCCCAGGTGCCCTGTCGCCGCACCCGGCTCACCGGGTCCCCGGCCGTCTGTCCACAGAGGCCACGGGGCCGGTGGCGCCCACTCTGGAGCCCCCAACGCTGCCGCTGCACCGCGCACTCACGCTGCGCTTCCTGCTCCAGCATCTTGGACGCCTGGCCCGGCGGGCTCCAACCCCCGGCCTCGCTGTGCGGGCCCTGGGTGCCACCTTCGGGCCGCTGCTGCTGCCGCCGCCCTCGCCGCCGCCAGGGGGCGCTCCCGAGGGGTGAGTGCTTGGGGGCGTGGTCTTGGGCGGGGCTCCCACCGATGGGCGGGGCCTCGTTGTGGGCGGGGCGTCTGTTGCAGAGACTGATGAGAGCAGCAGGAAGCTTGGGGCTAGGGGTATCCCAAGAAGATGCTGGCAGGGTGGAAGGGAGCCTTCTGCAAGGAGGAAAGCAGCGAACCCCTCACCTTACGTCCCCATGCCCCCGAGTCCGCTCGGGGTGTGGTCCTACGTTAACGTGCTGCACGGATGGAGACAGGCACCGATCCCAGCATCTGCCCCTGCTGTCCAGCATGAACTCAAGGGTGCAGGGGGCAGACAGTGTTGCAGGAAAGCTCACTGCGCCCCCCACCCCACCCCCAGGACCGAGCCCAGCCCTGACTTCCCCGTGCTGCTGCTTGAGAAGCTGCTCCAGGAACAGCTGGAGGAGCAGGAAGTTGCCCCCCCAGGTGACCCTCTGGGGTCCCGTGCCCGGGACTGTGGTCAGAGGTGGGCGGGGTGCAGCACACCTTGGTGCTCATCACAGCTCCTCTTCCTGATCTCCAGCACTGCCTCCCAAGCCCCCCAAGGCCAAGCCGGCCCCCACGGGCCTCACCAATGGGGGAAGCCCACCCTCCCTGCAGGACGCTGAGTGGTACTGGGGCGACATCTCCAGGTAGGGTCCTGGGACTGAGGTGAGGGGGGACCTGTAGGGTTGGATCTCCCTCCCAGCAGGTACCTCCATTCTGGGTGGTCCCATTCAGGGAGGAGGTGAATGAGAAACTCCGCGACACGCCCGATGGCACCTTCCTGGTCCGAGATGCTTCCAGCAAGATCCAGGGGGAGTACACACTGACGCTCAGGTAGGGCCCACTGCCCCCAGGTGAGGCTGGATGGGTAGCCAGAGAGCCCCTGGTGCTGACTTCCCGCTGTGCCCCTAGGAAAGGCGGGAACAACAAGCTGATCAAAGTCTTTCACCGGGACGGCCACTATGGCTTTTCTGAGCCTCTGACCTTCGGCTCGGTGGTGGAGCTCATCACCCACTACCGCCATGAGTCGCTGGCCCAGTACAATGCCAAGCTCGACACGCGGCTGCTCTACCCGGTGTCCAAGTACCAGCAGGTGTGTGTGGGTGGCCCACGGGCAGGCTGGGGGCCCGAGGCGGAGACCTGTTCTGACCCCCCACCCCCCACTGTCGGGCTGCGTTGTACAGGACCAGATTGTCAAGGAGGACAGTGTGGAGGCGGTGGGTGCCCAGCTGAAGGTGTACCACCAGCAGTACCAGGACAAGAGCCGCGAGTACGACCAGCTGTACGAGGAGTACACACGTACCTCGCAGGTGGGATGAGGAGGGACAGGGCACCTTGCAGGTCCAGGGTTGGGATGGGGGGACAGGGCACCTCTCAGGTCAGGGGGTGCCAGGACAGACTCAAGACAGGGCAGGCCCGGTTGGATTGGCCAGACATCCAGAAACCTGCATTTTCTTATCTTTATTTATTGTAGTTTTCTAGGGTTTTTTTTTTTTTCTTTTTGTGTTACACCCGACAATGCTCAGGGGTTGCTCCTGGCTCTGCACTCAGGAATCACTCCTGGTGGTGCTCAGGGGACCGTATGGGATGCTGGGATTCAAACCCAGGTCTACTGTGTGCAAGGCAAACACCCTACTCCCTGTGTTATCGCTCCAGCCCCTTACTGTAGATTTTTTTTGTCACACCCCATTCCCTGCTCTGATGCTCAAGGGTTACCCCTGGCTCTGTGTTCAGGATTCACTCCTGGAAAGCTCGGGCGACCCTCTGGGAAGCTTGGGGGGCCTCTGGGATGCCGGGAAGTGAGCTCAGGCTGCTCGTGTGCAAGGCAGAGGCCTTCAGCACGGCTGCTCCATCCCGAGGCAGCTTGCTCAGAGAACAGAAGGAAAGGGCTCTGGAGACGGCTCAAGGGGCTGCGTGGTGCTCTAGGCCCTGCTTTGGGCCCAGCCCCTCCAGCAGCAGCCCCTGAGTACCACCCAAGCCGGAGCAATGGCTCGGAGGCTAAGGTGCGAGCCGCGGACCTACCTCCCGAGTTAGTCCACAGCCATCGAGCCGAGGCTCTCGAGAAGCAGTGGGTGTGCAGGCAGGGCCTCGAGGCCGGCTTGGTGGGTTATGTGGGGCTCAGTGGGGAGGGAGCCCCGATGAAAAACCCGCGCCACCCCCCTCTCCCCACCTCGCAGGAGCTGCAGATGAAGCGCACGGCCATCGAGGCCTTCAACGAGACCATCAAGATCTTCGAAGAGCAAGGCCAGACGCAGGAGAAGTGCAGCAAGGAGTATCTGGAGCGCTTCCGGCGCGAGGGGAATGAGAAAGAGATGCAGAGGTCAGTGGGCCACCTACCGTGCCCGCGGGGCTTTGGAGGATGAAGAGGGGTTCGGAGGCCTGTGCCCACCTGAGCCGCTCCCCTCCCAGGATCCTGCTGAACTCGGAGCGGCTCAAGTCCCGCATCGCCGAGATCCACGAGAGCCGCAGCAAGCTGCAGCAGGAGCTGCGGGCACAGGCCTCCGACAATCGGGAGATCGACAAGCGCATGAACAGCCTCAAGCCCGACCTCATGCAGCTCCGCAAGATCCGGGACCAGTACCTCGTGTGCGTGACCCCAGGACCCCGCTGCAGGCTCCCAGGCGCTCAGTCGGATTGGGAGTTTCCCAGGGGGCCATGGCCCCCACCCTCCATTCACCCCAAAGAACTATGACATTTCTCCCACCCCCACCCCGCAGCCCTGTCTAGTCACTCCTTTTCAGCAGAGAAGCAATGGACGAGCTGCCTGGCCCAGCCCACCGCACCCCACATCTCCCCAAACCCCAGATGTAGGCGGGCCCTGGCTTCAAGCTGCACTCTGCAAGCGGAGGCTGCCCCCTGGTGGCAGCCGGGGGTATCGCTCCTCAGCCCGGATGGGTCCTGGCTGTCTTCCCCCACCCCTGTCCTGCCCCTTTGGAAACCCAAGACCCGCTCATCTCTCCTGCCCTCTGCAGATGGCTCACCCAGAAGGGCGCCCGGCAGAAGAAAATCAACGAGTGGTTAGGGATCAAAAACGAGACTGAAGAGTGAGTCCCGGGATAGAGTGGGAGGTGGCAGGCCAGGCGGGCTTCCTGGAAGGTGCCAGAGGACGCCAGGGGTGGGGTGCGTGGGGAAGCAGGGCTGTTCACCGGCCAGTGAAGGGGGTCCCAGCCACGCCGCCTCCCCACAGCCAGTATGCACTGATGGAGGATGAGGACGACCTCCCCCACCACGAGGAGCGCACGTGGTACGTGGGCAAGATCAACCGCACACAGGCAGAGGAGATGCTGAGCGGGAAGCGGGACGGCACCTTCCTGATCCGCGAGAGCAGCCAGCGGGGCTGCTACGCCTGTTCTGTCGTGTGAGTGCCCAGCGGGTGGCCATGGGGGGCAGCGGGGCAACCGATGGGCGGCCCGGTGACCCCGTGCCCGCACCGCAGGGTGGACGGCGACACGAAGCACTGCGTCATCTACCGCACAGCCACGGGCTTCGGTTTCGCAGAGCCCTACAACCTGTACGCGTCGCTCAAGGAGCTGGTGCTGCACTACCAGCACGCCTCGCTGGTCCAGCACAACGACGCACTCACCGTGACACTGGCTCACCCTGTGCGGGCACTGGGGCCCGGGCCTCCGCCCGCTCGCTGAGTGGCCCCCACCTGCCTGAGGCCCCGCCCAACGGTCTCAGACCACGCCCAGCAGCCTCAGGCCACGCCCCGAAGGAGGCCCCGCCTTCTCTGGTAAAGGCCCCGCCCCTCTGGTTGAGACCCCCACCCCCACCCCACGCCTGACCGCCTTCCCCGTGTGTTCCCCCCTCTCCCGGGGATCCATCCCTGTCCCCCAGCTCTGCCACTGCAGATTTCCGCGCCTTCTGCACACCTCCGCTCCCTGAAGGCCGCCCCCCACCCCCCGGCCTGGGCACCCCTTTTTAAGCCATAGACAACGGAGCCGGTCAGGAAGGAACTGAGCTCGGCCGCTTCCAGGAACCTCGGGGTGACGTTCTCAGGGCCGGGCGGGACCCGACCCACAGACCCCAACTTCCCCTGCAAACACTGAAGTGAAACCCCCGCAGGGGCCCCAGACGCCCCCTCGGGAGAATGGACAGCTACACTAAGCCCGCAAGCGGCGGCGGGCGCGGACTGTGACCCCTGCAGAGCCCCCTCCCCTTTTGGGAGAGCCCCCCGGTTTTCTACGCCCCCCGCGGACCCCGGACCGCTCTGCGGGCGAGTTTTGTACATCGGTACGATAAAACCTCAGACTGCACGAGCCTCTGCGCTGATTCCGAGCCTGGCCCCAGACTGGGTGGGCGCCGGCCGTGTCCTCCTGGGACCCCCTTCATGCCGTGTGGGGGACGGGGGGGGGGGGCGGAACCCCCCGCGGTGGCTCAGATGCCTGGGCCGGGCCCGGGTCCAGCCAAGAGTGGAAGCACAGCTGGGGCCCCGGCTCCCAGGGGTATCTCCACAGCCATCCCCCAGCACCTCGGGCTCCTGGCCGCCTCTGTGGCCCAGAGCGACAACGGCTGCTGTGCTCCCGGCCACCCCAAGTCCAGGAGCCCGTCTGCAGGAGGTCTGGGGATCCCGCTGTCAGCCCCAGCGATTGGGGTGGAGGATGGGCAGGAGGGTACTGGGGCCACCCCAGATGGACACAAGGCCAGGCTGCCTGGTCTCCCCCACCCCCCCATGGTGCCAAGCTGATGGGGTCCCTCTCCTTGGAACCAGGCCTCTGTCGGGCTGAACATGAGCACCTGGGAGTGGAGGGGTGCCTCTTCCCCAGCTGGCTGGGCCACCCCAGCTACCTGACTGCAGCCTGGTGGGGTGGCTGGCCACGTGCCAGGCAAGCACCTCATTTTGTTTTGGGGCCACACCTGGTGATGCTCAGGGCCAACTCCTGGCAGGGTTGGGAGAAACACGCCAGGTGCGCTGGGCGGGCGGCAAACGCCCTCCCCGCTGGCCGCCGTCCGCCCACTCTGGTCCCACTTGGCAGAAAGGGGTGCCGGGGTTGAGGGCTGTGGGGAGCACCCCCAGTTCTGGCTGGCCCCGGCGGGTCTGGGTGCTAGTCCAGCCCAGGAAATAGCTCCTTCCTCCTTCCGGGTCCCTGGGAGGAGGCGACCCCGCAGCCAGCCGCGGACCCTGGGGAGAAGTGACCTGACCGGTGGCGGATCTGAGCCGTGTCCCACCCGCCCCCGCCAGCAGCCCTGCGACCCTAGGGTGGGGCGATGGGGGAAGGGCGGCTGGCAGGGACTGGGCGTGCTGGGGCGGGGTCGCGGGCTGCGGGAGGCCCAGTCCCCGCCTCCTGGAGAGGGGGCTCCGCGCCTGCGGGCGCCCGCGAACCCCGCCGCCAACCGTTGGGGGCGGTTTCAGCCGGCCGGGAGGGCGGCCCCGAGGGGCGTGGGCCCGGCGGGGCGGGTCCTCAGGGGGCCGGGCCTGGGGCCCCGCGCTTAAAGGCGGCTCCGCGGCCGCGAAGGCCCAACCACTCCCGGATCCCGCCGCGATGACCCCGTGGCCACTCGCGCCGCCGCTGCTGCTGCTGCTGCTGTTGTCCGGCCCCTGCTCGGCGCGGGGGGTCCGGTCAGAAGGGGCCTCCTGCACGGTAGGGCCGCGGTGGCAGCGTGACCCCGCGACCAGGGCGGAGCCGCCCGGGGAACCCCGACGGCCCCGGGGAGCCGGGCCAGGGAGTCGCGCCCGGACGGCGGATGTGCGCGTCGGCGCCGGGGAGGGGGGACGCGGTGGGCATCGGGCCGAGCCCCAGGCGCGCAGAAACCCCTAGGGCCCCGGAGCCGATCACCGCGCCAGGTCGCGGGAGCGGAAGCCACGGCTCCTCGTAGGCGTCGCCCCCGCAGCCCGGCCCCGGGGGGATGGGGGGCTCAGTGGGCGCCCCGAGAGCTGGGACGGCCGAGGCGGGCCCTGCGCTGGGCCCTACGCCCGGGCGGGAGGCGGCGAGCAGGCAGAAGACTGCGTGCATGCATTAGGCGCCTACGGTATGCACCGCTGCGGAGCAGGAGCCAGGGCTCGATCTCCCTGCCCGCGGCGCCCACCACCGTGGGGCCGGGCTGCAAGCGCGGTACATGCATTAGGCGCCTACTGTTTGCGGGGGTGGGGGGGCGCATCACCAGTCCGCTGAGATGCCCCTGCTAGACCTGGCCGCAACACCTCACCCCAACCCCACGTGCAGAGCATGGGGGTGCTGAGCCGTCACCCGGCCCTTTCCCCCCACCCCCACCCCCGCGCCCCTAGGACCCAGAGCTGTGCGCGCTCAAGTCGCCCCGGGCCCCGCCCGTCAATGTCACGCTGTACTACGAGGCGCTGTGCCCCGGGTGTCGCGCTTTCCTCATCCGGGAGCTCCTGCCCACCTGGCTCATGGTCATGGAGATCCTCAACGTCACGCTGGTGCCCTACGGGAATGCGCAGGTGCGCGCGCCAAACCGGGGCGGCGAGGCTGGGGGTGGGTGGGGACGGCTCTGGGGCCTCGCACGGGCCTCACCGCCGCACCCCTGCCCGGCAGGAAAGGAACGTGAGCGGCCACTGGGAGTTCCAGTGCCAGCACGGGGAGCAGGAGTGCAGACTGAACAAGGTGGAGGTGTGTAACCGCGCCCGCCTCTGGGGCTGTCCTCAGAGCTGGGGCGGGGGGGTTGGGGGTTGTGCCTGGGTACCCCCCTCTGCCCACTCATGCCCAGCCTCCCCCACCCCTAGGCCTGCCTGCTGGACCTGCTGGAGCAGTACTCGGCCTTGATGACCATCGTCTGCATGGAGGAAATGGACCCGATGGAGAAAAACCTGGCTCCGGTGAGGCCTTTGCCCTCCCGGGCGGGGCAGTGAGGCAGCCATCAGGCCTCCCGACTCGCAATCTCTGGGTGGCACCAGGAAAAACGGCCACCTTTTGGGTAGTCTCTAAGTCTCTAAAACGGGATGAAGGTCAGGAGATCATGGAGGAGGTCCCCTCCCCCCGTCCCCCCAGGCGTGGATGCCTAGGAAGGACTTCCTTCTGTCTGGGGGACAGCGAAGGAAAAACCACCTGCCTCCCTGTCTGGGTGATTATGAAAAAGAATCCCAAGTGGGTGACTCACGGCAGCACGCCGGTCAAACATCGGGGCCACCCAGGAAAGTCTCAACGCAAGACAGCCCGGCAGGGCCCGTGTGGGGCCAGGAGAGGGCGGGAAGACGTGGTGGAGGGGATGCCCCCTGCAGAGGGAAGGGCTGTCCCCGCCATGAGGACTGTGGGGGGGGGGCTGGGGAGGCAGGGACCGTTGGGAGATAAGGGGAGGAAGCTGAGGCCGGCCTGGCCGCCCGCAGTGCCTGCAGCTGTACGGCCCCGACGTGACCCCCGAGACCGTCCTGGCGTGCGCGGACGGCGAGCGAGGCGCGGCCCTCCTGCACAGGAACGCGCAGCTCACGGACACCCTGCAGCCGCCCCACCAGTTCGTGCCCTGGGTAGTCGTCAACGGGGTAAGAGCCCGGGAGTGGGGGCGGGGCCGGGCCGGGGCCGGCAGTGTGCAGGCGCGACTTTCCTGACCTCTCCTGTCCCCGCAGAAGCCCACCGAGCAGCCCGGCCACCTCCTGAGCCTCGTGTGCAAGTTGTACCAGGTGGGCCACAGGCCGGGGGGCGGGGCGGGGGGCAGCCGGGGCAGCGGGGGCTGCAGACCCCTCACTCCTCACCGTCCTTCCAGGGGGAGAAGCCAGAACCCTGTCAGGACGTGACCCGGAGGCACTGGGACCTTTGCTTCAAGTGACCTGACGGCCACTGGCCGCCCGCTGACCCCGCTTTTCGTGAGCTGCCCCCGGATCGTGAGCTGCCCAGCATCTGGGCGACGGACGCATCCCACAGCTGCTGGGCAGAGCTGTGCCCGCGCCCTGTGCCCATGCCCCTGCCCAGCTGAGATGCCGCCGCAGAGGAAGGAGCTTAATAAACCCTCCAGGGTGTTGGGATCAGTTCTTATATCTGCTAGTCCTACCTTCCTGAACCCGACGTTGGGGTCCTAGCAGCCTAGCACAGGGGGTCAGAGCCTGATGGACATGCGCCACGAGATGCACCAGCCCTCGAGGCGCCTTGAAGGGGAGGTCAGGCTGCTGCCCAGGGAAGAAGGGCATTGGTGCTCGGCCTCTGAAGGTTGAGTAGGAGTTCTACAGGCCTGACCGTATTAACTCATAAAATCGCTGGCCACCCCTTTGGTTGGCTCTACAGTAGGTGACATGGTTTGTAGTAGAGGTCAGGTATCCAGTTTGGGGAGTTTCAAAGAATGTATTCACAAACCGGGGGGCAGCTTAGTGGCCACAAGCACCTGCTTTGTGAGTGTGGGGGCCCAGGGATCTGTCCCCAGCATCACTGAAGGCTCATGCGCCTGGCCCTGCGCTGTCTTTGTCACTGTCATTCTGTAGGACCCGCCAAGCCCTCCAGGAGTCAGCCCTGAGCACTGCAGCTTGTGCCCTACCCCACCCCCAAGGGAGCTGCAGGCAGTCAGCCCCCAGGCCGTGGCCAGCAGAGAGCCCTGCGGGCCCTCAGCATTTCAGCAGAGACACTTGCGGGGGAAGGGTTGGGGGGTGCTGTGCAAACAGAGGCAGCAGGTGCTGGCGTGGGGAGGCCACACGGGTCCCGCCAGGGAGCGTCCCCCCGCCGGATTGTCGCGTCCCTGGAGGAGACGCTTGAGTGCTCCCATGTGGCGGGGGTTTCCTGAGGCCCCAAAAACCCCAGCAAACACCCCCCTTCAAACCACAGACCAGCTTTTCTCTTGGGGCTGGGGGCAGGGTGTCAGGAGGAAGGAGAAGGAGGTGGATCGGTGGTCAGGAGGTGTCCCTGCGGGGACAGAGCATAGCCATCAGCAGGAAGTGGGATCCCTTCCTTGGAAACCAGGCCGTGACCCTGGTTCCTTCTGAAAGAGAAGCAATTTCATGTTTGCTGCCCCAGGACCCCGCCCCCACACACACCAAAAAAAAGGAACATTCCAGATAGGGTTGGGGTGTACCATGGTTAGGGACTTGCCTTTCATTCCACACAGCAGACCCTGGTTTGAACCCCAACACCCCATCAGGTCTCAGGAGCGATCCTGAGCACAGCCAGAGTGGGCCCGTACTAGGAGGGGCCCATCCCTGCCCAGCCCAGCAAGAAGCTCTGGCTTCTTCACTGGGGGGGCCCACTGTGAGTCTCAAGGCCACTCCTGGGGGCCTCAAGGGACCTGCATGGTGCACTGGCCAGGTGCGCGACGGCTTCCCTGCGGTGTGGCCTCACCCCTGCCGCCCTGCTTGCGGCTCCTTCCTATTGAGATCACCCTCACGCTTCTGAGTGCACCCCCTTCCTCCCAGGCCCGTAGCTGCTGGCCCCCAAGGGGTCTCTGGGGGAGGTGCAGGAGCAGCCCCAGCTCAGGATCCCCCCCAACGCCGGGACGTTTGGCTGGACGTCAGGGAAACCTAGAGACACACATGCCACTTCCGCTGAGGCCTCTATATTTAATTGGGTTCAGGTGGGTCACACTGCAGGGCCCTGGGGACCATGAGGTGTGCGAGGGATCAAAACTGGTCTGCCACGAGCAAGACAAGTTTCCTTCTTAAGAATCTTTATTTTTTGCTTGCAGTCACACCTGGCAGTGTTCAGGGCTGACTCCAAGCTCGGTGCTCAGGGGTCACTCCTGAGACTCTGAGGGGATGCCGGGGATCGAGCCCGGGTGGGCTGCAGGTCAGGCAAGAGCATACCCTCTACACTACCACTCAGGCCCCGTCATCTTTTTTTATTTATATTTTTGCTTTTGGGGTCACACCCGGCGATGCACAGGGGTTACTCCTGGCTCTGTGCTCAGGAATTACCCCTGGCGGTGCTCAGGGGACCATATGGGATGCTGGAAACCGAACTCGGGTCGGCCGCATGCAAGGCAAACGCCCTACCCGCTGTGCTATTTCTCCAGCCCCCCATCTTATTTTTTAATAATTTTATTTATTTTTTGGTTTTGGACCACATCCAGTGATGCTCAGGGCTTCTCCTGTCTCTGTGCTCAGGGCTTACTCCCGGGGGCTGGAGGGCCAGAGGGACCCTTTGGACTGTTGGGGATCGAACCCGGGTCACCATGTACAAGGCCAGTGCCCCTTCCCTGTACAAGTGCTGCAGCCCACACTTCATGTCACTGCGTTCCACACTGCTCCCGACCTCTCACCCCTTCAACTTTCTTTTCTCCCTTACAAGTTTCAGAGCCTGAGGTCAGAGCAATAGCCTGAGGGCTGAGCACTCAGCTTTGAGGCTGACTCAGCTTTGATCCCTGAATGGTCCCCCAAACACTGCCAGGATTGATCCCGGAGCACCGAGCAGGAAGTAAAACCTGGACACCACCAGGTGTGGCCCCAAAGCCCTCAAGATTATTTTTTAATAATCAGAATCTTCCCAGACACTAAGCTAGGCTGCATCTGACTCCCTGAGCACCGCCAGGGTGGACCCCAGACCCTGGACAGAGCCAGGATTGACCCCTAAGCACGACTGGGTGTGACTCCCCCCCTAAAAAAAAACAAAGAAGGTAAAAGGTAAAGGTAAAGGCCCTCCCGTTGATCGTCGATTTGCTCGAGCGGGCCCAGTAACGTCTCCACTGGAGACTTTGTTGTTACTGTGTCTGGCATATCCAATACTCTCAGTAGCTTGCCGGGCTCTCCGAGAGGGGCGGAGGAATCGAACTCGGGTCGGCCATGTTGGCCGCTTGTAAGGCGAACTCCCTACTGCTGCAAAGAAAGTAAATAAAATACAGACAAATATCCCTCCCAGCGGCGGGGGGGGGGGGGGGGGGGGGGGGGGTGGGGGGGTGGGGGGAGGGGGTCCTTGTGCAGAGCTTCTCAGATTTCCTGATAGAAACTTCCCCTTTCCCCAGCGGCCCCACTCAGAGAAAAAGAGGAAAGAAAGGAAAAGAAGCCAGGAGAACATTTAAAGGAAGCAACTAGCCTTGCTGGTGGCTGACCCGGGCCAGTCCTTGGCACCCCAGAGCCGGTGGGGTGACCAACCCAAACCCCAGATGAAGGAATCCTGGCAGGCTGCAGTGACCAGTGTCCGAAAGGGGACTCCCAAACCCCGTGTTCAATCCCTTCGTTCCCACAGCACCCCAGGGTCTTTGATGGTTTGTTCCTTCACCCCAAAGTTCAGGAGGTGCTGGAGTTGAGTCTTGCCTCTGCCGTTCTCCCCCAGAGGACTCTGGGGTTCTCATATGATGAGGACCCCCTCATCTCTGCAGGGAGAAAGGGGCACCCTCAGAAATGCGGGGTGACGGGGGTGGGGATGCCCAGGACGGGGAAGCTTTAAGAGTCGGGACAAAGGAGTCGTACTGCGGGGGAGGGTACCTGTAGCCTCTGGCCGACCGTGTCAATCCCCCTCACCATCTGGGCTCCCCTGAGACCCACCAGGCCCCGCTGCTCCCACCCACTCCCCAAAATACAGAAGCCAGAGCCACTTGCTGGGCCGCTCAGCGTGGGCGGCGGCGGACTTCCTTTTACGGAAATTCTGAGAGTTCTGGGGAACTGCAGCAGGTTCTGAAGAAGTTTGGAGCCAGGGCTGGTTTCATAGAGAAACGTCCCGAGGCGGGACGGAGACCCCACGGCGCCATCTGGTGGCACTTCGCTGGAACTCCCATAGCCGATTTTCCCACGCTTAAGATTTCCAGCCCTTTTCTTTGCTCCAATGTTAGGTATGGGGTAATTAAGGATCAAGCAGGCATTTTTGGCCGCTGCAGTGGTAGCAAAGCGGTTAGGCCCTTGCCTTGCATTCAGAGGACGCTGGTTCATTCATAGCCAGGACGCTGACTACGGTGCCCCAGTCATGCCAAGGAATGATTCCCCAAAGCATAAACAAACGTGAAAAAAAAAAAAAGCAGCCTCAGTCCCTTGATGGCAGATCCCCTCAACCCGACCTGGCAGGTTCTGAGCTCTGTCTTGATTCCATGTCCTTCCTCCTTGTAGAACAAGGTTGGGCCTCCCTCAGAATGTGGGGTGTGGGGCTGATCATTATAGTAAATATTTAATAAAACAAAAAAGGGCCCCCCGTTGATCGTCGATTTGCTCGAGCGGGCCCAGTAACGTCTCCATTGGAGACTTTGTTGTTACTGTGTCTGGCATATCGAATACTCTCGGTAGCTTGCCGGGCTCTCCGAGAGGGGCGGAGGAATTGAACTCGGGTCGGCTATGTTGGCCGCTTGTAAGGCGAACGCCCTACCCGCTGTGCTATCGCTCCAGTATAAAACAAAATAATATTTTAATAAAAAATAAATTTAAAAAAGTAAAAAAAATAAAACTTGCCTTCTTATGGCAGACTAGGTTCTACCCTCAGCACTCCTCGTGATCCCTAGAACCACACTGGGGTGACCCACCCAGGCCCCCCACAGGTGATTCAGCTATGTACTCCAGAAAAGTTGGGATGGCAAGATTCAATCCCAGGCCACCCGCGTGAAAGAAAAGCCCCCAGATCGCTCTGCCCCCGCTACAAGTGCCGAAGCTGTGTGCTTGGTCCTTAATTAATTGCTCCATCCTCAGAAGCAAAACCACAGGTTTAGAGAAACAGGCCTGGGGAGGGATGGAAACGCCCACAGCGCCATCTCGTGGCGTTTCAGCGAAACTACCGCGGCCCGACTTTCCCATGCTAAGATTTCCAGCCCTTGGGTTTCGGTTCATGTTACGGTAGGCTGGCTACTTACCTTCCAGTGGGCGACCCAGGTTCGATTCCTGCCATGCTGGCTTTTGGGGGCACATAGCTGAATGTCTTGTGGGGGTTCAGAGTAGGACACCCCAACGTGGTTCTAGGGATCATGAAGGGTGCTGAGCATTGAACCTGGTCTACCAGAGCAAGGCTAGATTATTTATTTTTGTTGTCTTTGCTTTGAGCAGGGAAAGTTCTGAACATGCATGAAGGAACCGGCAGAGGAACCCAGGTGTGAGGGACCCAGGGCTGAGATCTTCAAGCCTGTTC